TCACACGTACAATGCTTTTTAGCCTAATGTGCGTATCTAGCGAATACATCAAATTTCACTTTAATACAAGTTTAAGAATCTAAAAACCTGTATTTAATAACTTTAGAATCTATGCTACAACTTAATCAGACAAGAAAACTCTGACCCTCAACTAAAAAAATCTTAGATACTTTCGCATGGTAAAGTGCGACTGCACTTTTGACCCTCAATGTACCTGCATTTCCTAAGAACACTTTCATCAATACTATTTTCTCCTTAATATATCGCTTCTGCATTTACCTGTACCTATGTTCATAGCACGGCTATAATTACTCACAATGTCAACTGTGAGTCTACGAGCAAATACTTACCTACTAATTAATGCTTACCTGTGTCTTGCAACTCGTTTTATCGATATCTGAGACCAAATGCTCCGTCATTAGTGTTTGAAAATCGATCCTTATCGTATTTCAAAGACTAGACCTTGGTTTTGTATGTAGAGACCTATGTAAACAAATTATCTAACACTAGCCCGCTTTTGCTACGCACGGAAACCGACGTCCAACTAAGTCGGTCTCAGTCATTTGTGAGTGAACCGCTACAGCCGTAGCGGTTCACTGGGAGGTTCGTTGGGAGCCCCCAACGGGCTGCTATGCATTTCCCGAGTATTCTAAAATATTCTTTTATAAGTTTGACCTTCCCTTTACTTTACCAAACATAGTAAACAAATATCAAAATCACTCAAGCCGCATTGTCATGATCAAAAATATTTATTGTATGTATAATAGATATACATAGGTAACCTGGTAACCTAAAAACGCCACCAATAATAGAAACAAGTAATCGAAGTACAATTTTTTCTGTAAAAAAATATATCATCATGAACTCAAAAATAAATGGTCGGTCTACATTCCAAAATGAATATATTTATTTACAAACCACTAACGCGTAATATTTGCAAGTGACAAACACGAATCGACCACCAAAAAACCCACTCGAATTGTTCAATCTGTTCAGTTAAATGGCGTTAACATATTAAACAATTAGTTTTGGGTAATTTGTGTGTTGTTCCCATACGACTGCGGTACTTGCAGTGCGGTGTGGGGATGAGTCGCGTGGAACACAGCCGACCCCTCGTCGTCCGATGCAGTTTGGAACTAGGGTGAACTCGGACCGTTGCCCAAACTTTACATTTTTATTTCGCTCGCCAGACATCGCCTTTTTTGAAAAAAGTTTTGAGTATTATTTGCCGTTCGATTCGTTTCTCCACGTTGCGCACTTTTCTTTTTGCATTTACAAAAAGAGCAGGAAAAGGCACGCCGTGTTTAGGAATATGAGTGCAATACTTTTGCACAGTTAAGTAATTCTACGAAGAAAATAAAGCTTTATAAATAATATAAACAGCAATCACTGAAACTTTAAATTATTACTAAAAATAAAAGCATTTTGTCATAGACATAACTTATCACTTTTGCAAAACAAGTTACTAAATTCAAATAGCGAAACTTTGAGAGCCGCACCCTCCCGTTGACATGTTCAATTCTGTTCCCGACTTGTTAATAATTGCGTATAATAAATGCTTAAATACAACAAACATACAGACAAATACGGGCTGGGGTTTCATCACAAAGGGAGCGATTCGGTTTCCAGGCAATTGAAAAATTGTACGTACTTACCTATACATACATTTATCTTTTACGAATCTAGTATTTCGAGAGTGATTAGATTCCGTGCCTTGATAAAACACATAATAATGGGGTATATGTTTGTGGAATAGGTATTAAGGTAACACTTTATACACAATAGGTACATACATAAACAGCCTTAATTTTCGTTAAATAGAAGTTAAATTTACAAACACCTTAAGTACTTAACTATAAGTAAGAATATAAGCAATCCGTATTTATTGCACGTGTTTGAAAAGATTGTTTGCCTGAGATCCGAACTGTATGAAGTTGATAACAGTGATTCAAAGTAGTTGGCGACACGGATTAATTAAGTGCCGTCAGAAAAACAGTTTTGGTAAAGGCGTCGGTACAGTGTTCCGGGCACTTTGAGCAGCGCGTGGCGGTCGGCCGCCGGCGGACGCGCGCCACGTGTCGCTCAGCACTCAGCATACAGGACCACGTGGTCCTTATGGTCTTGTGGACCCACTGGATAATCCGCAACCGACATATGCACGCAAATAAATAAATTAACTCAAGCCGGCGGTTTTGCTGCTTTTTAAAACTCGGTTTTGCATTAAATCAATTAAGACTCCTGTGAAAAAATTTCGGCAACCATTACCAACCAAACCAAATGCATTAAATAGCTACTTACTAACTTTAACTTAATTGATATAATTTATATTAAAACACATCGGTTTAACGTCTTCTCAACGACCAAGTCAGTAAAAGCAGGTAACCCAAAAAAAAGGAAATATACACACGTTGCTTGGATTTCACATTTTCATTTTAAATTTTCCCTAGCTACATCACATAGCAGATACTTGCCTCAGTAAAAAGTGTTTGTAATAAGTTAACTTTATTTACTTTATTGAACTACGTAAGACTACGCCAACGCCAAGAACACAGAAACTTTACAGACTTATACTTATTAAATAAAGATTTAGGTACACACCTCTATCAGTTACATAATTTTCAAATTAGTTACGAAGTCAGTTCACAGGTCTAGAATATGTATAACTCAAACAGATCGTTGCTCACAAGAGCCTGTGACCTAAAGTGAAACCGACATGAGATCTCACGCGTAAAGCTATCAAACATGGTCCTTCGGGGCGTGGTTACGGCACGTGCGGGTCGTGCGATGCGACAGTCGCAGGTCGCGAGGTCGCGCGTCTCCGCGACAAATCAATTACAGGGTCGACGAGGGCCTCACTTCCGAACAGAATTAGCACCAAATTATAGTAGTTGTGGATATTTCTTGTTTATCAAAGGGTGACTCGCTAATTTATAGTCATGACAAATTGCAACTAGTTTGCGACCATTATGTTAACATGTAGTATTCTCACGCTCTACATAATGTGTGGTGGTGTTTTGATCTGATTTTTAAAAGATTTATAATTTTCGAATAAAGAAAAAAGTTTTTATCTAGAACATAGGTACTATAAACATAACTGTAAGTTTGTAAGCAAGTTAAGTAATTTCGTACGGCGCACGGCATAAACAGCTATCAGTGAATGTGAATGATCATCGAAAACCGTTTACATTTCAGCTCCCGCTTCAGTAATGTTTCAAGGGTGGCTCGTAGACGTGAAGTACGACTGCGGAGTGTGTTTTATAACGTAGGAGCTGTCAAAAACACTCGGCGAGCCACCAATGGGAGAGCTGGCACTACATCGATCCGACTCGCAACCCCGACCAACCCAACGAATTTAATCGCCCTCTTCTTTGAGAAAACGATGTAGGTATCTGTCAGTATATTATACAAATATATATTTTTTTATATTGCTCCTACTTGTATAAGGATAATCAAAGTCTGCATTTCTTGATAACTTAGTAATATGCAATTGAGTTTAGACTTTAACATCGAGACGCTAGTCTCCTATTGAATTGAGAAAACCACATGGTAATATTATACAAATGAATCCACGTTTAATAATAGATTATTTTTGTGTTGTTATTTATCCAGAATTATGGTGGAATTTAATTCCCCTATGTATTTATGTGAGCGAGTTAATAAATAAATGTAGGTACTAGTTTTAAAAAATTCTTACCTCTTCCAAACTCTAACTAATCTACTTACTTACATGCGTTTTTATTTATGTTTATTCTTTAACTTTTTTTAAAAATTGAAACAACTTATATATAATTTTATCCTCATCTATTCACATTTTTTTTTGTATTTAAATATAAAATATCTTAGGTACCTACTAAAATTGAAAGGATTACCTACTACAGTTAACACAAAGATTTTTAATATTTTTAACAAAATATGGACAAGTATACTAATATAAAAAATAATATTCTAATAATTGTCACCACTTTAAGATAAGAAACAACTCGTAGCAAGTGCCTGAAAATGTTATTTTGACCATATTTTCAGAAACTTAGTAACGTTATTGTATTCTGGGAGCGATCATTAGTTATTAGGATAATTGAATAAACACCCACAGAAGTTGTGTCTCTTTGTCTAGGATTATATAAGCCCCGCCTCCTCCTGCCTTAATTTTCGAAAGCTCCACCCCAGCGACGGGGGATGAAGGACACACTCGCTCAGACCCCTGTTTTGTCAACACGTTATAAACGTTAAATTAATACCGTTAAGGTAAATTTTGTTTTGCCACGAAATTTTCGTCACCAGACTCACACCAATATGGACGCGAGTAAGTGACCACCCCTTGTGGTATAAAATTATTATAAGCGGTCCACGCAGATTCAGTTGAGATTCGATTTCGGGCGAGATATATTTGTGGAGGAGCTGTTTTTAGTGTTTGTGAAATGTCTGCCACTAGGACCCAACTTGCTGACTCTTCAACTTCACCACCCCTGAGGTATTATTTATTTATTATTTTGTAAACTTTTTTGCAAGTTTTTATGATTATTTCTATTTGTTTTTTTTATATCTGGTTACTACTCGCAATTAACGAATTATTTTATCATTTTAGTATTTATTATTTTATGTTTTATTTGTTCAATTTATCTAAATACAATTTTAGTTTTATCTGTTTCACGTATCTTCATAATTTTATTTCCATCTACATATTGGTGTACTGTATATTATTTTACTCTGCATCCTGCAACTTCAGTTGTATCTGCGAAGCTTCGCCCCGCGTGTGGCGAGCCTTACTTCAGTTAAGGGTTGCGAGATCTAGCGGCAGTCGCTCTCAGGAGCGCTGAACATAAGCTGGCGAGATGCATTACGAATTAAACGCTAAACGTAGCTTACAACACGTGCACACCACCACGAGAAGTGCTTCAATGCTTAAATAAGTGCTATATTTACAATTGTTTTAACCGTAACTGAAGTTTTGCGACTTTTTATTATAACCTTAATCATATTAAAGAGTTCGCTAATGCAGGATGTATGCTTCTGAAAACAACTCTTCTGAATCTAAGAGTCAGGAGTACGTATATATTTTGTATATATATACTTATAATAATAAGAAAGATTCCTTCTATTTTTCTTAAAAATGTAATTTTTGTGCAGTGATTCCCGTCGTCTGGATTACACGGGTCTAAAGTTCGCGTATGGTGACGGTTCTGATGATGAGGGCTCCTCACTGACTGCGGAACTGCCATCGTGTGTGTATGCTGCAGCCAGAAGCCGGCTCCAGCTGCCGTTAGCTGCTTACGTCCATCAGCACTCGAGGCAGCTCCACTCAGGTAACTTTGGGAGAAAACCTATTAATTAGAGTTGATTTTTCAATGGTTGGATAAAACATATCTGTGGAATATTTACGATGCTGTCGCGTCAGAATGTTTGTATAAGATAGTGACAGCGATAATTTTATTCCTCAGAAAATATTTATCTGACTAGGTATTGCAAATTCAGCCCTAACTCGTTAAAAATATCCAACCGCTGTGCTGTAAATATAGTAATATTAAAAATTCTATAGAGAAGTACTCAATAATATTATCTGTAGATTGCTTTGCGACAATCAGGTACCTACAAAAACTCGCCTTGATTTTAATCATCAAAACTCAATAATATAATATATTTTATCTTTAGGATAAACACTTTATTGGCGCATTTAAAAAGACTGAAAATAAGAAAGAAAGAATCATGGAAATAAAAGAACCATGAAGACAAGAATATTCTCAAAAAAAATTTTTTTAACATTGATTTAATTAATATCCTAAAACGTTGCAATATTATTGCTCCATATTTTCTCCGGTATAGCTAATAACTACATACCCCATAAAAATAATAATTTAAATAATGATTATACGAACATGTTATGCTGTGCTATGATTAAAATTCCGGGTATCCACACACTTTCGTATAAAAACCCCGAGGCTGTGTTACTACTAAATACAAATAACATAATTTTTATTTTGTTTCTAGTGGTTTATAAATTAAAAAGTTAGTTTATAAATTGAAAATTGCCAGTACTGGAATAAGAGGTGATGGAGAAATACAAAAATGGAACGATTGTCTTATTTTTAACTAACAACTCATTTGTTCACGTTATCTTATTGGCTGTTTTCTTCTGAGAATTAAGTTATTTGAAGGAACCTAACTAGATTTTCTACCATCGTACTGTATATCGTACTTCTATGATATGTTCGAGTTTAGTTCAGTTAACTGCTTTCATACAGACATACTCAAATTTTGTTAAATAATATTTTAATGCAATATTTTTCTTCTAGTAACTAGAGGCAGAATAATATTAAAATATTGTATGAGTATATTGTAACTAGAGTCTAGTTAATATCCATTATAAGGTTGCCTAGAAGATATCGCTCAAGCTAGACCCTAAACTTACCCATTGCATAATATATTTTAAACAATATATATCTATTTATTTTGTAAAATTGTACTACAAAATCTACTTATCATCAATAAATCTACGTTATTTTCATAAGTTTTTAACTTTCAGTTTAGGTAATGTATTACATTCATGCACCAATTTTGCTGAAACGCGTTTGCTTTGCACGATCATAAATACTAAGTTGTGGCTTTACTCTAAATTAATAAAGAGTGTCTTAAGAGTCGTGAAAACAATAAAAGAAAGCGAATTAAAAAAATACAGTCAGTTAAAATTAACTCTTTATAAATCATCAGCATCTTTCATATCATCATATCATCCGTTTTCCCTTACCATTTTAATGAAAATGATAGGTGCTCTTTTGGTATGGCTACCTTCAATATTAATTGAGAGATGGATGAAAAAGCCTCTCTTTCACGTCAACATGTAGGTAATGTCACCATCACGACCCATGAACATTTTTTTGATTTTTGATAAGTTCTCTTCATGTTTGCCTTTTTAATTTATTTTCACGTATGGGAAACTTTCATATCAGAAATTCCAGAGAAAAGCAAATCAAAATACGACATTGTTTATGGTTATGGCTTTGTTTAATTAACATGTAAAAAGTATGCTGAAGTCTACATGCCCAAGTGTTTTTAGCGTAGATAGGGACAGAGAAAGCGACTTTGTTTTATACTATGTAGTGATGATACCATCCAATTATTAGCTTGTACCTAATACTAATGTCGATATTATTTATTTATTTATTTGAGACTTCATCCAAAAAACACTGTACATAGGCGGACGTACTGCAATGAGCATTCTCTACCAGTCTACCTTTTGGGTGATGCAGAGATAATCTAGTGGCAGGTGCAAGAAGCAAGCAAATTCAATTAAATATACGAAACATATATATAAAAATATATATAATATACACTTTACATACATACATACTATATATATACATTATAATACATATCTATAAGGCAGTAAATATATATACCTACATAGTAAAGTTCAGAACGGAGTCAGGCACCGTCAGAACAAATCGTCGATTTAAATCTCTATAGGTACCTACCTATCATGATAAGCTCCGCAGGATTTAACATGAATAATTATTTTACCTAGTTTTTAACCTGATGTAATTATACCTATACACAGATGTGTTGTTGGACACGTCAACGGAACCGGAGTACCAGTGCGGGGGCTCACCTTACAGAGTGCAGCGCGCCGCCGCTAACGTCCGCGAGCGCCGACGGATGCTGAGGTCCGGACCCAATGGGTATCCTTCTTATTTGTTGCACGTAATTTTCTATATGTACTCTATTCCATATTTAATTTCCTAGGTCTATGCTTGTATAGTTGTGTATCTATGCATGCCTTTTTGTGAGGGGAAAATCATCCAATGACTTCTCGGGAGGGAGAGTCAGACTCTTACTGATTAAAAACTCCCGTTCCTTATACTGCTCTGCATCACTACCTCATATCTATGCATGCTGGAGGTCACAGCAGTACCCTTAAAAAGTAGCTCCTGTTTAAATCATTTTACTTTTAAAAACTGCGAATTCAATCACTGGTACCTAACAAAATAAAAACAAATATCTAATGGAACGGCTATAAAACACAAACGAAACAGAACGAATGGAAGTAATACGTTGAATTTAAAAAAAAAAGGAAATTGCCTACAGCAAACTGAAGTGAATCGATATTCAAAATGAAAATTCCATTAACCACAAAACTTTGCTGGCGTGTTCAGAATTTCTCTCCTCCACCATGTATTCGTTTTATAGGAAATGATTTTTCGAACAGCAATACAACAGTCGATGTATGGCGTGAGTTCTGACAACTTGTAGCTTTCTATTTCCTGCAAACACTTACAGGATCCCGCCGGCGGGCGGCGCGGTGTAAATAAAGTAGTTAAAATCCCGCAACTTTTATTGCTCAATTAAAGTACTTGTTAAAGTTTTGTTTTTGGTTATTGGAGTTTTGTAGTTACTTTGCTTTTGTTGCCGTGCCCTATTAGTGTTCATTTTAAGAAAAATATTAAACAAATTCTATTAACTAGATACTTAGTTAGTTAATTACGCTTTCAGTACCTTAGTACCTACCTATTAAGTCTTTTAGCTGTGTAGATTGATTCTCTATACTTATAAATGGTGAATTGTCCTCAACGATAAGCAAGTGGGAAATAGTTTAACAAAGGGGTTACCTATTGGATTCGAATTACTTACAGCTACAATATTTTAGCCGGGGTTGCAGTGCAAGCGCTGTTATGTACGGAGTGGCTTTTAGTCAGTCACTATCATATTGGACTTACCTATAACATTTAAAACATGCTATGTGCATATCCACGAATTCCTTCCCATTGTTATGTTTAATTAGAAGCTATAATGTTGTTGTGGTGTTGTGATTTTAGCAGTATAAACTCGGCGTTCGATGAACTGCGAGTACACGTGCCGACCTTCCCGTATGAGAAGCGACTCAGCAAGATTGACACGCTTCGACTTGCCATAGCTTACATCGCTTTGCTTAGAGAGGTAACTATTGCATTCAGTTTACTATTTTAGACTATATACCTACGTTATTTTACTTAATCTAAACTATTTGAGTGTATGTAGCTACTTCCTTGCAATAGGTACCTAGGTTAACTAAAAATCGCGTGTATAAATTGAGAAAAGCTCTACTAGTTTCGAACCACAGAGGGGTTCTTCCTCATGAGCAGCGCGACGTCGCCGCGTCCGCGATTTTTAGTTAATTTAGTATGTCTCACGATAGTTATTATAAAAACAGGTACCTAGGTATGTAATAACAATAAAGAAAGACATTTACGCTCAGACAGATAGAAAAAAAATGCCGACTGTTGGACTACAAGTCATCTGTTTAAGCCAGGGTTGTGAGTCATGCTCAATAAGGTACCGCAGTTTCGGCCTAGAGCAGGAGAATGATATGGGCCTTTTTAGTCACTTTTTAGACACCCCTTGCCATCCTCTGGACCAGAAAGGCCTTTTATGATTTTCTATCATCAAAAAAATAATCTGTTTAGGTAAAAGTAAAAGGTAATCTTATGGCACCACCGACCCTACCTTGATGTACGCTTTGGCATATCTATCTAGCCGTGTATTTGTTAGCCAAGCCATTAAAACATAAGAGAATATTATGGCCAGTCTCCATAACTTATTCGCTGGTACCTAATCTACGAAGACAGATAAAATTTTGATAATAAACATTATTTTTTATCTCTTTTACTTACTCAACACAACATTATAAGCTACTAGCTTTTGCCCGCGACTTTGTTCACGTAGAAAAGTTACTTCCTGCAGATTTTTGGAATAAAAACTATCCTATGTCCTTTCTCGAGTTCCAAACTATGTCTGTACCAAATTTCACAGAAATCGGCTCAGTAGTTTAGGCGTGAAGAAAAGACAGACAGACAGACAGACAGACAGACAGACAGACAGACAGACAGACAGACAGACAGACAGAGTTACTTTCGCATTTATAATATTAGTTAGGATTAACAAAAGAACAAGATGAAATGTGAACGTTTTCCAGGTGTTGGAAGCTGATTATGACCCGCTGACATACGTTGAAAAGTGCCTCCGCGGTGAGATTAAGGCCGACAGAGCCCATTGGAATACTAGCGGTAAATATTTTACTAGTTTACATAGGTGAAAATTCAAAAGTCTTGCTAGACAAACCTTTGATAGAAAAATTAACCCTGTGATTAATGAAGCAGCCATTAATTTTTATACCGAAATAAAGTCAGCGCCAAAAAATCATTAGGATTATTTAAGACAAAATACCAATAACTACTATTGAGTCATGGTAACTTCATAATGGCTGAGCAACCGGCTGCTTTAATTTAATCACGGTTCGTTACGGTCTGTCTACGTTTCGCGTGAGACAACTCTTCTTTGTATTTGTGTGATCCACAAATTGTTGCTAACAACCTGCGCAATTTTAAAAAGGTCAATCACGAAGCTTTTATATAAATTTTTGCGTTAAACATTTCACTTGTTACAACAGATTTGACTGCGAGACTGTCGTGGATCAACTGGGAGAACCTCGGAGTGAATCCTCAACGACGCAGCGTACTCACATCACTTGCACTCAGTTCAGATAATCTACAGTATGGACACAACTAAACCATTGTATTGCATTACAGAAGAAACAATATAAATAAGGTAGTGTTTTGTGGCATTGCGATGTCCTAGCACAGATTTCTCGTTAGATCACAGAACTCTGTTCTGACTAGTCACAAAAGTTTTACTCACATATGGTTTTATACACTCGATGTAACATCCCGAGTACAACCTACCCGCAGATTAGCATTTATCTTTAGAGCAAGTAGTGACGATGAGGTTCAGACGTTCAGAAGTCACCATACTAACTCCGGCTCTCTCCAAGTAGGAAGTAGATAAATACTACTTTTATTAAATTCCATGGTGCCAGCTCGACGCCAGTAGGTATTCGAGTGATGAGAAAAAACAAATGCCACTGCCTATCAATTATTGAAGATCCCCAACTTCAAAGGATCGTTAGAAAAGTATTATTCAGGGTGCGTATTATAAATTAAAACGGCTTAGTTTAGTGTATTGTTACGGAAGAAAACGTCTGCAGGTCCTCTGTAAACTTTCTGACGAACATTTTCATATCTATCTGCCACATTTGCACTTAAATGCATATTTAGTTTGCACAATTTCTCTTTTTTTATGAAGACAGGAAAACAAACTGTTAGGTGCCTGTCTGTTTCGACAAGTAGGTCTCAAGCTGTTTTTATAATCTATCATTTTTGTAACTGATTACTAGGTACTACTAAAATCTGATATTAGTCCTTACGATTGCTGTTTTAACCTTACCATTTTTACATAATAAATATGCCTATAGGTTTAGTTCATATTAATGTAGATATGTGTCAATGTTATGGACAAGACTAAACACACAGATTTTCACAAGCTTCAGTTATCGGTTAAGTAGTCCTCACTACAGATAGAGGCCCCCAATATTATAAACTGTAATGTACGTAAACCTGCCCTAGAAAACAGAAGTTAGGAATATTTTCGTAAAGAGAACTGTTGAAACTAGAATAGAAATAGTCAGTCAGAATCTTCAGTTGTTTCTATTCCACTTGTTTAATAATAAACTAGGTAGGAGTTTATCTAATATTTATTATTGTAATTTATAGTCGGGTATCAATTTTAGAGATAGATCACCTCTCTATGGTTTGAATTTTGTATATTTAGTACATTAAGCATTTAATTTTAACTAAATTTGATGACCTAATGTCAGCGCACAAAATGAGACCGCACCAATCGGTACTATTATAATTTTCATATTGTTTTATAACCATTGTTAATAACAACAATCTAAAAATTAGAATTTAATAGCTGTGCAATATCTAGCGATAAGTTATTCATTTGTATTTTAATTATTATTGAAATAAAAATTAGCAATATATTGGAGATCATTGTTTTATTATCATTAAACATTTTAGTTGGTACTTTTTTACACATAATGGACACTTATAATAGTTACAATAAAATAAACATCTTTTATAAAATATTAAAGTAATATTTATAAAATATAAAAGTGTAAAACATAAAACAAACATTATATAATAAAAATGATGTAACAATTTCCTATTTTGGCCAATCAATATAGCTATAAGTAAGTAAATAATATCGGAAGGAATGTCTCGAGTGTTTTCCATCAAACAATATAACTTATGTACTTACTAATCTTCACCTAAAGACGGTCATCGCTAATACTTAAAAAAACCTATAACTTGATAAACACAACACAATTCCAGAACTTCCATCGTCAAAAAAGGACGGTGCTCTTTGCCCGTACCATAAAGTAATACTGTTACTATAATCTGTGGTAGGGTTTGAATCATAATAAATTATCTATTTTTACCTTTAACCACTACACTACAATTGATCCAAGAATTTGCATCACTAACAAGAAAAAATATAATTTAGTTACCTTGAGCAAAGTTACTACATTATTTCTTTTACGTGTCCCTTATCGTTTATAACTAGTTCTTATTTATTATTTTACACAATCATTTCATAATAAAAATATTTCGACCGTATCTTGTTGTATTCATATTCATTTACAATAGGTAATGTGTTAGAAATTATGTACAACAGTAATAAGTTAGTACTAAAAAAGTATGTACATGTATGTACTTACTTTATATGTATTTACAAAGCAAGACCGTTAATTGGAAAGCAATTTGAAACAATGAAGTTAGAAGGTACTTTATTGGAAGTGGTTCAGGAATGAGGAAACCAGCGATAACAGAAGGACAATAGAAGGACCACTGCCGAAAACAAAGGCCCAGAGCAGAAGCGCGCATCAAAATATAAAACAAAGGACTAACCTTCTATATTGATTTTGACTAGCTAAGGGTGACATGTCATGCATCTGACATATCGTAATATTGCCAACCTTTGTTATACATACAACAAAATTTAATCAACGTGGTTAGTGTTTGAAAGAAATAGCGATCCATAGATAGCCGGTTCCTGGCAACTGATGGCATAAATAGCTATGAAAATATATTATGAACTAGTTGTTAACCATACATGGTATTAGATTTTCCTTTACAGTTTGTGGATCTTTAGCTATTGTATCATCATAAATAAAATAGTTTGTTTGTTGGTATTAAAACCATAGAATAAAGCAAATTATTTTGAAAAAGATATATAACTATATTGTTAGAAAAACAAAACCGTACGGCTTTTAACCGTTGCCATTATGCCTTCATGTTTGAAAAAAGAAACGGTGCTTCTTATGGTTTCGTCCTTAAGAGGTCATATAACCGAATTTGCCGTAAAGTTATGCTCATTCTCGTACGAAACCTTTAAAAAAACTCAAGTTCAACAACGTCGTTTGTTGTCACGACCTGCCCTGCCCAGAGCTTCATAGAAGATTAAAGGGATGAGTTAGTTAAGAGTTAGTATTAGGAAATTATTAATCTTAAGTAACTTAGATTAAGAGAAGATGAAAAATAATCACTAGTAAGTGATAAGTAAAAACTTCCAAAGCATACCTACGTATTAAATTTTAAGTGTCGCATTCATCTATTTAGAGTGAACACAAAAGGGATAACAAATCATAATCGAGCTTTGGCTTCAGTTTAGAAAATGCATTAATCACTTAAACTTAAACAGAATTCGGTCATTACATATTAATATCTGGATACCTATACAAGTTCAATAGTAGACGGTCACACGTTTTTTATTATAGAAAGTATAAATACTGTACATGAGGTATCAAATCGTAGTTACAACCAAACAAACTATCATTTAAATAAATAGATAACAAACAAATGTGAATATTTGTATTAACATTCAGCACTGTACAAAGCAGTCTGTCTACCTATTTAGTTCTACATGATGCCTTGTCATCGGCCGATGACCTCAGTCTTAGCTCTTCCTTTACAATTTTTACATATACATACCACATATAAGGTAGGCCATTCCAATTCTTATTAAAGTCAAAGATAAATCTATCTACAAAATTGTTAATATATCTTTACTCTTTTCTTCAAGTAATATTACACGAATTTGGAAGACCGTTATTGCTATAGTGTTTCCTTTGGTTAGGATAAATTGACATACAAATGGCGCCCTAGTCGATAAATGGCACCCTAGTCGATAAATGCCGCACTGTTCAGTAAATGGCGCTCTAGTCGATAAATGGCGCCCCAGTCGATAAATGGCGCCCTAGTCGGTAAATGGCGCTTACTTTAGTCGCTTTCACAAAGGCACCGCAGACCTCATATGGCCTGGCATGTCTTGCGTCTTTAAATTGTACTTACAAGTTTTCTGTTTATAAAAGAGTCAAGCCCTAGGAAGAAGTTTTAACAGAAGACTTACATACCTACCTATACATTATCAGGTAAAATTAAGCTAATAAGAACAAGTCATGAGACTCATGACAGTTCCCAATATGATTATATGGTTGCAAGTGTAACTAATCACTTGAAGTGTTATAATTCGTATAGCACACCGTTTATTTGTGAAGATAAATACTAATAGTCTTTAGCTTCCTATGAATTGTAAAAAAAAAGAAAAACTTTAACTGGTTGAATTCATTGCCTAGTAGTCATCAAATAAATATTCAACTTTTAATAGTTAATTTGAATAGTCTTAAAGCAAAGTATTAAATGAATGAGAAAATATTATTGCTTATTATTATACCAGTTTACCTATACAAACGTAGCTAAGATAATCATTCGATTTAAAAAACGAATTTACTTGTATTAAGTAGTTATAAGTAGTCTTTCAATATTTATCATAAAATTATTTCATTCAAAAATGTAAATTTTCATTCAATATTCCTCCTTCTAGTAATTCGATACTCCCTGTTACCAACAACAATTACGACAGTTATATTATTATTGGAAAAGAATATATGTCAACATCAAACACAAGGTCCTAATTTGGCCTGGGTGCTTACAAGAAATCGAATGTCGTTATTATAAACATAGCTCCAACAAGTGTTGGTTGTCTAAGGCCAATCCTCATATGGGTTGTTAACTGTATGCCAAGAAACTCCTGTGCCAGAAGGAAGATGACCGGACGGCAGCAAGACATGTCGTATAAAAGTCCTACCTTGAGTTAGTCCCAAGAAAAGTCGCCAATTTTTTCTTTTTCCAAAATCATATGGGTTCTTATACTGACTACCTATATGTTTACGGAGTTTTTCATTGATATGAGCCTCGATACTTGTCTCGCCTCTGCCAATGTTTCTTCCATGAATGACGGTCAGTGTTCCAAGGGCGACCAATACCGAACAACATGTAATGGCCATGAACATAACCGCCTTTCTTTTCCATGGATGAGCAGCGATACGTTGAGCCTCAGTGATGGGTGGAACAGGCAGATGATGTTCGCGGGGGGAGTTGAATGAGTCGTATTCTACAATTTCTTTCACTGGTACTAATGCACCAGTTTGGTTCAGCCTCACTGGGTGACCAATCAGATCTGGATCATTGTTTGGTAATAAACCACCTGTAATTCAAATAATCGCAACCATTACCAAATGTAATAAGTTAGAGAAAAAAATATAAGTGTTAGGGTATGTGAATGTATAAAGTACCTGTATCATTCAGCCATATCACTTTGTATCCAATATCAATGCCAGCAGTGATAACAAAAGCCACACCAATAACCATGTAGACCATATACAGATAGAAAAATCTTGCATTATAGTAGCCCACGCAATTGTTGAGCCAGGGGCAGTGGTGGTCCATAGCTAAAATGCATCGGTCACAAACGGAGCAGTGATGAGTGCGAGGAGGCCTTGGACTTATGCAGCGTCGACATATACTAGCTGCTTCAGAAACATGTGTTGTCTGTGGAAAATATCAGAACAGCTGCTGAGTTTTTCTTAACAATCTGGTTGGTTAATACACTTGTACGCCAGCAAGTGAAAATACATAAAGCATAGCTGGTGTTACATAATATTTGTTAATGTTTCAAGTTTGCATAGCAGTTACAATAAACTTACCGGTGGGGGGTATCCAGGTTCAGTAACAACTCCTTTGTAGTAATGAAATACAATATTAATTAGTAGCCAGTTGCCAAATATGACTAGAAAGACTGTTGTGTAGGGGCACCTTTGCCACCAATATGGCAACCCTACCCAGTATGCGACACCTACAACCGCACTAGTAAGCACGGTAACGCAGAAGACAAAAACCTGAAAAAATAATTACACTAATTATAAGTTCTAACTGGCACATCTATATAAATGTATGGGAATCACCATGATGGAAACACCGGAGTTACTTTACTGATCTTATAAATAAAAATGCATAACAGTTTGTTAGTCTCGCAAAAACTCTGAAATAGCTGGACCATATTAGTTAAAAAGGCTTGGTTGGGAAGAATTAGCACCACACAAACACCATAATCAACCTTTTCACACTTACTAAAGAAAGTAAATGTGGTAAGGTGGAGAGAATATAGAGTGAAATACTAATAGCATCAACTTTCTTTCTCATATAGGACTGGGAGTGCTTTGTAAGTGACATTAGATATTTGACAAGGAATTAAACTGTAAATTATATATAGGTCACCTTGTATAGAACAAAACATTGGAAGTCAATTTATGTTCATATAATAGTTTAAAATCTGCGTAGCTTTTGTACATAAACAAATCATTGATAGAAAAGAATCTATGTTGTGTTGTCTTTTGGTTATTTCATTACATGGGATAATTAAGGTGCGTTGGGGTAAGATCGGCGCTGGGGAAAGAACGTACAAATCAAATATCCCATTTATTTGGCAATATTTTTTAATGCTAGCCACATTGTGGGTGACGTCATTATGTTCCGCCCCGCCACGCACTGATCGCCAGTTGCTCCGAGTGCTCGGACGTGTACTACGTGCCGATAGAAATAAAAAGTTAAGTTTTACGAAATATATATTAATCCGGTCTTTCCCCTTGATTTGTTTTTGTGTATTTTGGCAAAAATATAGCTTATTTTGATATAACTGTGGCTAAATACTAAGTTTTTAGCAGTGATAATCCGATAAAACGAATCCATAAATGCTTACTATCACTTTAAGCTGAAATCCGGTGTTAAACATCTCGGGTAAAGATCGGAAGAAAATCATCCGGTCTTAATCCGTTTCGAAATAAGCAGTGTTTGTCAAACTTTTATCAAGTATGAGATGTTCAGATTTGCGTCAGGAGTCATTACTTTAGAATCGTACCCATACTAAACTACCTAAGTAACAGTACCACGACGGTGTCATAAAAAATCAAAGTTAATTCAACTTTAAATTCAGCAAAAATTCAAGGTCACTTGGTCTTCGAGGGGACTAAGGGGGTTTTTGCACTTTTTTACTGTTTCCTAATATTCGATATGACTGTGACCTGGAGGCTAACCATGACGTTCAAAGTAAGATTGTTTATAACAATATAAATAGAGACAGAGCTAGACAACTTATATCGCTCTTTCTCTTACCCACTTCTTTAGTTTTAATAAATATTTGTCATTATTGAAGTTTAATTGAGATTTTATCTTCACTAAACTGTTTGTAACAACGGGCAATTCCTTGATTGTTAATAAGAATTTCTTAATTATTTACATTGCAGAAATTTGTTTTCATAAAGCACAAAATTATTTCATTCCATGATTGTGACAATTTTATTGTAATATTAAATTTTTCTGCTGTCTAACACACTTTTTTCATTACGGTACCTATATGCGAATTCAAAAAACATACCTAAACCTTTTCGTTTCTGGCACTTCTCTTTCCCAACCATAAAATACCCATTCCAATATTTAAAGGACGCGTTAACATACGCTTATTTTATTTGGTAGTATCCTTAAGTATAAACCTAAACTTTGAGAATCTCAATTTCTTCTAAATTCGGTACCTGGGGCAAGACCGGACAGTTTAAACCAAAAAAATAAAAAAATATTTGGTACATCCATGTTTGCCATATTAGGTAAGTTTGGATGATATTATTTTAAAGAACAAGAAAGATCGGATGCATTCTTATTATACACCTTGTGCTCCAAGCAATAGAAACAGTATTTAATCGTCGTCCGAACTTGCCCCTTCAAAGCCAAATCGTCATTATAGTAAAAAAAAATATGGCTTGATTTAACATGCTTACCAAACAAAAAGTATCTAATACTTGTAAATAGATTAAAAATATAATTATATTTAGTTTAATAAGTAACAATCTCCACTATTTTTTAATAACGTGGTGTATACCGAATTAGAGAAAAAAAAGATTTTGCAACACCCTTCCAACTATCCAAAAATTCGTCCGGTATTACCCCAACGCACCTTAATGAGGCAAAATTAGGTAAGTAAATGTTTTTGCTATAGGTTTTTTTTCTTCTGGTTTTAATAACTGTAGCCATAATTTTATACATAGGTACTAGATATTTTTTGGCTATGTCAGAGTCCAGTTAGATTTTCCCATCTGATTTTAGAGGTTTTCTCAATGAAAATACTATGTTTGACTTGATAAAACAGTTTATGTAGAGTAGGTTCATTTATAAGTAGTTTTTATTGCATTATGGCAATACTACACACCTGTTTTGACCTGTTAAAACTAAAAGATCATCAATTAAGATATGCTCTACAATATAAACAGCATGCATCAAGATAACTTGGAAAAGTTATCTACCCACAAAGAAGAATTAATTAATTTTATTACCTAGTATCTATGTAGGTACCTTTATTGCTTTAGTAACAAATTAATTTAAAGTCCAAATGGGTCCAAATAAGACAACATAATAATAATGATAGATGTAAGTACTTATTGTACATTGAACACAGTTTATATTTTTTGAATAGTTACTTACTTTTCCTAGATATTGAGCGAAATTGTCAACAAACCAAAACACAGGTTCTAATAAGAAATCTATAGTATAGCTTTGGCTCATGTGTTCATTGTAGGTAAGAGACCGGAATGTTAACACGGCTTGCGATATTTTCCAAGCTACACATTTTCTGAAAAATAAACCGATCGTAATGTTAAATATTTATTAACTTATGTTTTTCAACGGATTTATAACTATAAACTTTGCATTGCTTACCGTAGTCTACCGAACAGCCCTCGAAACTTCCACCTTATAACAACCATTTTAACTAAAGTAACATTGATTAGAATAAATATAATTACAACATTTGATTTGTGAAATCTTATTAAACAACAAACAAACAAATAGTCCTTTCCGATCAAACTAATATATTTGGAGGTTATATTTTCTATTTTTATTTTGAAGGGTGAATTTTAGTGTTGCCAGACATAACGTATTGATAGGTTCAATAAAATCATTTCAATTGTCATTCATTACCAACGTAAAAATTGTGCAAACTTGAGACATCCACCCATTTTTTAATTTTTCAATCCAGTCCTGTTTTTCTGTTCGTGGTCAGTTTTATTATAGACGAACGACGTTTTTTGGTATGATATCTCGGATCTGGACACGGATAGCGCGATACTCTTAATACTGGACTATATACTGAAATGGACTAGGTATCCAAAACAAATATACTAGTAGATAGTCCTGGAGATGCAAACAAACAAACTCATCAGCTTTATAATATTTGTACCTATAGTTACATAACTAACTACTACTACCTACTAACTATACTAATATTATAAAGAGGTAAAATTTGTAAGTTTGTATGTAGGGGGTAATCTTTGGAACAGCAGGTCGGATTGCCAAAATGCTTCCACTGATGGATAGCTACAGTGTTCCTGAGTGCTATAGGCTATAAAACATCACGCTACGATTAAATGGAGCCGAGCAGCGGGTGAAACGGCGCGAGAGTAGCTAGTCAATTATAAAAATAAAATTGATGTTCATTATACACAACTCAATGCAAACATTCGTTTAACCCATCGATCACTAATAAAGAACTAGATACACAATCAGTGACAAAAAAATGTCCTAACTGAAAGTCCACCAAACTCAACATCGCGGTGTAGTTTTAGTTTAGTAAGTACCACTCGAATGCTCCGACGGTAAACACGCCTCAGTGCTCGTTTAAAAACTGCAAAAAACACACATCTAAGACGCAAAAAAGGATGGAATTTCATATTTTTGTTAAGTAATAATATTATCATTATATAATTGATATCATTCTATTTTAAATATTGATATTTTATTAAGAAATCAACTTTAAAACTTTTTCCAAATGAAATCGTATTCAAAAACCGGGGTTATAATGCACACAGTTTATAAAGACACTTATACTAAACGTAAAATCATTCTCTAGCATGACCACTTAAGTTGTTCGGTTTACGTGGATTGATTCTGTTCCGTTTAGTGGAGACGCTATTATTTCTAATTTAGTTTATTGTTATTTTTTTATTAAAAAATAGTTTTTATTTCATATTATACTTCTTTAGTGTGTTTATTTAAATATGGAATAGGCAGATATAATGGATTTAATTTTAACTGCAGTAAAGACATTTTTTTAGCTTTCATCAAAACCCGTGCGATATGAAAAATTGACAACAATAACGCCAACATTTTCAGTACTTACTTTAGATATATATTCTTTTTATTATTTTACATCTTTTTTATTTGACTTCGAATAGAAAGGATTAAGGAGGACGAAAATAATAAAAAAAATTATAAATATATGCATTAGTTTCATTGGTAAATAAATGAACAAACCTATAGAAAAGAATACTATAAGTAATGCGTTTTAATTTGCGTATTTTTTTTTAATAAAATATAAAATTTTAAAGAAATATATTTCTTACGAGACATTTCGACTTCAATCATTCTTTGTCCTAGCGGTGAGCCGAAGTAATTAAATTTTATTGCTTATTTTTGACACTTTGTAAATTCGACTTAAAAACATGCGAATATGGTTCAATTTCTTATGATTTATGTTTGTCAAGAGCTTCGGTTGCAAAAAATGATAAGATTTTGTACATCACTTTGTAAAAACAACTCTATAAGTTGCACTTAAGGTTTAATTTACATTAATGCATGTTTATTTCAAGTATAAGTACCTAAATACGGTTGGCGACAGTTTTGAAGCGAACTTTTGTATGGGATTGTGTATCTAGTTCTTTATTAGTGATCGATGGTTTAACCCAACATAATTTAACCGTCGAGTATTTATTGTTTGTAACGTCAATATTCTATCAAACATAGGTACTTACTTAATACTTTTTTATTTATACCCATATATATCATGCAGAGTATGATGTTAGCAGACATCACCACCTGTTGTACTTCATCATAATAATTATGCTGAACGTACGCAAACAAATCTTCATGCTCTTGCTTAGAAGCTAAACAGACTTTTAGGTAAAGGAATTGGACGAAGGTCAAGTCCACCATGGTTCCACCAGCCGGTGTTATATGTTACTCGTAGCTATGTCATTGTTCCACAACACAACACCACTTATTAGTAGTTTCAGCTATCAACCAAGTATCTTACCTTCCTGTCGCATTGCCGTGCTTGTTTTTTCTCACTGACAAATGAAAGCTATTTGAATAAAACAATACTAATAATTGACAAAAGACTTTATTAAGAAAAAGCATCATATCACAAACTAAGTAAAAGACATAATTGGACTGTTTTCATACTTTCCGTTAGTTATGATAGCCAATAGTAAGGGCCTAGCCTATGGTCATCGAACGAAAAAAAGAAGCAGTCGTGAAAGTTTAAAAATAATGCATAATGTTAATGTAATTTCAATCACAGCAACTACTTCAGCTTTGTTGAACATAATTGTTACATAATTTTCTTAATTTTGTTGGCTACTCTATATACCGTACAACTGGACGGATCAAAACTCGTAAGAAAATTATAAAGAAAATTGATTTCTTTATATTCAGCAAATAACAGTTACTTATTTCGATTCTTACTTTTTTGTTCCTTATTTCAGATGGACTTAATATTAATAAAATTCGTGTAAATTAATCTTTACACCTCTGAGTGTGTGTCTATCCAGTTATATTTCATTGGTAACAAAAATATAAACTGCTATATGAGTAGTTAATATTCGAGTAGCCAAACAATGATCTATTGATAATGAGATCATTTTTTAATCTAAACAAAGGAATGACGTAATTAAGTACATATAAAATATAATATAACTGTAGAAGTGACAAAAATACGAAATGAATAGAAGTCTAAACAAAAAAATACAATTTGTATTTTGGATAACAAAAAAAAAATTATATTTCATATACCTAATGCAGGTAACACAATTTTAGTTCAATTTAGAAACTTCAACTTAAACTAGGATACTTTAAGAGTATTATAAAAAAACAATGCTGCTTAGTAGAAGCAGCTCTATAAGGACATCTTTGCCCTGTACAAGTAACAAGTAGTTATGTACCAACTTAAGAGTACAAAACTACTGTATAAAAAAGGGAATCAACAACTACGTACTATGAGTTGTACATTCACAAGAACGGTATTTGTTACCGTATTATATATGTTACGATCTCGTTCAGCTGAGATTAGGTTCCATATAAAGTTATTAATTACGAAATTGTAGTAAACGAATAAACTTAAATCAAGTTTTTACCTAAACATTAATAGATAATTGGTAGTATAAAAAAAATATAGCAAGTTTTTAAAACACGATTGCTAACAAACTCTTATTCTAAATACTTTGAGATCTTAACTTTGCGTTTGCTACAATAATTGTATCAAAGAAAGTAATTATAACCTTAGGTTTAGATAGCTGAGTAAGTAGATTGCTCAGATTCGCAATAATACATTGTGTTCATATAAATAAGTTTCAAGAATCTTGTCCAGTACGCAGTATGCAGCACGCACGCGTACGCAGTCCATTTAGGTACTTAGTAGATAGGTACTTCGTCACTCACTCCATATACTTACTACACAATTTTATAATAACATATTGCTGAGAAATGAAGTATATCTTAATATTAAAGTATTTACAATTTAGAATAATAATCCTAATGTCACTATAATCATAAAGAACGTAGATAAGGTCATTTTTAAGTCCTTTTATGATTGAAATTGTACTATTCTTTTTCCGTCTGTTGTTTTGTAGGTACTTAATTAAACGACTTGCTTTAATAGTGCATTTTTCTTTTGAAATATAAAACAGTGGAAAGTTAAAATGTGAGATTTTGGCTCCGCAATATCAATTTCTGCATTTTTTTATTACACACAAATAGTGTAGTGTACTCTTATGAACTACATTGGAATATTGAATATTGGCCACCCATTATCTTAATTTTATAGATTAATTATATGTCTATACTTTTATAGAAAATCAGACATGTCTTTAATATGTTGATAGAGTTATTACAAAAGTTTCTTCGAGATCTTGTCCATACTAAGTATTTACATCAAACAGGAAAATACCAAATACTTTTAATATATGTAATATTAAGTTCATAAACTTAAAAGGGTCTCGTTTTTAAACATTTAATATATAAATTATATTTTTCTAGCTGTTGTTATCAATCATAGTTAACTACGAATTGAATAGGTACATAATTACACATACAAAAATATGCACAGTCGGATGGAATGGATCATTCTTTGGAATGTGCATCATGATAAAATTGCATACAATACAATGCGTTAATCAGGCATAATTCAATAAACCCAAGCACATAGAAAAAAAATGCAAAAACAGATAATTAAATGTGTACAACGAGGAGAATCAATACCCTACATGATACGTCTAAAAACAGCAGAAAAAACTGCTATTGAATAAACTATCTGTATCCTATTAGCAATATTTTAATATGTACCATGTAGAGTAAGTAAATAAACAAGTGCGTGGAATGTATTGTAACCTTACGAAGGGATACACTTCTACAAGTCCATTGTTTAGACATTTATACGATGCACACAATGTAAACAATCGCTTAAATCAATATTCGTCTGTTAAAATAAAAGTAGATCACATTAAAAAAGGTTCTTACGTAACATTACTGATCACTTTATCTTATCTGTAAATTATAGCAATCGAGAAACCTTAACTATTAGGTATACTAAATAAATGCGAAAATGAGTTGGATTGCTTCTTTCGTTCCAAGCTTGAAGCGCCGAAGTTTTAGCGTAGGTACATTGACATAGATGTAGACGCGTGAAGTTGGTAAACTACATTATTTTATTATATGCATGAGGGACACGCAAAAACGAGTGCGTAGGTATCAAAACTACCTTCTTAATTGAATAAAATACAGTGTCATTTCATTATCTAAAAAAGTATTAGCAAGTATTATACATCAAGGCTAGTTATTGCTATGATTATTCAGGTTTCAAATTATACGAAACTGTATACAGCAGTCAATGTCATTTTAAATACTTTATAATACATATTATTGCAGTTAAATACTGTGATTTAAAGCAGACATTATAGCAATATGTGATTGTTTACAAAGATTGCAAAGTTACAGATATACATTAATAAAAATAACTACATATGTACTTCTAGACAAACTTTGTAGAAAAATTTAAAGGTCCATTTTTATTACAAGAGTAAAATCTATCTACTTATCTGAGGAAAGGTTACACTAAGATTTTAAATCACATTCAAGGACCCTGCAATTACTTAAATTTGAGGTTCAGTCGCCGGTGGCAAGCGACTGATCTTATATGTATGCCCGATTCCTTATTTTTACCAAAAATTATTGAGAAGTCCTTGTAATCGAAATGTGGTCATTGACTTTAAACTGCTACTATTAGTGATAACATATTATATTTACATGAAAAAGGGTTATAAGATCTAATAACATACACTTATGAAATGAGTTGGTATCAGGAACCAGACGTTAGGGAACTATAATAATATACCCTGTCGTTATTAATTAAAGAATGTGGAACCAGTAAATCGTTATCAAAAACTGTTACTCAAATATAACTATGAAATATGGCGGTGTTCCATCATTACCTACTAATTAGTATTAAATAGTATATTGCTGTAGGATAAGAACTAAGTATTTCAAAAAATATTGGTATATAGTTATTGAAAAAGGTTAAGAAATGGGTTATCTACGTGAATATATAATACAAACTACATAGTAGTTTCGGTGGACGACTAAAGGTTCTGACGTACCAGTCAGGACAAACTAACACTAGTGGTACAATAATTCGCATAGAGCATTGATAGAAACAGTGTAAACATTCATTGTTGGCGAAGCTTGGACCACAATTGCCCAGTATCTTGTACAAGACATTATTAATCAGATCTCTTTCTTTAAATGTTTCACACTAACTATCTTATTGGTCACGACAACCGAACCGTGAATCGACTTCGAGACGACTACTCCATCAACGTTGTCTCAAAATTATGAAGTCAGTCAAAGATTAACTCCTTACTAGCTGTAGCTTTGCTACACACATAAATAATAATATTTATCCAGAGGAATGTTATATCAGGGATAACCTGGCATTCTATATATAGACCTCCAGTCATTGCGTCTAGGAGCATACATTCACCACATAATCAGTTAAGTCTAATCATGACTTTACCAAATTAAACCGTTTTACAATTATTTATGTAAAATTGTCGCGACTCGATAACCTAATTAAAAAATAACAGTCGCGCTATGCACGTTGTTAAAAATAAGAGCCCCGTCGTGACTTGAAATTAGTAGAGCTTTTATCATAAAGTTGAAATTTTCAAGCTGTTCTAATTTCTAAAATGTCTAGGAGACATAATAAAATGTTTAAAATATATTATCAGCTCCATTTGAATTATTGTAAATAGACTGTAAAGTGGACTTATGAGGCGCTTTCACCGCTTCTTGCATGATTGGCACTTGGAGTGTCGGAAATTGGAGGCCGACACCGTCTGGACGAGGTAAGCGAGACTTGCTCGACTGCTTCTAGCGTTCGCGCCACCGCCATCATCCGCTTGACGAGGTAGTTTGTGGACAGAATTAGTACCTGAAAGATAACGTTATTTTGTTTTACAGCACTTTATACATCGATTGGACAACAGAATGCCTGGTGAGAGTTAACAAGCTTATGACGTACGACGCTGTCATTAGTTTGCTCTAAGTTAACCTGTCTATCAGAAAGCTAAACGTGATAATGTTTCCACCGCGTTATCGTAAAACAAATCGCCCTGGGTACTCTGGCTACTATGCTAGGCGTCGCGCGTTCGATTATCTAATTCAAACAATTGTTCGTGTGATCTTCAAATTGTCGTTCAGTGTTCGGGTATTATATGTAAAATTGTATGTTTGTAGTAAACACACATTCAGGAGAATAACACAAGATACAAGTGCAAGGCAGTTTTTGTAAAATGTTTTATGTTGTGTGGCATTAGATTATGTTGTGTTAGATGCGATTACCACTATACTTATTCGCAATAAAAGGTAACATTCTCAGATACGTTTCAATATTTTAGTTTCAAAATGTAGGTTTTAAAGTAATCGAGAAACCGCTTACCTTAATTTCAGGCCTTAGCGGCAAGACGGCTACTAGCCACCAGAGCCACGCTGGGCCGTCAGAAGTGGACCACCATTCGTCATTGATATCATTTTCTGGCAGAGTGCCGAATGTAGTCTCAATGTCCTGTAGTACTTCACTATCCAAGCTACTCAGCCATAGCAAGGCTCTCAATATTATTCGGTTTCCTAGCAGTCTATACGCCAACACCTCCATCTCATTGTCTGGGCAAATGTCTTGAATTGGTAAGATGCGTGCCACTTCTAATCTGTAATGTACATTTTTTGTGAGCGTGAATTCTTCTTGGATAAACGTCTCAATGTGGTATTCAAACAAGTTATCGGGATTGAAGGTTAACAGAGCCTCAATCTGGCCTAAACGACCGGAAGACGTTGGTAACTTTTTCAAAATACGGGGTGTTAATAGATGAAGCTAGTGTTTACTATCAAATGCTCCGACTGCTCGCCTGGCTCTCAGGCCAAAAACAAATATAGTAAAAATAAAACTTACCCATCTCTCACTCCCCTTTCAATCACTTTAAATCGTGTTAATCCGATGGTTGACAGAATAGACCTGCCATCTTCAAAATGGACGCAGTCCCGCACTTCCAGTATCTATATAAAAAAAGTTTTATTAGGTCATTGAACTGCTAAATTGCGTTCAAAGTTTCGATCGCGACGATCAAAAGTCAATATTCAATGTTTAAATACTGTTTACTTATCTACTGGTAAACATACTGTTATCAATATGAAACAAATAAACATATTTTATAATTTAGACAAAAAATAATTGGAACTTTTCACGTTGGTAATAAGTAAACTTAAACATTTTTTTGATTGCAAGCATTAGTATTTTTATATGTATATAGATACTTTTCCAAGTTGTAACAAATACTTACCGTTCCATAGTCGGTATAATCCTGTCCTCTGTCGCAAGTCACCATACCGAATTTTCTTGAGCCTGATTCCAGCACACGTCGGATCATGAGCCAGTACCGTGGATCGAAGATATAAAGCGGACATGGCACACTGAACAAAGAACAAACATAATATTATAAGAATGCGTACACTCAAAGATCATAGAACTTTAGGTTTATATTAAACTAACGGCCCGCGCCGCCGGTCCTACTATCTCGCTAATAACTCGCTAAAAGCGTCACATTTGGCAATTTTCCCTCTACTATTTTAATATTGTCTTTGATAAGATCCTTCTGCTGGCAATAATAAACACTAGAAAACAAGAAATTGGCATAATTCGCCCAGGCTTTGTTGCGCTATGCACAACAAATTTTGCGATTCATTTTCATATAGACTAGACTACTAGTCATCATCATCATCATATGAGTAACAAGACGTCTACTGCTGAATCCCAAATGTGATAATCATACTTGTAACTGTTTACAAGTTGTACCAAAATTGTCCTAGGATCTGTTTTAAGAAATCTAGGCAATCATTTCAGTATATATAATTCTTAGATAATGTACGTGTATATGTCATTGAACTCCACCTGAACGGCCTACGAGTGGCGCCCTAGATGGTTTAGATTCATAAATCATATGGAGCCTAACGATTACGCTAAAATTTTAAATGTGGAGTTTTCGGGGAGTGTCAACTAGTTTAATATAAATTTAACCTCAATAAGCAACAATAGTGTTACATTTGCACCGAGTTATGTAAAATAAAGATAGTAGTATAATGTGTTTTAAATTAAAATGAAAATTAATACTTACGATGGGTAAGCGACAGTACAGACAAATATAGGGATGAGATCAGGCTCCGGTGGTTCAGGAAGCACAATGGCGTTTATACTCCTCAGCGCTGCCTCCACGAACACAGTATTCATAGTCTGTGAAATAAATATGATATTTAATTAAATACAACAAAAGAAACAAAACAAAATACTTCTAAAATATAATTTCAATTATTTTTCGGTGAATATTTTAAACATCGAAATTATTATTGACAGCTTGTGGGCTCGCTAACATTATTTTATTTATTTCAGTATTTATAGGAGCCTAGTTACTTTTATAAAGATAAAATTAGTCTGGCAAAGCGTAACATATCGACAATAATGTCTTTAGACTAATACATAATATGTCGAAATGTCAGCTTTATAAAATACGACCTTCATTATGTTGATTCAAAATTGTGTATGTGTACTGCTATGAGCCTTTGCCAGTAGCAACCTATTACGTTCTACATAAACAAAAGCATTCTTTATGCGCATGAATTGCTCCATAAAGTGTGAATTTTAACACGGCTAGGCGATACAATATTTAGAAACTGTAGAACTCACGTTTCAAACAAACGTACTTTAGCCATGGACTGCTAATTACATGATGAAACATGCGTACGGTTCGTTTAAAATCGACACAATCGATTAAGCAATAAGAAACAGCACAAAACTATGATGCTATAATAGTCGGAGTACGGCGTATTATGGCGCACACGTAGAAAATTAAAAAAAAAAACATGATATTTTATATTATTAACAGTAAGTTCAATGCACTCAGGTCATCTGTGGGGAGCAAAAAAGTTGAATGTTTTGCAAAAAAAACTACATAACAAAGAAACGTGTTTACAAATATGTATAAGGATGAGCTACTAACCAGGGAGAGCATAAAGTTATTCAAAGTGCGCAGACATAAGGGACAGCGCTTCCTGTAGTCCATTGTGCGTTCCAGACAGATACGGCAGAACGTGTGCCCGCAAGGGGTAGTGACGGGGTCGGTGAACGTCGAACAACACAATATACACTCCATGTCCGTCGGCTTGATCCACGACATCGAGCACAACCGCCGCACGGAACGATTCAGGTGTGGAATTAGAACCCTTGGGTCTTTGTTAAATGTGGATATTGCCTGTAATTCAAATAAATACATTATATATTTATAAGCATACAGGGAGGTATACATAAGCACATGTCGATGAAGTCACTTAAAAAAGGTCCTTGCGCGTTATCAGTCGATCGTCTAAGCTGACGTCATCAGCAAATATGTAACGTCATCAAGGTACTCAAAAACATATTTTTACATAATTATCTACATGTATCCGATAAACATCTTATAAACTTCTAGAATTAATATTGCAATACATATTTTTTCAAAGAATGTTTTAACAGCAATACCTACTTAAAGCTTTTTATTGAATAGCATGAATTATATTAGTTCCTTTCTCCTGTCAACAGAAGACTCTCAACATGTCAACTTACGTAGACTTAACACATTATTGTAAAGCTTGCTAATGTATAACATTAGCTAGTTAAGAAATAATCTAATTTCTCTTACTTAAGTTAGAAGATAATAAAAACACAGTCGTCTTAAAGGAGTTACGAGGACTATTCTAAGATGACTGTGTTGTTCATCTCATTACATGTAATATACCTATACATATGCTTGCATAATGTTGTTTATTTTCAATTAGTTCAAGACTATTATTTAGCGACAGAGTAATTAACGAGACTGATAACGTTACGTTTACACTGTTGATGTGGTATTTCGAAGAAATTGTTTTATCAAAACAAGGAAAATTAATTAGAAAACCAACACGGGGGAGATTTGGAAGAAAAGTTTCAAAGAGGCTTTGAAGATTACTTAATAGAAGTAAAACTCATTAAGTCGTTGTCGTTGGTTACAAGTTGGAATGTTGAACACAATCCAATCAACTTTTATTCATAACTGTATCAACCCTAAGTGTTATAGGATTATTCCACTTAGATTTTTTTCGGTAGTAAGGAGTCTGATTTTATGCCGCAATAGATCTGTTTGCTTTAGTGATAGACCCAAAAACAGTACAATAAGCATCTTTGAGACTATCCGTTTTGGGATGTATTAGAAACGGAATATCAAACCTGAGCCAGTAATGGTCTTGCCAATCTCAAGTTTGGGTGACCAGCAGCCGCTGCGAGAGCAAGATACGGCACGGCCTCGCGCCGCCTTCCCTGCTGCAGCAGCTCCAGTCCATAGTTGTACCGCGCCTGTGATCACATTTACGTAACAATCAACTAATTACTCATTCAGCCACTATAGAACAATCACGGACCTAGCTAGCGATCACTCACCATGATGTCATTTTACTAAGCCCCAGTCTTTATTTACAAACTGACGGCACAGTTCAATGCCCCAAAGTCATTCGAATGTTCGCTAAAAATATGATTGTGTGGCGTGTAATATTTTAAAATGTTTTGATACGGGTGACAAAACGTGACCGCCTTATCAGTTCGTATACTGTAAGGTAAGTGCAAGTACCTATCAACAAACAACATTAACTACGTATAACAAAATAAACACAAGACTTTAGACACCCAATTATAACATACGAAATTAAAGCAGTAGTCGATTTTATAGTGCAATTGATGGATTTGTCAAGATTTGTAAAAAAACAGGCTTACTCTTTGCACAGAGAATAAATAATCGTCTTCTATTCAGTATTCACGGCCGTGTTGGTCGGCAAACGTGGTTACATTTTATAGGGAATATCCCTAGGCCTCGTAAGGAGACCTTCTTAATTTAACTTTTTAAAGGTATATTAATACTAGTGCTATAATGAATACATAACAGAAATCAATATGGAATCAAGTAAATTAGGTCTTGTGTTTATTCTGAGATAGGTTATGTAAGAGTGACTCATAAAATTATTGTTTACCCGAGGTGACATGGGAACTCGCTGATTACCCCCGCTGGGGTAAACAACTTTTGTCTCGCGCCGGCGTCGTTTTGAACCACTCACTGTAAAAGATATATAAATTCAAATTAAACTTTTGTTGAAGTACATTAATTTCGTAACATTATTGAAATGGAAATGACAACATCTACAATGACAATACTCCAGGCTTAAAAAGTATTTCAAAAGAAAGCTTAAGTAAGTAGTGTAGGATAGTGCCGAACTTAACAAAGAAGCCCCCATACGTCTTGTGACATTTCGTCCATACTACTACATAATACGCGGTTATATAAGCCGCAATGGAGTCAGAGTTTGTGTTTCATTACGTAACGCCGGTGTGAGTTACGAGCGCACAGCGTGTTGCTAGACTCGAGATCTGAAGCACGCCAAGGTCGCGATCACTGCAATCGGTGACAGTTATGAGAAGTGGCAACGGTTTATTGCTACACCCCTGTGGCTAAACAGGTTTCTCAGAGGTTCGCAATTTCACACACGGTTACAGATTTGTTAAGAAACGTGTTCACGTAGAACACAGTTTTTTAAAGATTTGAAACCAGCCACAACACTCAGGTACCCGAGTACCCAGTTAAAAATTTTTCGTTGATATATTTTATCTGTTTATAACATTGAGATCGCTACCTAATCTTGTAGTATCTTGAGCACAGTTTAACTTGATAACATAACAATATAACGATGGGGAGTAGGTACTTACATAGTTTAAAAAGTCAAGCGTTATCATTATGGTGTGTATTTCTAAACATTTTTTCAATTTTGAATTATGAATTGTGTTACCTAATGCTCAATAAAATGTTTAGTAAAAATCGCTGATGCGTGTGCATTGCAGATATCTTGATGCTCACAGCTCACAATGAAATCATTCAAGTTCGCCGCGGAGCTGCCACAGTTGACAACGACCTAAGCCGTTCATTATCAATCTTAGGTATATTACGCGGGCGATTGTTACGTATTTTATTTAAAAAATTATATAATAGGAATTATCAGTGGCTACAGGAAGAGTTATGAGATAGCTATTAAGTAACAAAATGCGTGTAAGTACTCTGTTGAAAAACTTTCGATTCATTAGCCACGCTGTAATAATTGAAATTATTGTCATTTTGGAGACTAAGTACCTACACAAGTAAAATTGAAATAAAAATATGTTCTATATTTTGTCACCGATATATAAATTTGAAAGTTGAAGATTCATTATGCAGTCGTATAATCGATGTCCTAGTAATTACACCTCATTACAGTTTTCATTTGTGTTCGTGCATGTGTAGTTAATGAACGCACTAGATAATGCTACAGGCGACATAGATTGGATAGCTGGTTATTTACGAAAGTTCGAATTATTCTTCTAATTAAAAACTAATCATAATTTCCTAGAAAATTATAAGCTAGGTACTAAAATGTTTATAAGAAATAACTGATAAACGATTTGATTTTTACGACATTTTTCCACTTTTAACTTTGCCATTCGCGCATATTAGGCGCTGTAAAGTTTTATAGGAAGTTTCAAAAAACCTCCATAAATACAATGAGAATTAAGTATGAAAGGAAATAACGAGTTCTTTTGTTGAAAGGGATGAAGGAAAATATTTAGGGACAAAACCACGCGTAGGTAACTTCTCAAGTGGTTGACCCATTGTTTTATTCATTAATTTTATTAATTTAGTACTCAGGTTTATTTACTTGTTCTACGAATAAATATTGTTTAATGTTTAAGACCTTAAGAAACTGCAACTTGTTTTTGCAGAAGTTTTTTTTTACAGGTTCCGAAAGTTATTCATAGCATTGACCTATAATCTTGAAGTATTTTCGCAATCCTTTTATTACGTTAGAAGACGAAAGTTGTTTGGATGCGAATTAATTAGTCATTATCCTAATTTATAGTAATATGTGGTTCACAGATCACAGGAATATTACAAAACATCGGATACTTGTATTGAACAGTCGCACACAGATGAGAGCAGTTTTTCAATTAGTGTATGTAGTTTAGTTATTGGACCCTCAAGCTGTTGCATCATCTTTTCAGCATAGGTAAACTTCATTTGAAGTGGGTCAGACTCGTTACGTCATCAGCTTTAAGTATCAACCCTGCAGAAGATTTAATGAGGTCACTTAAAGGCCACTCCGTGTTATGACTGCCAATGCGACAACTACATGGAAGGCTTCCAACATTACCACTTGGCTAATATTTTAATTTTGTATTTTTAATATTGCGAAGGTTACTGCGGTGACTGCAGGTCATGAGGCCACGTAAGATCCATACAGGAGGCCATTTTTACAGAATGCGGTCTTCTCGAGTGTTTTTCGTCACTACTTCCCCCATATTTTATCTACTTACGATTTCAAGTTTAACATTAATCATGACCAATTATAAATTTTCAAAAGCCTCAGTTACGTTTTGAAAAAATATTCAAAATCTATTGAGAATTTGCTTCAGAGTTTAGATATATCTTGTTTACTCAGCGTTAATTTAACAAAAGGCAAACAATACTGTAGATTATATTTCATTAGCTAAGCAGTAGTTTATCTTTGCTTTTTGCAAATACCGTATTCCATAATATGTAATTTGTAATAGAGTTATTCGAGAAAAAAGGTTTTAAGGCTTCATGAGAACGTTCTGATACTTAAGATGTTATGTATTACCCACATTTATGTTAAGTTCAATTACAACTTTTTACAAGTATGTTTTAAAACTAAATCGTAAATCTCGCTAGTGTCTACGGACAGAGAAATATTTCCAAAAGGAATTATGTAGATTTCTAAAATGTTTGTGTCTGTTATTAAAAGTCCAAATAAAAAGGACTGGCAAACGAGTTGAGCAGTTGAAGGCCACTACATGACCCCTTTTGCTTTCTAGATCAGTAAACTAAAAAATATCATAGCCTGAGGGTATTTTTATCGCAAGTATAAGGATTTTAAATATATTTATCCCACTACGCTGTACAATCAGGTCAAATAAACAGCCAAAAAAATTCCAGATTATTAACAAGAACAAGCAGCTTGGGAGGAATCTCGGTGATTCGTGATTGACGTAAGCATTGTACTAAATCGTGTCGTGAGTAATCGCGGCCGTCTAGCGAACACTGAGACCTATATAACGGGCGTAACGTAACCTGCGACCCAGCGTTCTCCATTGCATCGTCGACAATGTTGTTACATAAGAGCAATGTAACAAACAAATGGCCGATTTACATAATAGCCTTGTCGGTGCGCGATTATCGTCGTAAACGCCCACGCGATACAGACGTGGCACTGCTGTAACGCTGCTTTATTATATTATATTTGAAATAACAATAACAACTGTGTTGCACACAGTTACATTCAGACCCGTTGTGTAACAGGATATGTGCATAGCGCTGACTCAGATTCAAAACCAGAGGTTGCATTGCGACGCAACGCTGCGCCAGGGATATGTACTTGCCCGGCAATTTCCTTCTCCCTCTAAATGCTACTTTAACGACAATATACTTAAATTGGCAAGATGTGGTCCGCGTTGCCATTTAGGTACTTAAATTGGCAAGAACATTTACAAATAAACAACTACTGCTTCAAGGCTATTCACAAATTGATTGGATTACATAACAGTTTCAAAGTGTGGACGTTTCTTTGCAATAACCATTAACAAAACCAGTACGTTTTTATGGAATTATGTCCGTCCATTTTTGGAAGACCCTCCTTTGATGTGGAACGTGCTAAAATAGGTCTAGGTCATAAAATTGAACAATTACTACTTTTATATTTGTAACGTAATGTACATATTAGAAACGAATATTAAACTTTCCATGGAAATATTTAATTAGACAAATCTGTACCTTCAGTGAAAAGTGATATAAGTGGAAAATCATAGTTACGAGTAATTTAAGGTTAAAGATTTAAAAAAATCTCGTTATTTTTCTAACGTTCTGAAATAAAAAGCGATATGTGGTACGTGTAGATAATATTATAAAGATTATAAAGAGCTTGGTTTAAATAAATTATTTTGCACGAAATTTAAGTAATTAGTAAAAATAGCCAGTTATATCACCGTACACTTTAGTTTTCTTTGCTTATTTTTGTGTATTTAAATGTATAATGCAATGAATTATTTTACACATTTAGTTATCATTTTGTGTAAAATGTTATAAGGCTTGTGTTTTGGCATATTTTGCCTGCAAATAGTTGTTGTGAGAAAAAGTGGTAAAGCTAATATGATCATTTTGATTATCAGCAACCTTTTTTCATTGTTTTATTTAAAATTCCTACGTAAATATTCAATTGTACCCCTAAACACCAATGTGTTTTTTAAACTCGTGAGTGATTAATGCTACAAGCTAAAATTTATTTTGATACATTTTGTTTATATCGAAGTGTTTATTGATACAAGTAATAACTATTTTCAAACGGTTTTGTTACAAAAATAGGTAAAAGTATGTTTATAGCAAAATAAAAAGCGTTTATTTAACAAACAATTCTTTTACTTTTGTATCTTGAACAGTCTTAAATCGTATGTAATCAGTCTCCAAAAATCAAACATCATATTAATATAATTTTCTTATAAAAAATACATAACTTTTTATCATTATTCTGGAACGGTCTTAAATCGTATGAAATCAGTCTCAAAAATCAATATAATTTTCTTATAAAAAGAAAATAACTTTTCATAATTTTTTATAACTAATCTTGAACAGTCTTTAATCTAATAAAATCAGTCTCCAAAAATTAAACATCAGATATTAATATAATTAAAGCCTTCAACCAGCTGCGGCGCTCGGGCTGAGGCACCGGCGAAGAAGGGGGCGAAATCGCCTACGCCGGCGAAAGCGCCGAAGGCGGCACCTGCGGCTCTGACAGCGCAAGCTCCAACTTCAGCTTCGGCGCCGATGAGTCGCAGGCGCAGGGGTGCAGAGCTCCGCTAGAGCTCCAACCAGAGCGCCGCCCACCCCATCGGAGTTGTGTGCCGATGGCGAGTGGCAGGTGGCCGGGGAAGCGAGGAGGGTCGCTAAGGAGGCGAGGAAGCGCCGCAAGAAAGAGCAGCGGCAACGGCGGCAGCAGCGGCGCAAGGAGAAGCGCGCCGCGGCAATGCTCCTCGCCCCCAAATCTTCGGATGCGGCTAATAAGGGGGTGACGTACGGGGACGTACTTAAAAAGTTGAAGGTGGCGGTATCTCCTGCGGAGTTTGGGGCACCCGACGGGTTCGCAGTGAGGGTCACAGCTTCGGCGCCGATGAGTCGCAGGCGCAGGGGTGCAGAGCTCCGCTAGAGCTCCAACCAGAGCGCCGCCCACCCCATCGGAGTTGTGTGCCGATGGCGAGTGGCAGGTGGCCGGGGAAGCGAGGAGGGTCGCTAAGGAGGCGAGGAAGCGCCGCAAGAAAGAGCAGCGGCAACGGCGGCAGCAGCGGCGCAAGGAGAAGCGCGCCGCGGCAATGCTCCTCGCCCCCAAATCTTCGGATGCGGCTAATAAGGGGGTGACGTACGGGGACGTACTTAAAAAGTTGAAGGTGGCGGTATCTCCTGCGGAGTTTGGGGCACCCGACGGGTTCGCAGTGAGGGTCACTGCCACTGGAGCCCGTCTCTTAGAGGTCCCCGGCGCGCCAGCGGGTCGTCCGCTGACGCCCTAGCCGAGAAGCTCAGGGCGTGCCTTGCAGCGGACGAGGCTCGCGTGTCCAGGCGAACTAAATGCCTGGAGCTAAGTATCATGGGCCTGGACGACTCTGTGACGGAGAATGAGGTGGCGGCCGCTGTTGCCAGGATGGGGGAGTGTCCTGTGGACCAGGTGAAGGCAGGCACCATCCGCCCGGACAATACGGGGCTGCGGACTGTGGTAGTCAGCTGCCCCGTCACAGCGGCAAAAAAGTTGTCGGAGGGCAAAAGACTCCTGGTGGGCTGGGTCTCGGCGTAGGTGAAGCTGCTTGAGCCCCGGCCTCTGAGGTGCTATCGTTGCCTCATTGGTTACCATGTGGGTGCCAAATGCACCTCGGAGGTAGACCGTAGCGGCCGCTGCTTCCGCTGCGGTCAGCCCGGTCACAGGGCCGGCACTTGCACTGCACCGCTGCACTGCGTAGTATGTGCTGCGGCTGGTAAGCCGGCCGATCACCGGGTTGGGGGCAAAACCTGCTCCCCCCCGCCAAGCCCAGGGGTAAAGTTAGGCCCTCTGCCGCCTCTACTGCCCCCGCCGTTTCCCGTTGATACAGACACAGTCGCCACCGCCTCCGCGACTGCTGCTGTCGCTGGTGCCAGAGAGGAGGTCGTGATGGACTGCCAATAATGGCTCCATTACGCCTCCTCCAGGCGAACATCAACCATTGCGCCGCTGCTCAGGATCTCCTGCTCCAGAGCATGTCGCAGTGGTCGATCAATGTTGCTGTGGTCTCCGAGCCGTACTTCGTTCCACCCAGGGAACACTGGTTGTCAGACCTGGACGGCTCGGTGGCCATCATCTCGTCGGCCGCCACCGGTACCCCAACCCCCGAAGGGCCTCAGCGAAGCAGGGGTTGCGTCGCGGCTCGGTTCGGAGAAATCGCCGTGGTGGGCGTGTACTTCTTTCCGAACCGAACTCTCGTCGAGTTCCACATCTCCCTCAGGGAATTAGTCACCGTCGTCGTCGGGTTCCGTCCCCTCCCCGTGCTGGTCCTCGGGGACTTCAATGCCAAGAATTTGGCATGGGGTTCCCGGGTCACTGATGTCCGGGGAAGGATGGTCGAAGACTGGGCTCTGGAGACAGGCCTAGTCGTGCTGAAACGGGGTTCTGTCCCCACGTGCATACGGATGCGGGGCGAGTCAGTGGTGGACATTTCGATTGCTAGCCCAGCTCTGTCATCACGCGTTGGCGACTGGCGCGTCATGGAGGAGGTGGAGACGTTTTCGGACCACCCGTATATACGGTTCGACGTTTCCGCCGAGTCCGCAGACCCGCCAGTCAGACAGGCCCCGATTTGCCAGCGTTGGGCGCTTAGGCAACTGGACCGGGAGCTCTTTCTGGAAGCCGCAGTCGTGCAGGCCTGGGTGATACCACCGGTCAGTCCTGCCGACGCCATGTCCAGGATGTGCGACGTGGCGATGCCCCGGATCCGGCCGTGCCAACGCAAGCGCTAGGTGTATTGGTGGTCGCAGGAGCTGGCTGCTCTGCGTGGTGAGTGCACTGCAGCGCGACGCCGATATACCAGGCACCGAAGGCTCCGTATCCGCCCTCTGGACGCTGAAACCAGAGAGGCGGAGCTGTACGAGGAGTACGAAGGCCACCCTAAGGGTGGAGATCCGGCGGGCCAAAGATCGGGCCCGCGAGGAGATGTTGGAGACTCTGAACAGAGACCCGTGGGGACGCCCCTACCGCATGGTGCGTGATAAGCTCCGCACCTGGGCGCCCCCACTGACTCAGAGTCTCCGGCCGGAGGTCGTGAACGAAGTGCTTGGGGCGCTATTCCCCCGACCACAGATAGGTTACACGCCTCCCACTATGTCTCCGCCCACTGCAGTGCCCAATGCGGGCTACAACGACGACGACGGTGAACCCGTTCCGGAAGTGACCGAGGTAGATTTGAGAGTGGCGGTGCGCCGGCTCAAAGAATACCGCCCCAGGACCTGACGGGCTGCATGCCAAGGTTTGGGTCCTGGCCTCGGAGGCTCTCAGGCCTCGACTAATTGGTCTATTCAGCGCATGCTTGGAGAGGGGCCAGTTTCCGCTGTCGTGGAAGATAGGCAAACTGGTCCTCGTGAAGAAGCCGGGGCGTCCTGCGGACTCTCCGTCCGCGTACCGGCCCATTGTGCTGCTCGACGAGGTGGGAATTAAGTTTCAAGCTAGTTGCATAACATATTAAGGTAGCTACAGCGTACAATGAAATGATACAAGTCTTACCTTACGCATCGTAGTTGTGTACTGTAACGCACGACGCACCTGTCCTGACGCACGCCCGAGACTAAAGAACCCGCGTCCCGCGTCGCCCGCGCTCTGTCCCGCGGGGAAGCGGGGTGCGTAAGAGCTGCGCGACTTGTATCACTAGGTACTTTGTATTTTTTGCTAATTTAGTTCTAAAACGCAATGCAGTTTTGATTCTACTATAATAATACCATTATTCACGTAACCATGTATCTTATTTCCCTTATGTTCTTACAAATAGAATTGATATTAAATTTGTAATCACATCAAAATTGGCTACATAAATAACGTGTAAATTGTTTGATTAGTAGTTGTATCATTAGTCACATATTTTTATGAAAATAAATTTGTGTTTGTATGGTTCATGTACAAATGTAGCACTTTTCACTAGAATGTATTGTTTAAACTTTTTAAAGTTTAGTGATAGGATTTCATTTGTATCACTTTGGATAATTTGAAGTAAAAGCTTACGCTTCGCGTAAGATGTGGTAACTCGAGTCGTATTAAAATACATTTTAGAAATATAAAGATCGCTTCGGAGCACTTTGTTATGAATCAAAAAGTATTATTTTACTCAATAATTTCGATAAAAAATTGCTTACTTATATCAATGAACACAAAATAAACTCTTTCAATTTTAATCTTATAACAACGGGGATAAGATTGAAATTAAGTTAATTTTTTTTTAATAACTTTAATCAGAGAATATAAAAACCGATCTGGGTCGACATGTATCACTTTTCACTGAAGGTACAGAAATATCGATTGTCTCTAACTCTGTAGAACTTGAAGGTTACACGTGTATCTTCTTAGGAACATTTTGTAGGTACCTACCTAAATAAATATGATACTTAAGTTATATAATAAGTTGTATTAAACACATAATTGTGTTATTCAACGTAATTACAGAAAAATTAACGCAACTGAGTAAACAGATAGGTACCTGGTACACTGAAAGAACATAATTAACACATCTTAGATTGGTTCTTCAGATATGTGATCTAATAAGCCATTTTCTCTTTGATTTTTAAATGAAATTGAATGACAACTGTTTACGTTTTCCGCGGGGCTTCAAAACCTTCAACAGCCATTGCATAACCTGCCTCCCTCGAGTGACTTTCATGACCTGCGCGACGCGATAAGCGACTGATATATATGTACTCTTTTCTTTTGTTCCAAGATTGTTGCTTATATCAATTTATATATTTACTATATTACTGTCTAACAACAAATTCAATCTGTTGCAGTGTCTACATAAGACTGTCGTACTATGCCAGATGTTGCGATGAATAATATCTATTAATTGATCTACTGTTTGTCTACTTTTTGGCAAAAACAAGAAAACATCGCATATCAATAATTATATATGACGGTCTATAAGCATAACATATATTTGCACATGATGTCTCGTCTTTTAAGCTCGAGAAAACAGAAATCCCGCGTATAGAACGAAACACCAACTATGAGTCCTAGGTGAGAGCATATGGTCACATGAACAAGGATAGCTGTGCGATTTTTTATAGGTACTAATTACTTCTATAATGGCTACAGCCAGAAATTTATACTCAAAATACAAATAAATATTTAAATACACGGGGGCTTCCACATAACAACTTATGTTTTGAATTACACTGTATTTTTAATATTGTGTAGGTATAGGTAAAAGCGTACAACACACAGAAACACAAAAATATGAAAGCAAGTGCAACGAAATAAATTAATGGGATGCAAAAAAAAAAACAATCGCAAAAGCGCAAAATAAATAAAAGTAATCGCACAATGTGTTGCTAAGCGTTAAACTGTCAGTTAGACAATTGCAATAACAATATTATTATTTTAAAATATCATTCAAATGTATGTGTGGTATGCGAAAAACAGGTCTATTTTAGCAGGGTCATAACATATCACAGCGCATATTTTACGTAGGTAGGTATTCAATGTAAGGAGGGAGAGCCTGTTGTCATTGGGTGGGCAAGTGGAAATGAACAAACTAATTAAAAATCAAAACGCAAGCTCATTTTAATAAACGAACTTGAACTACATTTTATAATAGAATATATGTAAGATGTATAAAGGTACTGTTTATTAGATATTCGCCTTAAAGAAAAATTTTATAGAAAAACTTACATGTCTTTCGCAGTTTGGGCGACGGTTCATCGGGGTCATCATTTTCTTTGGCTTTGGTCGGCACACGATTACTGAAAGAAACAATATGCATGTAAACACAAACAAACAATGGCGCTATTATTCGAATACTATCATAGATTTAATTCGACGGTTTGTATTCTATACCTTGACGAGTTTTCATTGAATTTAGATTTTGCTATTAGATCCCGTATCATAATATTGACGTGGAACGGCTCCGAAAAAACGCTCCCGCACGGACACGTTGTATTTTCTAACGTACATCTGAAAACAAATTTAAAAATAAATATCGAAGAAAAGCGCAAATTACGTATACTGAATCTTAAATGTATATAACTTACTCAGAACATCGCGTATGTCCACATTGTCCAGTGATTGGATGTAGAGGTAGTAAACCGCAGTTCAGACAAGACATTTGCGTTTGGAACGTATTTCTAAGACAGAGAGCACGAGCATATCTGATTACTCTGTTAGCCACATCCTTAGCTCGAGGACATCTCGACAATGTTTTGTTTAGGTCACGAAGTCGTCTTCTGTCTAGTGCAGGCTGTATATGACTGTGCGTCATGGTATCTGTGTTGTGTGTGAAGTTTCTGAACTTGTTCGGAGAGTAACCCTCGCTGTTGGGGACTGGTAACGGCACACTAGACATGGCCGACACCGCTCTCTGAGAAATAGTGTTTAACGTCTCGTCAATTGAAATCGTATCCTCGCTTCTGTCATTCTGCTGATTAGGTGGGTCTTCTGCGATATTTCTTTCTGGCGTAGTTGGATGTTGTGCTCTGTACCTTAAGTGGCTGTAGTGACTTTCTGGTCTTACATAATTTGTAGATGCCATGTCTGATTCCCCCTCTAAAAAAGCCTGGTAACAATTTTTTTAATTAGTTTCATTACAGGATAATGTCTTCATATAACTTTTAAAGTTGTGTTACATGATTGATAAGCATATGTGAATGAAGAAAAGAATAAAATAAGAACAAAACTAAACCAGTTCAAAACAATAAAAAAAGTTAAAATGAACCTAACGTTTAATTGAATTAGATTCTAATAAGATTTGAAACGTTACGTTTATTGCTATCAAATTAAATATTTTTAAAATTATCACGTAAAAATTTAAATATAAGAGTAGAGCGATGTAAAATGATGAACTTGGCCCAGAACATAGAACCGGTTGTGCGGTGGCAGCGAGTCGGTGAGGCTTAGCGAATACGACGCAACGCGAGTCGATTGCACCTCACCTAACTGATTTATGCAACCGACGAACAACGCGACCGCTACTCGTAGCGCTGATTACTGCACTGCGTCCATCCGTTCTGTCCGTTACTTCAATATTTAGGTCACTGGGTAATAAGCAATATTTGGACTTACACTTGATTCTTTACTTATAACTACTGCATATTACGCATGTAAATTATTTACCATTGTATTGATTATTAGTAGGTCAAAAAAGGGTGGGTCAGTACTAAACTTAGTTATATTACTACTTCTTATTTAACTTTTATAAAGTTGAACGAAACTTTTGCCCCACTCCAATAAACATATTTTGAGTGAGTAAGTACGTTGCAGAAGGCCAACCGCGAGTTTACTATCCAACTTTAGTAGTGGTAACCATATTTACTGTATTTTTTTTGTTGTTTTTTGTATTTTTTTTTTTTTGATCTTAACGGCAGAGAAATAAATGATATATCATTTGTTATTTTTGATAATATTTCCGGACCCTAGGGACCCGTTTGTCTTAACTATAGAATGAAAATTTGAAATAACTTTGTAAAAAATGAAGCTGATTGTAGATGGCAGGCTTATATGATGATATAGATGGCATGGCAGCTTGAGATAGAAAAAAATATGTTCAGCGAGAGAATGCAATAACATGAATGATAAGCTGGGTAATATTTGATGCTTCTTTCTTACAGTGCTATAAGCGTTAAAAACTTGCAATACGTGAAGTTAGTAAAGTTTGCTTTGATGAGGCATGCGTGAAGGAAATAATAAAAGTTCGAATACGTGGTACTTCCCACCGCTCACCTCTGTACAATCGCAAGGCAATGGACGCATCGTCGTTGTTCTCTGCACTGCTGCCTAGAAGTTTTTATTTCATACACTATGAGACACTCTTTAACAATAGGCACTAAGTTCTGATCACTACACAACACGCTGCTTTACTATGCTTCAGTTAATAAAACACAGCTAAACGTTTAATATAAGACATTACTACGTATACAAGTGGTTGATGTCGCTCGAATGTTACTATCGAGTGCAAGACGGGATCGGCCGAGGCGCATGCATAAACATCGTCGTAACTCACTTCTAAATATAATATTGTTTATAAAATATGGAACTGTATTGTGTATTCGAATCGGCGACAACTGTATTTAATGTTGCTTGGTCGGCTACGACGTGAACACTGAATGAAACTTACAATGTCCTCGAGCGACGACAACAACATGTTGACGCCAACAACATGTCGACCCAAGGCTCCGTGACCCTCCTCCTGTAACAAATTATGTAAACGTAAATTTTCCGCTAAAGTATAACAATTATTCAAGAAATCGTTCTAGTACATCACGTAACTTACATTTTCCTCGCTATTGATATCTCTGTATTCGTGGCTCGATGTGCTTGCTGCCATTGGGTTAGGCGGTGACGTCTCCAACTGACATGGAATAATTAATAGCATTAAGTATTTGATTCTTAAAGCAAATAAACAAAAATAAATACAATGTGGTGTAATTCTTGGCTGGTAGTGGTGGGAAAAAACAGAAGTAAGATAGAATCTCTTTAAAATAATAACTAAGTTTATGCCACTGTCTAGTTGCCCAACTAGCTAACAGTCCGTGCTACTGTCGCCGTTGTCCATTAAATTTCTAACCAATCCATTGTAAGTTAGTCCTACAACTAGAATAACCAATATAACCTATAATTAATTAATAGGGTTCATATTTCATGACAAGTAACGTACAACCGTCATGGGCAGGGATATAAATTTACAATATCTAATCTAAAATACTTCCCTTCCCCCAAGGCGCGACGAGTGAGAATGAGTGAGACTCTTACTGACTTAAAACCACGGGATCCCATAAGATTGATCGTTATCGATACATCCTAGCTATTTAGGAAATTCAGGGATGATAAAAATAAACACTTATCTCCATCGTCAGAACTTTTTAATCATCAAGTTTCCACTTAAGTAAATACTTATTAATATTTACCAATCAATCTATTCCATCCAATTTGCAATATTGTAATAATTTTTATAGTAACATTCAATAGCTATTATTAAAAAAGTGAAGTTACGGGCACATTATTTACCATAGTATATGCGTATTTATATATGCATAGGTACACGTATCGATTGATACTGTTTTAGTTCCTTTATCATGCAATGTTTAAGCAGTTATTGATTAATTGCTCAGTGCCACTGCAGTAGGTAAGTTAAAATAAATAAACAAAATATAGTTCGTTGTGTTAACTAACTTTTGTACAGTTCGTGGTGTTATATTTATAATGTTTGAAGTAAGAATATCGGAACCGTTTGACGTCATAACTTCGACTATCCCATTGTATGAACATTTCAAGTCAATTGATTGGTTGAAAACTAACCCATAAGTGGTCAAGGTTTGGGAAAGTCGATATAACACCCAATTAATTTATTGGATGGTAGTCGATTCATAAGCTATTTAAAAATATCCAAGTATTCGAACGGTAACTTTTAAAATTTCAAAAAACGAAAAACTCGACACATGTCACGTGCAGATAATTTATTAATGACTGAGTAACAAGGTCAATGACCGATAGCGTCGCGCGATTTTATTATTTGTAAACATAATCGTTTAGAAGTGTGTATAATTTATCTATTAGACTCGTTTACCTACAGTGCTATAACCAACCAGCTTTTGCCTGTGAGTTTGTATGCTTAGAATTCAATCTGTTAGAATGTGTTAAAATTTTAACCTGAGGTTGGGAATGAATCATAAATTGGTTATTTGATACGATTCCGTCACATCTTATCAGTAGACACCGTTATGACTCTTTGGAATACATAAATTAATCATCGTCTGCGATATAGTATTGCCTACAACGATTCTTACGCAAAACGAAGTAAGCGGTGGGCTTACATAACGTGACCTACTGGCACACTGACTCTGTGCCGCAGCCGCAGCGCATGCCTCGCTTGCACTGACTCGGTATGTACCGCCTACTTACATTTGCTGCTTTATCGTAACTTAACTATTGCAAATGCTATAGATAAAAGCATTAACTGCTCAATGTATTGGAACGGAACACACAATGCTGCGCTGTTTAGATATTTGAGATTGGCTGCGATCGTTGCCATTAATTTAATCATATTGCAGCTTTACTAAATGGTATGAATTCTAATAATGTTAGTGACAGTAAAAATGTTAATGCTTATTTTATAGATACGTGTCCAGAAATTAGGTCGCCTTTTTGGTTTTTTCCATTTAACTGCTAACAAACACTTGTATTAAGCAGAGTACGATGAATATTCCCTAACGTTCTAAAGTAAGATAATAAAATAGATTACAGTTTCGCCAGCTTTGGTCGACCAACTAAATTCATAGCATGTTGTTCCTCAAGAAATTTACAGTAAACCTTTCAATCGTGGTAATTCGAGAGTTCGAGAGCTAATAGAAGTTGTACGAACGCCGGCGTTCGCTTAGTGTTTGTTTGATTGTGAGAACGTGATTGTTTCTTGTCGATCAGGTAAGATAAATCAGTTCTTCAAAACCGACCACTAGCGAATCGAAGTACATGTATTAAACCTATTACACACATGTGAAACATCGTAGACTTGGATAAATAGAGCATGACTCATTACAAATCGATCATGAACATTCAAAAGTTATTGTATAGACATACTTTACAAAACTAAGTCAGTAATTTATTATTATTTACAATAAGATGTAATGGCGTTTTAAGTATGTGCTATTAGGATAGGATGAGGGTAATCATTCTGTGAATATCTAGCTAATAAACTTTCATTACTAGTAATTTCCTTTACGATCAACATAATGATTGTCCGCTAGAGTGATAAACTATCTTTCACGGTAATGCATTTCAATAGATAGCTAGGTACCAAATAGGCATGGAAGCCCGTCACTAAATAAAGCCACTTAGCCTATATGAAAGGATTAAGAATCCCGTTTTTCTATTTAAATACGAGAACTGAAGGGGCTACGTGAATGTATTTGTCATGTATATGGTACAGGTTGGAAAACGAGCAGATGGATCAAATTTATCTATTACATAATGGCCATCCAACATTTTGATGCAGGCCTAAACCTTTTGGAATTGAAAATGGAGGATGCTTGGGCTTCCAGTGCCTTCACATACACGTTGAAACACGAAAATCTCAAACTACATTACGAATTGACTGAATCACCTATTCGTATTTTTTTCAGGGAATCGTACGTGACTTTCAGCATAATGCCAGTATATGTACTGTAGCTATTCCTATTCTATTTACGCATGTCCAGATATATTAACCTCCACAAGAGTTCATTGCGGCGGTCATCGCCTTACCTCAGACGAGATAATAATAACTTATTTCGTTGCTATACATATATACCTACCTATATTAATATAGGTTTTTACAAGATGTTCATGGAACGTCAGATGGCTTAGATAATGACGTCCGTACGACGCTTGTTTGAATTACATTAAAAATTAAATCTATCTGTTACGTAAAAAATGTAAATTGTTTGTTTGATTGAATGTACTAATCTCTAGAACTTCTAGTTGGAATTGAATGAATATTTTTGGCTTCGGGGAGGTCCATTTATCAGAGAAGACTATAGCCGTTTAAATCACACTATGCCCAGCAGGCCAACGGTAGCCGAGCAACGTGTGAAGCCGCGTGGGAATAGCCGGTTTATAATTTTACGGTCCGGCACCGTTTTGTTTTACGGTCAAAATTAGATGGCTTTCATGTATGCTTTCATTTTGTCAACCTCTGTCGTAGAAGTGCCCTTATGGTCTTTGAGATCTTTGGGTAATTTAGGTTCAGCAGTAGACTCTCACGGCTTATTAATGATACCTAAATTTATATATTTTTTCGATAATATCAACGTAATTGCAGAGATTGATGCCTATATCAGCAGCATTTTACTATTTGTAATAAAAGGTGATGCTGAGAACTCGAACCTGTCACTCCTGTGCTGAACCTCAAGCATCAACAATTTGGTCTTGTGGAGATGCAATTATTCTCGTAATATATATGTAGTAACTCGTAGTCATCTGTCATCTTTCCTTTTTAGCTATTCATTAAAAATGAAAGTGATAATATATATATTTTATCGATGTGGATTCCCCTAATGATTACGATCCGGTAGATAACACTCAGAAGTAATGTACCGCCTGGTAACTACACCCGTGCCACGATAATGCACGTTAAGTGTACGTATACCTATGTAATTTGAACTACTGTTAACAATTTACGGGGAGTGTAGAGCTCGCTAATTTTTTTTTTAATATTGATGATAAATACCAATATTTCTACGAAATCCTACCTAAGAAATGCACTCACAGCACTTTAAACTTGTTGTCAAAAGTTTAGTGTGACCTGGATTCCATTTATAGCGGTGAAACGAAAATGAAGCTTTTCGTTTAGATGCTTAAACTGAGTTTTGTTCAACTTAACGACGATTACTTTTCGGTGAAAATTACCCTAAGGTATGTAATAGGTAGGAGTTATATTTGTAAACAACTTACGAAACTATCCTAGTATCTACACACGTGTCACGTGGGCAACTGTTGCATCTTAGCTGTCTGCATGAAGTCAACAATAGGCTAAAATTATACCTTTAAGTAGTTATTAGATAGCCAAACTAGACAGTTAAATTATTGGCTAAAGGTGAGATGGGTAGTTAGGTAGCCAGCTATGATACCGAAAAAAGTGCAATTCGAGAAATCAATATTACACATTCCTATCGTATAATGTCCCTCATTATTTACCTAAGTACCTTAATTTATCAATAGTCGATAATAAGATGTATCTATAGTCCGTCCGAGGTTCCAATCTGATAGAGAAATAAATCTTATAGCTTACTAAAATGCATTTCGTAGCTAAGTACATTTAAATAAACTACCCCCAAATTTATTAACCACTCAGTATTTTGTTATCAGTTAGCTAGGCATGAATGTTACGTAAAATTAACAAACACAATGACTATAGACATGATTATGTCACTGTAGTACCAAAAGAGCTGCACCCACAAGTAAATGATGGAACACTTAAACACTAACCCGCACATGGCCTTTGCCTGCTCGCATGACTACCTCAACACAGAAAATAAAATAAATTTGGATAGACGGGCGCCGCGCCCGTCGCTCCGTGTTTATGTTTATCTTGTTTACACGCAAGCGTCGCCAGCGGAATCACATTGCGCGCGCTTCTTTGCATTTCCCTGCCTATAATATAGTTTTCAAGTCATCATCCCTTAAATTTTCATCCTTACATAATTTTCTTACGTAACGACCGCGTGGCGAGGATAATACCTGCGTCCCTCACTCCGCTAGGAACGTTCCGACACAATTACGTAACCACAATAATAATTAATAATTTGGTTTTAAGCATATTAAAGAATTAATATACTCAAATGCTGCCGGCGTAAATTAAAATTTTAAAAAGATAAAATAATTTACTTACTTACCTCTTGCATTTCCCGTATATCCAAGTATTGCGCCATCCGCCGATCTGGCCGCATAATTTTTATAGATTTATACGATAACTATATTAATAAAAAAAAACTAAAAGCACAATGATAATATTCCGGATGACCACTACCCACAGTGAAAACTTAAAAAGTGACGAAGTTGAATAAAGATTATTAGTGTCATTTATTCAACACTCAAGCTCCGAAACAAAATGTAGTATGATAATACTACTGAAACTCCGGAGAATCCGTTCGGATTCTCAAGTTTATTGCGTTAAAGTACGACGACTACAACCGGCTTGTAGTTGACCGATGTCGACGAACAGAGAACGGACTGACTACAGACGGCGAGAGGCGAATAAGCCTTAAGGTGCGAGCGAACCACTATGTGAACCACAGAGTATCTAATAATCATTCACTTAACTATTGTTATGGTTATGGTTGAATTTATTTTAATTATGAGACGATTTTGTAAAATTATTATCAACACGTATTACATATTATAAGTAGAAGAAGAAGAAGAAGAAGAACCTATGAACGACTTATTCGTTAAAGAAATTGTCGTGGAGAATGTTTGCAGCGACATCTCCCTTAGAACAGTTAAACAAGCTAGAGACAGAAATAGCACAGACGTATAAAGACGTTTGTGAGAAGTTCTTTATTTTGAAAATAAAATGTTAACACTAAAGTAAAAGTATTGTACACAAATGTAAATTAGTTAAAAACCAAAGTGATAAGTCCGACCAAACTAAAAACTGCTCACTTGGCTAGTCTGTGGTACCCATGTCACAATCACAAAATGTTGGCTTAAAGGACTCGTATCCAGGCCATAAACTACAAAAAAAAAAAAAAAAATCACAAAATGTAGTCATAAATTCATAATCATAATAAAAAAGTAACTCTTGTCTATGACTATTCGTGCAAGTGCGAATGCGAATCCATCCATCAATGTACGTACAGTGAACTCGCCTTGTTTTTTTGATAAGTTGCTTATTTTAGTCAATAATTTCATATAAGTGTTCATTGCTACTGTTGTTACGTGTTACGATATACAAAATAAACTATTTTCGGGTGTGTAACGTGATGGGCACGAATCGTATTTGTGTATAGTTTTATCCGACAACAAATCTGACGCATTGCTTGAAACACAGTGGTCATTTTCCAATTACCTATTCACAGAAACGCATCGTACTTTGTTGTATCTTGATGGTATCAATCGGAAGATTGTGTTGGTATTGAAGAACGTTCGTGATTGATGTATGAAATAACTCAGAAGTATTATGTGATTTCAGTCGGCACGCTACCGTATCGCCTACTGTGTCAGGTGGCTGATTTCACCATTGCGATGATAAGTACCTAAAGATTGATTGGACTTTAGTGCTGACTCCAAATATAAGTGCCAGCACCATGGACGACGACGGAGATGATAAGGACGATACAAAAAGGTATGTAGCCCCATTTCATTTGAGTATACATTTGAACTATATAATGCCTTGCTTATTTGTGCAAAAAACACAAAAAATATTTTTAAGAACAATTCAACACAATGGGACTATTTACATGCTTGTATGTAAACAGTATGGTTACTGTTTATTTAACTGATTTATTGTTTTGGGTAGGAGGACTCGCAACTTAAGTGAGAAAAAGCGGAGAGACCAATTCAATATGCTGGTTAATGAGCTAAGCGCTATGGTCTCAACAAACAACAGAAAGATGGATAAATCAACAGTCCTCAAATCTACTATCTCATTTTTGAAAAATCATAATGGTAAGTAATGTATTGTATATTATGTATAACAACTCTAATGCATCAAAAATATGAAAGACAACCAGATTTTATTAATTACTTTCAAGTTTGGGTTAGGTCCAATTTAGTAAACAATATGTTATGAAGCAACTGAAATGCAAAGGTTGAATATGCCATGGAATCTTCCAATTTCAAATAAGCAAATCAATCACTAATAAATCTAAGAAAGTTATATTGGTATTTGATAATCATAATTATTACTAAATCTAGAATATGTTTTAAATTAGTAATTAGAAACTAAGTAATTACTTGAATAAACATATGTTAGTTCTTTCCTGGCCTAACATAACAACAAAATAAAAACATAACATTAAACTTGGGTATAAATGACATTACTGATAAAATTAAAAATTATGTTTGTGTGACTGCATGGTTGGTGCAGTGGCTGCCACTTTTTGAGTTCCACAAGTTATTGTTCTTGTTGTAGGTGTAGCATGTATGTAAAATTGTTTGTAAACACACCCACGGCATTAGCGAAAACAGGCAAAAATCCTACTGTATTTTGTTTTGTGGTAGAATCTACTAAATTTCTTTTTTAGGCTTAATTCGGAAGTTGCAAGGCTATATGTTTTCTACTCATACATGGTTTCAATTATGTCATTAAATATATTTATTTGATAGATGGATCATAAAGAAAATTTAAACATTTGGATAACTATCAGTAAAATATTTTATAAAATATGGTGATAATAAATGTAAAATGTTAGGTGATGGGATGGGATCTACCATTATTTAAATCATGCTAAATTCTATTTACATGTAAATAGGTGAAAGATAAGTAATGAGATTCTAGTTCTTATCTTTTATTTACTTTTAACAATTGCATCTACAATTGTATATCTATGGTTGCTATAATATATTACATGTTCATGTTGCAACAAGAATTATAGTGTCTATAATGTGGAAAGTTATTACTCGTTTTGGATTAAATATGTGAAATAATTTTAATAGTAGGATGTAGGAAGACTCTCAGCACTCTATATAACCATGTGCTCAAAATCAAATAAAAATACCTTAACAACATAAAACATATTTTCTGTAAAAATATTAACTTTGTTTTAGAAATAACTGTTCGATCAAGAGCTCATGATGTTCAAGAAGATTGGAAACCAGCATTTTTGTCAAATGAAGAGTTTACATATTTAGTATTGGAGGCATTGGAGGGCTTTGTAATGGTTTTCTCAGCTACTGGTCAAATCTACTATGTGTCTGAAAGCATCACATCATTACTGGGCCACAACCCAGTAAGTTTCTCTTTTATGTATTAGTGTAGATATTTTATACAACAAATGTAGTACTTATTTAGAAAATTAGGTCTAAATATTTCGTTTTCTGAACTCTGTTGTAGTAAGGTATGTGGTTAGTGAAATGTGTTCATTGAATGTACTGAAAATAGTATAGAATTAATCCTTTTCTCTTCTTTTAGGCTGATGTCGTCAACAAAAGCATATTTGACCTGGCTTGTGAAGATGATCGGCCAAGTTTGTACAACCTATTACAAAATCCTGGAAGTGCAACTGACCCAATGCATGCTCTTGGTAAAGGTATGTAAAATTTGATATTTTAAAATGATGTAAGTTTTCAAATGACTGACTAAATATTTTAATGAAAGCTAAAGCTAAAGCTGGGTAGGTATATCACTTTTATTCTCTGCTTCTAATTTTAAATCGAGCTTGTTACTTGCCCTGCCACGTAACTGTTGTATTGTGCATTCGTTAGAACATGCGTTATTTATAAATGAACGTGTCTGTAGAGATCTCATCTAAAGGTCTATCCTCACATATCTAGGTCGACGCCCGGTCGCGACCGGAAAACTACATACTAACGATTTGAATCTTATTCCCACATTGTTATGTTAGATATTGGACCTACGTTCTGTGTGTGTTAGTGACTTATTGTTACTTGCATGAATGTATCTGTATCTGTTATTGTCAACAATTATGAAACAAAATTTTGCGAATCCTTGTGAACATATTGCTTTGCATAACTTTATGATGGCAAATTGCGAAGAATTATAAATTATACAATAATGTTGCGCTTATAACCTTTACAGTTTCAAACGAGTGAACGGCACATTAAGGTTTATCATATTGTACAGTATACTAAGTACAGTAGGTACTCATAATGCTACCAAGTAAAGATGCTGTTGCAGTGAATGCATTCTAGTAAGAAATGTAGTATGGTGATGGAATAATAAGTAATTGTATTAGATTGGATGTGCTGTATCTTTGACCAATAAGGAAAAGACGTTGCTGTAATTTAAAAATTGTAATTTTTTACGACCTTGTAGAAATGGTAAACATTTGCTCCCAATTTAACTGAAAAAGTCAATAGCTATTTGCATTGCGAACTTAGCTTAGCGAGATAATGTTAATTTAGTACCATGCTGGCCACCAAATCTACTTCTGTAACTTTATTTAAATAGCCCGTCCTTCATATTAGAACTCCAGACACGTTATACAAACATATACCTACTGTATAATTTTTTTCTGTAGTGTTACAAATAAGATATTGAAATTAAATTGAAAGTTTTCATTAAAAAATATATCGAGCTGGCGATAAATCCCTTGTCATGAGCGTTGCGTGTCAGCATTTTTGTTGATTCAAAACTAAAATATAAACAGTATCATCTAACCGCGATAAATAATTGTTTAATAATACCTACTCAATGAATGTAATTCTATCCTTTGTATTTCATTACTAAGAATTTTGTTGATACCTATCGCATCGCAAGGAAAATTTTTGTGACATAAAATTGATAAAAATATGTACATTTTTAATCTGTTATGAATTAATGCATGGATGTTAAGAAATTTATACAAACCCTTTGCAAATGTTGGCAATCGTAACAGCGTTTTTAGATTATCCGATATCGGATATCGGGTCGATTTTGTTCGATATTGATATGTGGACAGCACTATCAGACTCCAATGGGCTGGCGTACTTTAGAATAAGTGTCATAAAAAAAGTAAAAAAATACCAAGTTCTTCCTAATTTTAAGTGTAAAAAGTGTTTGAAAGTTTTAAAATTAAGTAATGTTGGTATTGCTTGGCTGCGAAATATGTGGTTATCAAGGTTTTATTGCAAACATATCGTTTTATAAATGAAATAGTACACCGCATGTATACTTATAGTTTACTATGAGACCAAAATTGATATATGCGTATATTTTATATACTTTTTAATTACTATGTAGCATATGTTTGCAAAACTGCGACAGCTCTTTAATCTTAATCATGAAAAATAATAGACAGCAAATGCGAACTTCTGTGTGACATTATGCTATAGAATATTTATATGTTGGCCATGAAATTTACCTGTTTTTTATAATACCTATCTCTATGTAGTCAAACCCTGTAAGATATTTTTGACACGTGAAATTCGCAAGGACGCGTACTGCAATCAAAATTTTCTTTGTTTTAGAAAACGAAATCCGCTTCCAGTGCCATCTGAAAAGAGGATCTTTGGATTTTAGAGATGAAACTACTTATGAACTTATACAGTTCAATGGCCACTTCCGTAAGTATTACATAATTTATCATTTAATATAATGGTATGTAAAAGGTAACTGCATCTCTTTCAAATCGATCTCTGTAAAAGGTATAAACATAAAATAAAACTTACTAATTACAAGTAACTATTTCTGTCCTGACTGAAATTATGATTATAAGCCTTTCAAAAACCTCTAACGACGAAATTCTTCATACATAATATTAAGATGACACTGTAGATAGACAACAGTTTATAGAGCTCTTTAATTGGTGCTAGCCTCGAAAGAAGCGTTAGAATTAGCTTCTGCTATCGACCGCTTTCTCAATAATCATTGGGTAGTGTATTATTCCGTAATCCAAACTAATATTATAAATGCAAAAGTAACTCTGTCTGTCTATCTTTCTGTCTTTTCTTAAACTACTAATCCGATTAGGTACAGACATAGTTTTGAACTCGAGAAAGGACATAGGATAGTTTTTATACCAAAAATCTGCAGGAAGTCACTATTTCACGTTGCGGGCAAAAGCTAGTATAAAATATCTATAATTTATTTAGTTCCGTTCCTTAGTTGCCGAAAAGGAGTAATAAATGTTTAATTAACATATATATGGTTATTACTACTTTCCTTCAATAGTTAAAATATTGATTTTGATTTTTTTTATCTATATATATAGTATATCCACAGAGACTTGCACATATATATTATCTTATTCAAAATTGCTATGTGATTTTTTCCTACTTTTCTTTTGTTATCAAATATGAGGGACTTTTTAGTTCGTTATCTGGCTCACTACAGTCCTTATATTTATCTCAACTACACCACATTGTGTCGTGTCATCTAAATGACATTCAAGTAGTGAAAGTCACTAGCTGAATGTACATCATTTGATATTATAAAAACCTTTTTTCTGTTTTCGTATCTGTAATAATTAGTAAGGTTTGGCTGTACATCTGGGCATTTAGCTTATAAAAAAACAAGAAAAGAGTAAGGTTGCCTCTCACTAAGAAATTCTTCGTTGTATTAAGTGTATTTACAAACATACATATCACACCCAGATAGCATCACACCCACTAGCTAGAACTAGTTCTTTGACATTTTCTTCATTGTGGACATCTCAAAAAATGTTATAACTTTTTTTTAAATTTAAGGAACGAATATGGAACCACTTGATAGTGATGATATGCAGAGCTACAATCCGGACCATGAGTCAAGGTAAATAACAAATAATGTGTTTCTTTCGCGGTGGCAATTAAATGATACGTTTGATTACAGCCAACAATGAGCCCTATTAATAAAAATGTTTTACATAGTGTCGCTTTGTTGTCTGCTTACCAGGTTACTCTTCGTTTGCACGGGCCGGCTGTATACTCCACAACTGATCCGTGACGTGTCGCTGGTAGACTCCAGCCGCAGCGAGTTCACTTCGCGGCACAGTCTTGAATGGAAATTCCTGTTTCTGGACCACCGCGCACCGCCTATCATTGGTTATTTACCGTTCGAAGTACTGGGAACCTCGGGCTACGATTACTATCACTTTGATGACTTAGAAAAAGTAGTCACCTGTCATGAGGCTTGTAAGTTTCATTTAACACTCCTTCATCAGTATACTATGTAAATAAATTAAAGTATAAAAAAGAAAATGTTTGACTTATTGTTTTTTAAGTACAAAAATATATCGTTTACTAAAGTTTCAAAGAAGTAGAAAAAACGTGTGCAAATTAAAAACAACATTTGATTTATTACAGTGATGCAAAAAGGTGAACTAACGTCGTGTTACTACCGGTTCTTAACAAAAGGACAGCAATGGATTTGGCTTCAGACACGCTTTTATATCACGTATCACCAATGGAACTCAAAACCAGAATTTGTAGTTTGCACTCATCGTGTCGTAAGGTACGTGTCATTTATACATACAAATATTAATATGCAGGGTGACTGTATCTGAAACTGCCATAACAAACCGCTAACATTTATATTTTAAATAAAAAAACGTTGCACCACCGTAGGATTTTCTCCTGTGTTGTGGGTACGTTTACAAACATACAATGTCACATACACATGACACCCAGACCGGAAACAACATTTTTTGGATCACACAAAGTGTTGTTCCGTGCGGGAATCGAACCTGCGACACGTTGCACGGCAGCCAGTTGCCCATCCACCGCACCAACACCGTGCAGTCAAATAATGGAGGTCATTTGCTAACTATTATTGAACCATACTTTCAATAGCTAAAATTTGTAAATATTCTTGAGGCTAGATGGAGTCAGCTTATATGCTTACGTCGTAAAGCTCATTTTCAATTTCAGTTCCAGCTTAATTTAATATCTTATCAAATAGTTAATTTTGTGACGTTAAAGTTACCAATCGTGCACTACTGAAAACGGTAGTATTAATTTAAGTGAAGGCGTTCCATTCTTGGGCACGAATGCTCAACCGGGATGATACACCGAACTCACAGACTACCCATCCCCAATTATCAAATTCGTTACAACATCCAAAAGGTCGGCAACATCGTACCTATTACTAGAAACGACTATGCACATATAGGTCCCATTACAATTACAATAGTAAATTTTCCGTGGTGTTTGGTGACCTTTGGTGGCCTTTAAGGTTTAAGTCATTCTGTCTCCTGCATTAAATTTACCGAGGGAAGTGGAAACTATTTAGTTTTTTTTGTCTCCTCAAATAATATCTTCTGATTTATTTCTTTGCGGGATCTAAGACAGGCATTAATGTTTCTGGGACGCGCCGGACTTCAGTATTCCGGTATTTTCTTGGTTGTATCTATTGTGAATCCTGGGTTACACCAATTTTAGCGATTTTGGGAGGTTGCGGTGGGCTTGTCCCAATTAAAGATAAAGGCCGGCAACGCACTTCTGCAACCTCTGGTGTTGCGGGTGTTTCTGGCCAAAACGTCAATTGATCCAAAAGATCATCTTTTCTGTTTCTCTCTCTCGTATACTAGCCCAACAAAAAAGAAACTATCCTTCTGTTATACTTCATTGACCACACTCACAGTCACTGGCAAATTATATTAAAAACTCTTTACAGATTATTCATTTACAATTTTAAGTAAATTAACTTACAGTTATTATAAAGACATGGGAAAATAATCCACCACAATAATGTTCAGCAAAACTAACATAAAATATGACACGTTCTGTTTGAATATGAAGCAACTTTTTGTTCGGATTTTCCCATGCATAATGCATAGCGTTGTAAGAAAGACGTCACACCAATGAATTTTGATGCCGGTTTGTGGGCTATTTCGAACAATGATGCTTAATTTCTTTTCAGGAAGTAATACTGGTCGCTTTAGGTCGGAGTCTTTGGTGATAATTGCGTTTCGCAACATCTTTTTATTTGTTAGGATAGTAAAAATCTGTCGTAAGATGTGGTCAATAACTTTCATACAATAGCCATCCGACCTGCTGCTAAGGAAAATGTTCAATACAAACATTGAAGCTCGAGCATTCGGTTCCTGCGTGTGTTTAGATTTTGGGCTGCACAGTATTTTGTATTAAGTTTCGCAATTGAAGTGAAGCCTAATTTTCAATAGGTTGCGTTTTCTTTCGAAAGTCGAAGTCTATTATGTTGTAATTTGGTGCTGTATGTCATTTGCAAATACGTCGTCGTCTTTTTAGGAATCGTGGATTTTGAGGATTAGGAATGGGATGAGCATTAGACCTCTATCACAAGCCGCTTGCTTCATACACAAGTAAAATATGTATTTAGCTTTAAATCAACGAAAGTACTATAGCAATTTAGTTAATCAAATAAAATACAGATATATAACAAACAACTTTCATTATTACATATTACAATCACGCCAAAACGGCTGGACGGATCTGGATGAAATTCGGCACAGGCATAGGATACGCTCCGGAATAGGACATAGGGCTCCTTTTTATCAACATACCACGCAGGCGAAGTCGCGGACGGAAGCTAGCTTCCTAATAACTAGTAAACTATTGCTGTTTATATTTATGATGTTTATATGTGTACTTACAATTATGATTAGTTTTGGAACCTATCTATCTATCTGTCATTTAATTTTTGATTTACTTACTACACATATGTAGCGTAATCACGATGTTAGTGGCGAGTGTTATAATATGAACATGTAAATCTAAAGTCTAAACATTCATATCTCCGATATCCGTATTATACCTACATTTTATTATTCCCTCCCATTCAGTATAAGTTTGTATTGCGCCACTGCCCTTAAGGTACATGTTACCGATTAACGCGGAGCAATCGACGAGTTTACCTGCTTCGGATCGGACTTGCTTAAAGTTAAATAAACACTTGGTACTGTATTAGCTTACTTTATTAATTTATTGTAATATAATTTAGAAGAAACGACGACGGCGTAAAACGAAACTAATAATAATATTTTTTTGGTATGTGAATTTTCACACTGCTTTATGCTTGCGTGAGAATCGTACGTTGCCAGCGAAATGAGATCCGATACCTGTTGCCGGCGGCCATATTTATTTAATTTGCCAATTGCGACACGATTAGTTGGAAACCTGTTGAAGTTGAAAATTGAAACATTGAGGTTTTAAACGTTGAATTACTTTGTTACAGTTACGCGGATATTGCGAAGAGCATGAAACAAGAAGGTGCGGAAGCAGACACTGTAAGTGAGGCCGAAGTGAACCGAGGAGTGATGAAAGAAGCCCCGTCTGATGACGCCATGGTGTCGATGTCACCGTCATACATGTCCGAGGCGAGCGACGCCTTCGGTAACTCGTCCTACCAACCCTTGTCTCAAGTTAGTGTAAGTTGATTAAATTTATACTAATTTATTTATTCTACATGCAATTTTAATCTAAGCTTGTCTCTCTTATCTATCCTTTAGGAAGCGAAATATATTCGGTATTCATCTTATTTTTTAATGTCGTTTCAAAGTTTCACAAACTATATTCCTAATAACATTTTTAATTAAGCTGGACTGAGCACTGTCTTGTTAATGGGATAATGTTAACTCTTTAGCACATAACATGTATACATTCGCATATTTTATAAAATTAAATAATTACATACGTACTACTACAACTTACGAAGATAAAACCTGCAAGTGGAAGGTCGGTTACCGACGATCGTTAAACTTAATTACCTGAAAAATTCCTACATTCTTGAAAGACTAATTTTTAATTTGATAACTCGCTTAAGTAATTTTTTTTGATAACATACCTTCAATAATATTATAAACAGGAAAAAATGTTTTGTGAGCTGTTTGTTTGTAAACAACAAACTCAACAACGCCTGTGCTGATTTCATAAATTCTTTTCCCATTAAAAAGTTACTTTCACCCTGTGTATAGTGAAAATAGCCAACAAGTATACCCTATTAAGATATTTTTATCGTTTGATTTTTCTGATCACGACTATGAAAATGATACATTAGCATATTAAATATTGAAATTGAACAAACTACATAATTATGTATTTGTAGCCGGCATCAGTTAAGTCAGCATCGGCGGGCAGCACGACTGGGACGGTCGCTACAGCCGGTACAGTGGCGACTGCAGGCGCGTCGTGGACACGGGCTTCTCATGTCCATTTTACTGGCTCCGATACAGGATCCTTGTCCGGCGAGTCCCGCTCGTCGCAGAGAAATTCCATGCGCGAGGTAATTTTCATTATTGTTGAAAGATAATGATTTTAATACATCAAGTGTTTTCATAATATTTACTTAACGCCTAGAACTATACATTCCTGCAGACGCATAAGAGCACGGAAGCAGCCCCGGCTCCACAGCATGGTATAGGCGCGCAGTACTTAGACCCCGCGCCGTACGTGAGTGCGGTGGGGGTGCCCGGGGTGCTGCCGCTGTCCATTCCGCCTCTGCCGGTCATCGTATCACCCGACCAAGCGCAGATGCAGGTGAGTTTCGCGAAGACTGCCACGTCATCAATATTTTATCTCAATATCAGGTCAGCTCGACAGGAGTGATACCAAAGCCTCATAAAAAACCGGTGTGAAACAACTACAGCGTTGTGTTTCGCCGTGTGAGTGAGGTTACCGAAAGCCCAATCCTTCCCCTCCCCCAAGCCCTCCCCAATACTTTAATCTTCAAATCCTTAATCCCCAAAAAGTCCGAAACTCACTCGTAACTCCTCTGTTGTTGCGGTTGTCCATGGGCGGCGCTGATAGCTTACAATCAGGTATTCCGAACGCTGGTTTGCCAATATATCGCATAAAAAAAATGTTCCAGACCCTTTTCCTGGTTTAAGTACGCATGGTTACAATATCTATGTGTATTGATTTTGCTCCGAATCTTCTCTAAAGTTGGTAGTTAGGCTTTCCAATGCACCTTATTGCTTGATACAAGTTAGTGGCTGTGGCAGGAGCAGTTGCAACGAAAGCACGAGGAGTTGCAGCAAATGATAGTCAGGCAACAAGAAGAGCTGCGGCAGGTGAAGGAACAACTGTTACTGGCCAGGCTCGGCATCCTTCAGCCCCTAATAAACGTGAGTATGCAACACTTTACCTTTCAATTCATGCAGTTTCTATAAAAGTTCCCGATAAGTTTCAACTAATATACTTTTATTTTGATAAGATCCAACATAATTTTATGCTATGCATTTGTGATTTGTGAGACAAGGTTATTCTCAATACAAAAGAGCCCTATAAAAACTTTGGATTAAATCCCAGGTTCAAGTTCGTGTGTTGGACTCTAGCAAAGTTCATGTCTCACTTTACCTCGTACAATCTCAAATCGCATAACATTTTGATATCACCGAGGATGTTGTAAATAAAACATATCTTGTGAATATAATTTTAATGAGCTTTAAATGTCAGTACTTAATCGGAATCAAACCTCATCGCGTGCTTAACAGAATAAAACAACAGTTGAATAAAGTTTATTTGATTATTGACAAACCAGGTCCAAGGCCCATACGTGAACCCAGAAGACATACAACAGAACCAGCGTCTACCGGCACAAATAGTTTACGAGGCAGGCACGCCGCGGGCCATCACCGGGTACCCGCAGCAACACCCGCCGCACGCCGGCGGACACCACCCGCACATGCCGCAGTGAGCCGCCCCGACCGAATTTACCACACATCGTTGTTATTAAGTTTAATTTAGTTAAAACGCGTACCATACGTACACGTACAGGTACACTACACTTGCCAATCTGTTTATTTGTAGGAAAAGCGCAGCTTCGGTCTATCAATTAATTCATGATACACTTTGTTCTAAACATTTGCCGTGCAATATCTCGCGGCTCATACCGAGTCATGAATTATTGTTGACAGGTGTATAGAATTTATTATACAGGCGCCTGTATGCATTATTCGTTTTACGTTTACTTTTACTTTGTTATTGTAAAGAACACAAGCTCTACGCTCAGGCGCATGGTACGTTTCAACGAAACTTGTTCATTGATAAATATGTATATATTTTACAGTTTCTTGTTTAATTGTTTCTTGTGTTAAAAGGCTGTGCAATATCTAACAAACTATTTAACTTGTAATAGAAAATATACAAGATTGAAGTTAAGTAATTATTTTAAATACTTTAGTAGGCACTTAATTCAGTACATATTTTTGAAATCTTTTTGTGTTATGCGGTGATCCTGTACACGGGTACCTACTTGTTGCAAAGCTTGTCTGCCTTATAGAACTGAATTTAGTATTTCGCCATAATTATGTGGAATCAATTTCGCACTTTTATTCATCCTTGGCGTGTTCTTGTATCACGTTATTGTGACAAATATGCAAACGTCACCTTCATACCTGTATTATATGTCCTTCCAATCATAAAACATGTTCAAAACTGTTGAACCTTCGAACAGAACTCGTAAAGAAGCATTCAATCTTTTTACTTTGTATTTAAGGTCATATTCCCGTGTACAGTTTTATGATGATTTCAAGAAAGTGTTGTTATGTTTTAATATCTACACATTATTCGATTCGATCTACAACGTGCCATTTGCCGTGATTTGTTTCAGACGTTTCACCGAAAGAACATGGTTTTGTAAAATATAATTTTACACATATTTTGATCTCGTTACTGAATTTAGTGGCTAGGTAATTATTTACGTTACGTTGTTTTTGAGATAGTCGCGTTCATGACCTGTGAAACATCAGTTAATGGTTTATTTCTTATATTGACAAATCATTAATGCCTTTTTGAACGGCTTTATTATTTGGCTGGAATGCTGTTAATTGGCTTTGTCGATTATTCACATTATATAATTTTGTTACATTTTGTAGAAAAAATATTTTAGGCACTTTCGTTTTAGATTTGTTGTTGTTATTTTTCTTAGTTCATTACGTTAAAGTTTATAATATATACTGAAACTTATACGTTATATTGAGACTGCATTGGTTTTTCATTGCATCTCTTGTTCGTTTGTTTGAAAAAGAACAAATAAAAAAAATATTATAATTAAATTAATTATTTTCGTCAAGCTATTTAGCAATTGTATAAATTGTTCAAATTTTTATCATAGATGTGATGTCGATTCTAAATTAATCGAGTGGCCAGTTAGGCGGTCGTGGGATTCGTACAAAGTTGAGGAAACTATCGAGCTCCTCATGCCGAACGCGGTGCGATAATGAGAAAGCGGGCACTGGCCGAGCACAGGCAAGCCCGTGACTCTTGCCGTGGCTGAATATTTATAAATCAGGGAGGAAAGTAGTTATTGTGTCTCGTTCAAACTTGTTACTATTTGAGTGACAACGTCGGTTGTGCAAATGACTATATATTATACTGTGAGAATAAAAAACGAGCATGCAGCGTGCACTTTTTTACTCTTATTGCTCGGATGCAAGTTTACTAACTTTTCTATAATCGTTTATTCTTAGACCGTGCACGGTAGTTCGGTATGCGGAACTCTTTTTGTCATGCAGATACATTAAATGACTATAATGTATGTACAGATACTTTAGTATTAGTTAGTAATTGTAAGTATATGTCAGTAGAGTACCTTGGGTGTATATTATAAATACAGATAATTACAAAAGCGGCGAGAGAATAGTGCATCGGTAAAAGTCGTTCATTAACTCGACTCATCGAATTACTTCCGATACTAATAAAATAATCCCAACTGACTTTTGTAATTGCTTGTAATACCGTAATTATAAAATATCGATATGGCAGTCTTAGATCCCGTGATTGTAGCATTGATAGTGCGCAGTCTGCGTACTGAAATTACGTTCTTGTTTACGTTTCCATTAAATTTTATATATTTTATATTGGTTAATATTTTAGTTAGGTACGGAATGTTGGTAAGTTAGGATAAAAATGATATTTGTCGGCATCAACGCCATCGGCAAATATTTAGTCATACAAATTCATTATTTCTACCTATTCTTTATGTAATATGTACACACCTGAATCTTGTTTTATTATTGTTTATAATAATGGGAAATTATAGAAATTGGTTTTAGGCAATTTTATTATAAAATGTTTTTGTTTGTTAATTATATTATTTTGACTGAAATGATAAAATATGTATTGTATCATCTTTCATAGTTTATTTAGTAAGCGTTTTGCTTATGTTTTGGATTTTATGAATGTTTAAATATTGAATAATTGTTATGAAAGAAATAATTTACCCATCGCAACAAAATTATAATAAAGTTTGTAGAAATGTGTTAAGAATAGCATTAATATAGAATGCAGGAGAAAAGCCTATGGTATGGTATGTAGGTTAAAATAAATATGCGCCATCAAAATTGTATACAATATTTAAAGGGATTGTTGAAGTGTATGTTCGGGATGAGATGGCAACTGTAAGCAAGATATATTTTATTTTGTTCCGCGTTCTTAGTTGATAGCACATTATGTTAAAGTTATTATTGTTTTGTTGTATCAGTTAACTACAGATGGTAATCTTGTCGCTGCAGTCCGAGGTCGATGACCCCGGTCCGAAGCTATGTGATACTGTTTTCTATAACATGTATATGTATCATACATCGGTCTAATCATCTTAATCACGTAATTATTGAATAAGTGGATGTAGTGAAGAGATAACAAGTTGTTCATAAGTATAACAAGTAAACCTAACTTCGTACATGTCCATGTATGCACTTACATTTCAGTTTATGTTTCACTAACAGCCTTTCTCAATATCTGTGGATTCTTTGGTTCGGCTAGAGATAGCATTTTGATACATTTTATATGAAGCTTATGTCGAAATCCTATATCTAGTAAGCAGGCCAGTGATTTATAGATAACTGAAAATGGCCTTCAATTAGTGTGCACTGTTCATTAGAGCGGTTCGTCGGAAAATATTTAATTCAATTTTTTGTCGTACGGCGTTCAATATTTTATTGAGTATAAGTTCACGTTTAGACCGCACAAGCAATCCATAGCATTCGGCGTCAGCTTTAAGGAGCCAATAGGTCTATTTTATTCGTACTCGTGTATATTAATGAATTTCTTGTCGGTACCGTGCTATACATTTAATTACCAAAGCCATTGTTTGAATATGAAAATAAAATCGACGATTTTGTACTTCCTTAAAATTTCGGAAGAATCGCTCGTAACAATCATGTTTGATATTATTTCTCATTAGTATGTAAAATATACGTTAGTGTATATATTTTTGTACCAGCAAATGTAATCGTCCGCATGTATAGGACAAGTCATATCATATACATGCGAATAATTGGGAGAAATGTGGTGTTGTGGGGCGAAATCTTTTAATAATAATTCATTAAACAGATACGAAAAAGCAAGAGTATGGTTAAACATTTCTCTCAAGAGTATTCTTAAAGATATTTTCGGACATATAATTTATAGAGAAATAAATCTAACGTCGCCTCAGCTCCGCTGCTAATAACAGTTCGCGTAAACAAAACGCCACACAACACTGCTCAGTCTCTGTCGTCAGCTCTTTTTTGCCTAAGCTTTTTAACAATGTACTACATTTAGAAAGTTACAGGGTATCGCCAAAAAGAAAAGCATCGTGAAGTGATATTGTGAGTTAGATGATTAGCACATTTGTGGAGAGATGATTTTTGAAAATATTCAAAATAAATAAACGAAATATGTAATACAAAGATCCTTTTTTTTATTTCACAACTTATATTTACAAATATAAATAACAAAATACTTAGACGGCTAGACTTGTAGGTAACGTTAACATGTGTTTACTCTTAATAAATAATATTTTCTACACAAACTTATATGGGTAAATAAGACGGAATTTGGCCCTTACGTAACTAATAAGGATACGCAGACTACTGCCCCAGGCTTTTTTAGTAATACCAAAATTATCACTTCTTTCTTTACATTCACGGAGCTTCCTGCCCTCTGCACATTCGCCAGTAATGGCCTTTCAACTTTAATAAATCTGCATGATTACCACGCTCCACAATTTTACCTGAGAAATAATTCGATCATATTATTATTAGGTCATAGAAATATCAGAGTAAAAGTTATTTTATTGTGAAAGCTAATGTTGCACATTTATGTAGATAATATTAAATAAGGAAAACTTTTTTAAAGGGGAAATTCATCGCATGGGTTCTCTCGCCCTGAGTGAGGCTAGAGGGAAAGTCAGACTCTTACTGACTAAAAACCACCACCACCCTTCTCCTGCTCCAGCCCGGGACCGCGGTACCTGATTGCGTTTGACCCGCGACCCCGGCAGAAAGCCACCCTGTGATTGTTTGTTGAGAATTCATGTCGTAGTAAATCCAGTTCGCCCGTGTGTGTATGTTATCAGATTTTTTTATAAATATATATTGTTACCTTTGTCCAGCACGCAGATTAGGTCTGCGTCTTTGATGGTAGTGAGACGATGAGCGATGGTTACACAAGTTCGACCCTCGGCTGCTTTTTCTAGTGCTTCTGATACTACCTGTGATAGCAAAATTGTTAAGAATTAGCTACTAGCTAGAGTTGAGACTGACATACCAAGAAAGAGTATATTTTTTACCCGTTCACTGTTCGCGTCTAGCGCAGAAGTGGCTTCATCAAGTAACAAGAGTCGCGGAGACCGAATGAGCGCGCGCGCAATGCACACTCGCTGCTTCTGACCGCCAGACAGCTGCGCTCCGCCAGATCCAAGGTTTGTGTCGTAGCCCTGCGGGAAATGGGAACATTGAATATTTGCAGTAATAGGTACTTATGTTTAATTTTTTTAAAGTGATAGGGCGGCAAATGGTCCGAGAGATTACCTGATGGCAAACAATCAGCGCCGCCCATGGACACCCGCAATAACAATGGAGTTACGTGTGCGTGCCGACCTTTAGGGGATTTGTAGATTTTAGGATTGGGGAGGAGAAGGATTGAGCCTCACTCACAGGGCAAAACACAACTCTGCGGTTGGTTCACGCCGGTTTTCTATAAGGTTTTCTCCCACACTAAATTTTTAAACTTTTTGCTTAGAAGGTACTGGACACCAGCAACTTCACAATTTTAAATTGGAATTGATGTTATTCTTTCTTAAGCTTACCTTTGGTAGGGAAGTTATGAAGGTGTGTATGTTCGCTGCTTTGGCGGCTTCTATGATCTCGTGCATGGTGACCTTTCTGGTGTTGTCTCCGTAAGCGATGTTCTCAGCGAGTGTGCGGTCGAAGAGCACGGGCTCCTGCTGTACCACGCCCAGTTGACGACGTAGCCGGGGCAGCGTGAGAGACGAACGATTGTCAAGGCCATCCAATTCCTGTGCGGATTATACTCATGTTCATTGAAATAACTCAGAACTAAATTCCCTTTTTTACCTTTAAAAAATTACCTACCAAAGTAAGGTAAGAAACATAAATATCTTTAATTTACAAGAATAAACAGACATATAGAGGCAAAAAGAATATTATTTTAATATAATATTATAGATAGGTACATAATTAAAATAACGAATGAGAAATATCTGAAAGTAGGTCCAAAATGTAGGTAAATATCTGAAATCATTTAGGCGACTCTTCCTGAGGCTGTTCCTTTTTAATTCTAATTTCTCTCTCTCGTAATCTGCGTTCTCTTTCAAACTCTTTCATTCTAATGACGTAGTCTTGTTGCTCACACTGAAGGTAAGCATGTCTTTCGTGATGACATCGGTACACTAAGGGAAAATGTTTGTAACGACACACTTGGTATTGCAGTAAAGGGCCGCTACAATAGTCTTGATATTTAGGTGGAATTTTGGCAGAATTAAGTTGGTCTCTGCTAGCGCTTACTCCCCGTGGCTGTCTTTTGTATGTGAACCCTGCGTCGGATGGAAATGTAGGCTTATCATTCATTTTTAAATCTAGATGCATAGTCATTGCCGTTCCCAGTATTTGTCCCATTTTCAACAATTTAATTGCACGTGTAGCTGATAAAGTATCCGTTCAAATATAGGTAATATTTTAAAATAAAAATGTTTTATGTAATTTGTAACAATTCAGCGTTCCATACACTGGCACTGGTCTTCATCTCTTGACAAAATATGTCAAAATAATGCCAACGAACATAACTGTCATTCCTATGTAGCTATACCGACCTATACTTATTGCTTTGGTATTGATGTAGGTACCTATTGGAGAAGGTACTACTACATTCACGGAATAAAAAAACATACTGGTTATCCGTTATAAACTATTTCGTTTTTGTGTATTCACTTCATGTAGGTAAATACAAAAAAGTTCTAAGGTAACTTACGATTCTGCCGGAGTCAGGGTCGTAGAATCTTTGTAGCAGTTGTAATACAGTCGACTTGCCACAGCCCGAGGGCCCCACTAGCGCCACAGTTTTTCCGGCATCCACGTGCAAATCAATTCCTTTGAGTACCTTATGATGTTTTCTTGTAGGGTAGCTAAATTCAACTTCTTTTATACTGAAGTTACCGGTAGCACTCTACAAAATAAAATATAATTATCGGCTGACGTCATAGAATACCATCTTTTGAAGTGGGAAAATCATCGAAACCCTGGTTGAAGTCAATTATAGGACCTAGCTCCTTTAAAATTATTGAGATGTGTTATATTGTCATCAACAATCTGCTACTCACCCAATCCTTTTTATCAGTAACGCCATCCTCTGTTCTAACTAGAGGCTGTCTCTGTATCAATCCTATGATCCTCGCTGCGGAAACCTTAGCGGCATGAAAACTTGGTGCATATACTAATGTTTGACCAAGCATGTACGCTCCAAACATAACACTTTCGGTTACTCTGTGGGAGAATAATATAGTTATATGGCCGATAAATTGCGTAGTGCCTACCCGACCAAATTACGTAGGCACACATTTACTTAAGTTTGATATGAACAATATGCACATAAAATACTTACAAGAGCACTATTTTGTATTCCAATTCCCCTTTAGAAACGAGTGAAGCGCCATACATAATTGCACAACAGAACGCAATCAGAGGTGCATAAATGCCAATTCCCAGGACCACACCCCGCCATCTTGATTTCTGTGCCACTGCTTTACAAGCTACTGTCAAGGACTCTTGGAACTTATCCAGAAACACTGGTTCTATGCCTGGAAGAAGAAATAAGGGCTTCAGAATAAGGATCAGTATACTTTTATAGTTTTAAAAGTTTCATTAGTCATCTACACTAATATTATAAAGAGGTTAATTTTGTAATTTGAAATGTTTTTAATAATCTATGGAATATAAATAAAAATCACTCATAGATAGCTACAATGTTCCTGAGTGCTATAAGCTATAAAACAACACGCTACGATCTAATGGAACTAAGCAGCGGGTGAAACCGCGAGAGAGTTGCTAGTCGTTTCATAAAATAGGTAGGTACCTAAGTACTTAAAAGTACTTATTATGTTGTGATAAATTTTAAAGGCACTCCTTTTAAACTGCTAACTAGTGCATTAAATTGTAAACAGAGCTTAATACCTAGGTAATCGCAACATAAGTACCTATTATTAATGCCGCTAATAAATATCATATAACAATTGCAATTTAATGAAAATTCCAATCGAAGCAATCAAATTACGTTGGAGAATTGATATCCAAACGTTTTGCTTACCTAAACTTTGCACAGTTTTAATGCTCACGATTGCTTCTGTGGCTACGCCGGTCGCTGATTCCATGGCATCTCTCTCGTCTTCTTGAGATTTTCGTGACATCATGCCTTCTAGCCAGATGCTGCCTATCATCTGTAAAACGGAATATTGCTTATAATAATTAGTACCTATTATATCACCGGGATAATTACAATAGCGGATCTGGTGACGGAGGAGTAGAATAGATACACCAGTACCTATCTCTCCTCTTCCCGGGATGTAGTGAGTAAAAATCGATTTAACAACTACCTACATCTAACAAATCTGACCCTATTAAACTTTTAGTATATGGCCCCTTTTGGCAGTGGACTATCACGGGTTGGAAAATAGATCAGCTAAATATTACAAGAAAAATACTAACAATGGGTAGAAATGCTGTGGCCACGAGAGTCAATTTCCAATCAAAACTCAATCCCATCAATACGCCTAGAACCACGGAACTGACGCCCTGTAAGATGAGTCCGACCCTCATCCCAGTAGCTCCCTGCACCTCTGCGGCGTCTCCACTGAGCCTCGCACAAAGTGCTCCAACTGTGTTAGATTCCCTGTCGTAATATCCTATTTCCTAAAAAAAGAAAAAAAATATATTGAACTATTATATTTCTACTTTAGCTGGTAAAGTAGAAATATAATTCCTGATTTAAGTACATATATCAGGTCTTTAATAAGTATTAAGATTATTGAAATTTCTAAGTAATAATCTGATTTGTATCTCTTTAATTTGCGATCAAATTCACATCACTAGCAACAGATATTCATTTTGTCGAAAACAATTTCGAAAATGCAAATTGACCTAGTACCTAAATATTCATTTCTGCCCTCGGCTTCCTCCACGTGGTACCTATGTTGATTAAAAGCGTATCTGTTAAACCAGGGTATCACCTATCCACATATCAAATTTTAATCAAATCGTTTCAGTAGTTTTTGCGTAAAAGAATAACAAACATACATCGATACATTTTCACAAACTTTCACATTTATAATAATTATTAGTAAGTACTATAGATGGCGAATTTACGTTTTTCCTTACCTGACTAAGTAAGGCATTGAAGTACCACTCTCTTAGCCTGGTGGTCATTTTCAACCCAGCCGTGGTATAAGTTGAGCTCTGGAGACACATAGATACACCAGCGATGGCCGCCACTACAACGAATAAGCCTGCATACATGTCGCCCAGGGATATAAGCTCATCGCGATCAGTCAGTATGAAAATCTGGAAAAAAATTGTACTTAGTACTTTTTAATTGAAAACAAAATTTAGAAGATTGATTTAACTAATAAGGTAACTGTAGGCCACTTACGCCACTCGTGAAACCGAAAAGTAGCGCAAATGCTGGGAAGCATGCCCCTTGTAGGAATGCTGCAACAGATCCAATTGTAATGTAAACCCATTCTGGACTATTCAGTTTCAAAATCTCCCAGCCGCTCAAAGGTACAATTTCCTGCAAATTAATGTAAATAAATTAATTGAATTAGTTTACCACCCAACCAAAATGGTACTCGTGTTAACATACCTCATCATTATTGTCATTTTTATCGATATCTTGGTTGTGCAGAAAACTTTGATAGCCCAGCGACACGGCGGAAGTAACTGATCCTCGTGGAGTTTGCATCCATTCAAAAGATTCTGCCAATTAAAGTGTTATTATAGTAAAGCACATATGCATATATTTATCATCATCATCATTATTATTATTATTATCTCCAGCCGGAAAGCAGACAATGTTGAGCAAAAGCCTTCTTAGACCTCCACATCGAACTCCCCACTTGCATCTTCTGGCTTGTATACCTAGTTAAGTGTAGACTTGAGTTATTGATACCGGTAACCCCAGAAAATCCGATGGAATGAGTTTTGACCTACCTATTACTGAATTTTGTTTGCTCATTCTTGGTCTATTCTTCTTGGTTTCGCTTCGCACGTGGTTATTAACAGCAGCCTCATTATCTTCTTCCAACAGCTCTGGCAAAGGTTCAGTACCTTCCTCAGGCTCTCCTTTCTGTTTGTTCGTTGTCACTAATTTGTAGTAGAAACCTGTAAGAACATTGTCTCGTATATCATGATGAAAACTTTTAATAAGTATTGTAAGGCAGTGACAAAGGCTATTTACCTTTATTTTTCATTAGTTCTTCGTGTGTGCCCTGTTCTACTATCACTCCTTGATCCATACAAATTATACGGTTCGCATTCAATATTGTCGATAATCTACAATTATAAACGCATCATTTTTAACAAAGTTCGTTAAAATGAAACAAATAAATTGAAGCATCTAACTTGTAACTATGCAAACAGCTCAACGTGAATTCAACAGTAATATGAGGTTGTCCTAATGCAAGAGCGGGTATCAAGTTCCTATGAATTGAGCACGCAAAAACTTCCAATAATTAATGTATATTGGTGTTTACCTACCTGTGTGAGACCATTATAGTGGTCCTTCCAGCGCTGGCACGGTCTAACGCCGCTTGAACCTTTCGTTCAGAGTGAGGGTCGAGAGCAGAGGTAGCCTCATCCAACAGCAGAACAGCCGGCTCCCGCAGCAGCGACCGAGCTATAGCAATGCGCTGCTTCTGACCGCCCGATAGAGAAGCACCGCGCTCTCCTATCACTGTATCATAACCCTAAAATACAATTTGTGATTAGAAAACTCTGCAATAGGTTGGTGTGAATTGTATGGTAAAAAATAAGTTTTATTAAAACCTTTGGCAAATTTGTGATAAAGTCATGTGCGTAAGCCATGGCTGCTACTCTTTGAACTTCTGGCAAAGTTGCTTCAGGACAAGCGATAGCAATATTCTCGAATATAGTCCCGTGGAACAGGACCGGTTCTTGACCTACAACCCCTGCAAATAGAAGTATGTAGTTGTAATATACTCAACATACGTAATTCTTATTGTTTTAGATGTATGTATGTCGAAATCAATAGACATACCTAATGATGAACGCAGCCACCCTAAATTCAGATTTCTTAATTCTTTCCCATCAAGCTTGACCGATCCGGACTGGGGATCATACAGTCGTTGTAACAATTGTAATATGGTTGACTTTCCACAGCCTGAGGACCCTACCAGAGCTACACATTCTCCTGCTTTAATATGTAGTGAGAAACCTTTTAGGACCTGATGAACAAATGAATAAGGTAAAAATTGGTATATGGTGTTATAATATTGAGTTTCATAGGAATAAACGTTTCATTCTGGCTTTGGTACCTTGACGTCAGGTCTTGATGGATAATTGAAGTGGATGTCTTCAAAAGATATGTTTCCGACCACTCGTCGCGGGGAGACGCCCTGTGTACTAAGACTGTCTATTGCTGGTTCTCTCTCTAGAAGGTAGTAAATGCTGGCAGCGGCACCACGCGCTGCCGCGAACACTTCAAAGTGTGGTACACACAGAGTGATAGACTGAGTGGCCATATACACGTTGAATAGTACCTGATGAATTTAAAAATGTAGTATGTAGAAAAAAATACAGTATATCTTGAGTTATTTCTCTCTAAGTTATTTCTAAGTACTTACGCTAAAGACAACGCCGACCACATATCTGCGTTCTTCTTCGGATTTATCTCGATCCTCCAAGACCAACCTGATGCCGTATACGAGACCGATGGCGTTGAGACAGTACGTGAGAACCCAGTTGAACCCGTTGCCGACACCCGTGTAGATACCTCGTTTTCTTCCATATTTCTCCGCTGGTTCCAGTAAGGTTCGGTATCTGAACAAAACATTCATCTATTATAGGACCAAACATTTATTGTCTCCTTGAAGGTTTCCTATCTAAATCGAAAATTGAGGATGTAAGTACCTAATTGGTAGTAATGTAAAATCTCTCTAAACGCCTTTGTTTAAATATTGATCATGATGATTCTGTTTACGTAATTGTCAATTGTAAGTTAAGATAAAACTGTCATAAATATGTAAATTGTAAGTATATGCGGAAATTATCTCAGAGATAATATTATCTTTGCTTATCACCATTACGTCTATAAACGTTTTTATGTAATTTCACTCATTACGTACAGTAGATACAATACTACAAGGTGCAGAGTTTTTTGTGGGGGTATATCGTCCATTGACTTCGGGAAGCGAGAAGAAAATGTCCGACTCTTACTGATAGACCCCTTTTCTTCTGCTTTTTGATGTTAAATGTGTTCCTACTCCTGCTCCGACCTAGGTAGCCAGCCGGAGTCATCTTGCACACCCCTATGATGTACGCGACGCGCCTTATGCTCGTGTTTGGTTCAAGTCGGGTGGCGAGCTAACTTAGCTCGCTGTCCGCTTCCAGTAGCCAGATATTGTAATGCGATTTTCGACGTTGGAAGTGTGTGAGAAAGATCGTTTCCTCACGCATTCCGCCTCTATCATTGTAAACATGACTGATGTGATAACTTCCCAGTTTCTGTCGCTCAGCACCGTGGCCTGGACCAATGTCGGATGTGAGAGGACCCTGCTGCCGATCGATTTCTTCAGGATAAAGCGGTGCTCTCAAGCAGGCATCACCGCCACCCTAAACGGTGTCGGTAGTCCTCGTAGTGACGAGACCTGGACCCTCTAAACTCTAAAACGACTGAGGATGCCGTTGTACCTCTCTAGGTAATTTAACTACATAAAAATGGAACTAACTACATCGAGGTGTTGTTCTAAGTGCGTTGCCTACCCCGTGGTATGATATTTGAGGATTTTTGGAATTTGGGAGCATGAGATGCGAGGGAGTCGGCGTACAATTATGCCGACTACTAATTAGCCTCCGATAACACAATGAAACACAACGCAAGCGTTGTTTCACGCTGGGTTTCTGTAAAGCCGTGGTATTACGATCAAGCCAGTAGATTCGTGCATGGCTGTCCCACACCTATATATACACACGTACATACACAAATAAGGCAAAAACCGATATAATTGACATAAGGTAAATCTCTTTCATATGTAGGTCTAAATAGAATATTCCTTACTTCCTAACTTCTTTCTCCTCTCCACCGAAGGCCACGACTGTCTTTATCGACTTAAGTATCTCTTCAGCATGCTTCCCTGCTTGACTGTAAGACTCCAACTCACGTGCTGACGATTTCGTTTGATACTGTAATAAAGTAATATAATCTCACATAAACCTCTCGAGTGTGCGAGATCCTGTCTGATAAAATAATCGTTTAGTTGCAATTAAAACATAAGTAGGTTTATAGATAAGAACTTGTAATGAATTTGCGTGGTCTTAGATATCTTTATAGTTAGTGATATTAGTACGTATAATAGTCCTTTGTTGAACTTACATTGGTGAGGTACACAGAGGCTGCTACTGAGAAGGGCATGACAGTGATGCAGGCGAGTGCCAGTTCCCAACCTAGTGGAATAGCCACTGCTATGCTGATTACCGACGTCCCCAATAAGTTGCCGACAACCGCTAATTTCTCGCTCATACCTTCCTTCAATTTCATCAAGTTTCTGCAAAAGGTTATTATCACACCTTAATCTTAATGCATGTATGTATAATATATTTATTAAGGTTAAGGAACTTGTTTAGGTTAAAGAGAACCCGGCGTCCCTTGTAAGTGCTGATGGGGCCGCTGAGAAGAGTTTGTTGTGGTGAAGTAAAAATTCTACATTTATTTTTGAATCATTTGCTTTGCCCCCAGCATCAAAAAGTTAAACCCGTAGTCCTTTTCTGTGGTGGCTATAGTGATAATTACGAATGGAAAAAAATCTTACTCAGACATTTTCGATGCCAAGTTGAACTCATTGTCTGTGTCGAACCAAGCCATGTCCTGTCGAAGAACTGCCTCCAAAAACCGCATTCGTATTGTCGTAATCTGTGTACATAGAGGTAATTCTTGTAGCCAGGTATACAAGGACCAAGGATATATTTTTAAAACTTATTTATAGTTAGACCTGCTAATTTCCCAAGTATTTTTGGGAGGGTGAGGCGAGAGGGAGTGTCAAACTCTTACTACTAAAACCCCCGCGTTCTTGCTCCTTCTTTCTTAGGCTGAGGTCGCGGTACCTTATTGTGTTAAACCTGCAACCTCGTCTGAAGTACTTACGACTCATTATTGTTATTTTCTTTAATAAATATATGTTCAGCATTTATATCATCACATGTTTTCTCTCGTGTGTACAGGGCAAGAGGTAGTGTAAAAACCACCCTGTTCCTTTTTCTGTTTGCATCCGCAACCGCGAATGATACTGCGTATATATGAGTGCATGCCATTATAACTAGTCACATTCAATCTAATATAGCATGGAACTTTACCAGTATTACATTAAGTGAGTGAACTTCAGACATTAATATAACATGTTATATGTTTGATAATAGCGCCGCCAGTAGTCTGACCGCACTCCAGCCCAATATCTTGTCAATTACTATGACTTGCCTTTTGTAAGTGGTAACACTTAGGAATCTTTTCATATTTCACTTTATTGTAAATCTTACGTAAGATATGTTTAAATAAATAAACTACCCTTTTTTCCCAGGCGAGGAAATGAGAGTTACGTCGTATGTGTTGATAAGCCAAGGTCTATACCTGTCGAAGTGCACTCCAACTGATGAAAGCGACGGAAACAGCGCAGCACAGCATCGATATACCCACTGATACAAACGCACCTATCAACATAGCCGTGGCGTCTTGTAATAAAGCCTCCATGTTCTCCTCGTGACTTGCATTGTTCCTGAAAAAAAAACAATTATTTGTAATCATTTACCGTAACATTTACTTTATTTTTCTTTAAGTTTAGATCTAAATTGTTTGTTGGAAGAACAATAAGCCCTTTATTCCCGGCGTACATATAAGTACGCAATAAGCTTTTATGGGACACAGTTAATACAAATTGCGTTCTAAATTCAAATTATTTTATCAGGCTAGTCAGACATTGTGGAACAAGTTCAATGACCCTATAAAATGATTTACTGAGACTTTTATCTAATTTCAGGTAAGTACAAATTAATGTAAACATAAAAAAAATTACTCACAGTCTTTTCCCACCTCCGAAGACAGACAGAAGAGGCATATTACTGCTAGGCTGGTCTTGAAAACTGGTACGTTCCACAAAGGCAGTGCTTAGTTCACCAACTTGTATCAAATTATATGCTATTCCTCCACCACTTATCATACTTATGAATATACCTATGAATGTCGCTGTGATCTCAAGGAAAGTACCATATCGAAACTGTAATAAAATAAACATTCTTGCATTACAATTTTCCACTAAACGTATGAGCAAGGTGTAAACAATATTTGCTGGCTTATGTAATTTATTAGTACATTCTTATTTGATACTTAGCTGAAACAGAATATTTTGTGGAGTAATCGAAATTGTTGTTATGTCATATGCTTGTGGTATTACGTTGCACCCACTATTCGAGAAAGGTCAGGCACAGTAATACGAATATATGTATAGTAGTTAGGTACTCTTTATTTTAAATATTGTACTTAGTACAAAAACATTTAAGAATGTTGAATGTTTTAAATAAATAAAAACGAAACAAAATGTTACTTACAATGCCTAAGAAGGATATATCCAGTTCATTTTCTGGCGTCGCGCTGAAAATAAAGATAAACACGTTATAAATATATGATATTGTGCAATAGGTAAAGCATAGCTTCAGTGTTACCTTTATTAAAGGAAACATTTCTGTTGTTTTTCATGAAAAAAATTACGTTCCATTAAAACGCTTATAAACATAACTAAGCTTAATTAACCTATCCAAATAAAAAAGAAAATAATCGCAAAATTGGTTGCGAAACTCATACCGTATTTTTTATGTGTATTGTTTTGTTATAGTCAGGAAAAGGTTCTAATGAAAGAAAATTTTAGAATACTAGGGATGTGAATTGGAAAATAACGACCCTTTCGTCATTAGCGTGGTTATTAGACACCTGTGAGAATCAGAGCCTGGCCACTAGTGTTTTAATATAAAAAAGGAATCATCGAAATGTATGTATGTTAGCGAATCACTCCGGAACTACTTGACCAAATTCAAGGAAACTTTTTTCATAGCATTCGCTACTGTCAGAGCCGAGTTTATATGGTAGAAAAGCTTGAGACATTCACCAAGAACATCGGAGTAGCATCCGAGCAATACTGATTGGGGCTTTAGTGCTTGCTATATGTAAATCCACCAAATGTTATAAAAGGAACAATTTTGAAACTATATATATATGGGTGAATGGTTGATGATGGATGGATAGGTAATGGTTATTCTTTCACGTAGGTAAACTTTTTGAACGGAAACGAAATTTGGCATATACCTACACGTATTTTATCTATTGTATTTTATTACCGAGTCTGAAACTCGGTAGTAGCTTCGTAAGGATGACGACGCGCGAGCGACGACCAATTGCTATTTGCTATATGTTTTTTTTATTTGTGTGTGATGTATTTTATAGTTATTCTCTAAAATTGTAAGTATTTTAAGAGGTTGACTGTTAATTCATGTATTTTTATATTTATGCAAAAGATAATCAAATATATCGGTGCCATTTAATAGTATATTTTATTTATTTATTCTTCTTTATATACAATTGCATTTCGGAGGACTTAATACTAGAAGCATTTTTTGCCAGTCAACTAGTATATATTAGTTTATCAATGGATATGTTAGTCAGTGATATTAACATATTAAGTAAGGACCGAAAATACATTGTAATAATCTTAATTTGTTAATAAATTCTTCTATGACTTGATTTTAAGACTTTGTCTAGGTATAGGTATGTTGTAAAGTGAATTGTATTTTATAGGTGTGCATCGATATTTTATTATTCTGTTTGCAGTATACTTCTGAAGTATATGTATGCACCAATACTTAATTACGGTTGACGAACGATAGGCTAAAATGTTTATTAGCGAGGATTATAACTAAAACTTAATTGATCTGACGGTAATTAATTGCATTATGGTACCTCTTAAATGCTACAACGAAACTTTATACTATTAAAACGCGATTTTTCTGTGTAGGTATTTATTTTTATGATATGGTCCAGTCTCTTAAAAATTTCATTAAAAACGGGATCGTTTCATCATACTAATCCTACACTGAGCTTGAATTTTCTTTGAGTGAATTTTTAAAGAAAATGCAATTGCAATCAGCGCTTAAATGACGATAACATTCTTTATACAGGTTAAAAGCGTACTACTACTTATCAAGAAAATATTTCGTGAAATATAATTTGCGTATAAATAAATATCTCAATATTTGACATGAACAGTATAAATACCGATTTAAAATCTAGTATGTATAGATGCCAAAAGTAGTTTCGGCTCTGCGACTTCGGCCTGGAGAAGGAGAAGGAACGGGGATTTTTAGTCAGTAAGATTCTGACACTCCCGCCGCCTCGCCATGGACGGGAGAAGTCATTTGATGATTTTTACCTCACAAAAATGACTATTCAGTAAACGTAAATATGAATGATGAACAGACACTTAGTTAATGTTACCTACACTTAAAAAATAAATAAATAAAAAAGTATACTTATAGCACATCTCTTATTTTAATGAGTGTGAAGTCACATGGTTTTAGTTTCAAGTGAGATACTTGAAAATTATTATTAGCTACAAACTTAACTACGTGATAAAATATGCACGTGTAGCCTTAACATTGCACTCCATTTCGCTTCACATAGCAATAACATAAGTACTAATATGAACATACAACCTTTTTAATTGGAACTTCGCAAAAAGAAAACAAAATAAAATTAAGTACGTAAGTAAGGGTAATATAGAGAACACAGAAAAGAAATGTGTAATTAAAAATGGGTCTTATTTAAGAGAACACATTTAGCTTTAAACCAATTTTTTTATAACACTATATTGAATAGCAAAACGATACGATATTGTTTCGTTGCATATTACTTAAACTTAAAAAATAATAACAATAAAATCAGACGCATAGCCGAAAAAAAACAACAAACAAAAACTTACTTAGTTTTCTTTTTCCTAAATCCCATTTTTGCGATTTGTGCTCTGTTTATGCAGGTAAGTTTACAGTCACTTTATTATATAAAAAGTAGGTGAAACAGGTTGCACATGGGCCCGTGGCACAAATAAATGATAACTGGTGTGGCCGCATAATGAGCACATGTATTTATATATTCGTTAAACCCTCCCGTTATCTGTGACAATAAGAACGACGCCGCGCTGTTAAAAGCACTTCAATTATATTTGTATATGAAGATTATGGCTACACATGTTTGTTTTGTCTTAACTATTCAATCTAGGAAATACCACAGACGCAAGGATTTTCCTGATAACCGCTGACACTACCCATGATGATCATACATTTTTCTTTCTAGGGGTTCATTTGAAGCCGTTTTTTGTGAGGGGAAAATCATCAAATGACTTCTCCCGCCCAGGGCCGGGCGGGAGGGAGTGTACCAAACTCTTACTGACTAAAAACCCACCTGTTCCTTCTCCTGCTCTGGGCCGAGGTCGCGATCCCTCACGCGGGCCGCCTTCATTTAAAGCCGTAGGCTCGAATATTTCACTTGATATTACTCGGCTTTTGCGCTATGTCATTTCACTATTGCATTTCCCTATAAGTATATATTTTTAAGCAACGTCTAGGCGTCTTTCACCACGATTCACAACAAACGCAATCAAGACCCATAATGATTTGATATATCAATACAAATAACAAATTCTTGGCGTAAAAAAAAATATAAAATGTACTTTAGTTAAAACAGACAAAATCACCCGCTTTTGATTGATTAAAATATTCGTAGTGACTGCTTAAAATATTATATTTACTGTAAAACCTTACGCAATATCGTATATTTATTTGTTAAGTACATATTTAAAAGATCTTACATTTATATTGTGTGAGTATTACTACTTACTTTACCTTTACTTACTTTACCTTACCTTACTAGGCTTAAGCATGGCTCTGGCGGCATCAATGGGTCGGCTCGACCGCAGTGATACCACGGCCTCACAGAAAGCCGGCGTGAAACAACCATAGAGATGCGTTTCGCCTTGTGAGTAAGATTACCGGAAGCCCAATCTTTTCCCTCCTCCAAACTCTCCTCAATCTCCAAAATCTCCAAATCCCAAATCCCCATAAGGTCGGCAACGCACTTGTAACTACTCTGCCACGCAATCCGTCTCGCTCGTTTGCAGTATAATTATTATGGTATGTGTATCTATTTTTTTATGTTAATAGTGATAAAAAGCATTTATATAAAAAACTTAACATCACGTCTGTTTTATTTTATTGATATTATAAAAAAAAATTAAGTAATTGGTAGACAAAACTGAATTTAATGTATTACTTACTAAAATTTCGCGGATTTAATAAAAAAAAACAAATATTTAGGAATTTTAATATTAGTTGTAGGCTTTTAAATTTAATTAACGTGAACTCCAAATAAAAATTTTACGCGCGCTTTTGTAGATATACACGTAACGTACCTAAAATTGACAGGGCCGCTTAAGTTAAATAATAAATTAATATTTTTTTTTTGTTTTTTCTCAACATTTCGTACCACTTTTTTTAAGGTTTTTACCATTTATACAAATTTAAAGCAAATATGTACGTAAACGAGGTGTGGGTTCCAACAAATGAAATAAAAATAAGTCTTGCTGCTGCTGCAAGCTGCCCTCATGGTAGATATAAAGTAGCCTATGTATTCATCCAGGGTATCTACATACCTACCTGTATTACAAACCAAATTTCAAACATATCGCTCCATCTATTTTGAGATGAAAACAAACATACAAATGGGTCGGCCCGACCGAAATGATACCACGGCCTCACTATTAACCGGCGTGAAATAACCACATACCTACCCAATTCTTAAATATATGAAAAATGTATCTCCAAAACGCCGCCAACGCACTTATAACGCCTTTAGTATTGTCGGGTGTCCTTGGAAGGCGTCGATTACTTACCAATAGGTAATCCACATGCTCGTTTGCCGACCCATTTCATAAAAAGAATCCATATAATATACATTCTCACAAACTTTTACGTTATAAAGAATACATTCAAGTTTTTAAATTGTAAACGAAACCACAAGACTCTCTATTGCACAATGTATCGAAAGAGTGGCAAGCATTTGTATGTAAACAAAGTTTTCTGATAATGCTGTGACAATGTGAGCTCGAATTTCCTTCCTTGTTATGATCCCTTGTTGTTTTTTTCCTTGTAGAATAAGTATGGATGTTTTGCAATTCCCTTCTATGGGATTATGCTTTTTTAATTGATTTTGGTCATGTAATTCCAAATATTTAAAGTAAAGCTTTGTTGATTAAATATTGATTTCTGATTCAATACCCGGATTAAGATAATGGAGACTTAAAGTTTTTTTTAAATTACAGTATTATATAACAGGCTCTATTCTTTTTGAATAGAAAAATTCTAACTCAACAAAAAAGAACGACTCAAAATAATGACGAAAAAGCAAATATAATCGTACCAAAGCGTTTTTTCGCAAATAAAATAATAATAACTGTCTCCTAACCTACAGTAAAGAAGATTGTGTTAGAAAAAAAAATGTTTATTCAGAAACTGTTTAGTCATGCCGATTTAACAGTTACATACATAGATAAGGCATCTGAAAGTATAAAATGTTTTAATGAACCCATTTGTCTTGTCGTTAAATAACTCGCTTCGTGTCTTGTATCAATATACTAAAATATACAAACAACATATCCTACAGATAAGGATTTGTAAAGACATCATTCACACACAAAGTGTGGGATATCAGGCAGATTAGGTGTTTGCAAGATACACATTTATCGCGTAAATGTATTAGCACAGTATTTGTGTATTCCATTCATATCGGCAATTGTTGTTTAGGGCAAAACCTATTTCAGTGGCGCTAAGACTCTTTGAGGAGCGGCTAGCGAAACGCTATTGCAACCTAACCTTTCAGCTTACATGACACGGAAGTTTCGGAAGGTACTTGTTTCGGAGGAAACGCCCAAGTGTCTTATGTCTTCACAGGACACAGGACAGGCTGTGCATCGACCTGTCCTCAGGGTAGAGATCGTTGGTGGTGCCCTCCCGCTTCCTACCTAAGTAGAGGCAATGAGGCGAAGTGAGAGGAAGTAGGCAGTCATCTCATTTACCAAACATTATTGAAAGAATCAGTCGGAGCCCGTGAGGTAAGTATTCTTCTCACGCCCTAGACGTCGTAAGAGGAGAAACTCTGGACGTCGGAGATAGCGCGACGATCTTTCGCTTAGATCTTTAGCTCGCTGTCTGACCTGAACCAGGCAGTTCCATACGTACCTCAAAGAGCCAATAAACCACCACAGATGGGGCCCATTAGGGCTGGTGTATAAAAGGGGTGGTTTTTAGCCAGTAGGATTCTAGCATAAATCAACATTTGAACTATATTTTCACGCGCTTCAAGTATCATTTATTTGTACTTATTGACTATTTTAAACGAGCAATTCTTGATGTCGAATTATTGATTAAAAAAACATTAACTTTAAACTTTTGCTATTAATAGTCTGCTCAATATAGCATAAAACAATCAAATCATTTGTCTGACTCCCCAGGCAGGATTATTGTGTTTTTCTCATTAATTTCTGTGTTAAAACATAAAGATTAGAATTGAATAAAGTGTTAAGAATAAGGCTCACCCTAATAGAGACTAATGATATAACTGATGAAAAGTGTTTGTTACATTGAGCAATCCGCTTACCCCTACAGATATTGAAGTCGTAATATTTTATTCGGCATGTTATGGATGTTTCTAAATTTAAACAATTTATTCATCGCTGAGACAGTTCTGCCTCTATCTTTAAGAAAATCACATTATTCTGATTAGGTTCTTATGAGTTCACAAGAGATAACGATATCTTCGCAATTGAACTTATTTCACAATATTACATATTGTACCGTTTTTGGCAAATGATAAAAATGTCTGTAGTGTAATATTCTAAAACCGTTTCTCTGTTTTTTATTTACATAAAACGATATCTGAATTATTACTGTATGATACTAAACATGATTTCACAATTGTTAGACACCATATTGCGATACCCCTTTTTTTGTGAGGGGAAAATCATCAAATGACTTCTCCCGCCCAGGGCCGGGCGGGAGGGAGTGTCAGACTCTTACTGACTGAAAACCCCTCTGTTCCTTCTCCTGCTCTGGGCCGAGGTCGCGGTGCCTCATTGCGCTTACCCCGCAACCCCGGATATTGCGATACCGTGGAGGTAGCCGATAAGCCAATACGTCATTCATTAAGACTGAAAAATCGAAATTCCTTTGTATTGGAAATAAGGACCAAGAACCCTCCCTCTTGCCCACGGTGAAGCTAGAGGTAGTGTCAGACACTTGCTGACTAAAAACTCCCCCGTTCCTTATCCTTAATCCGAGGTAGCAGTAGCTTATTACGCTAGCCCCGCAACCCCGACTGAACATCAGCCCAATAAGGCCCTATGTTTGGCTCTTTAAGACGCGCGGAACGCTACGCGCTGGCGCTCGCGTTTGGTTCTGGTCGGGCGGCGAGCTACCCTTACTACGTTTCATACATATCTACGTTTGTCCAAATAGGTGCATCTAACACCTGTTATAGATTTATACATTGCTTCCGCACTATGTTTAAACACTAATACACTAACTATGTTTAAACTCAATGCATTATGCTTAGCTACCCAGCTACGTATAAATGAACTTTTGAAACTAAAAGGAACGAAAAAAACCCAAAATGTATTACAACATATTTTATATTCTTCAACATAAAAGATGAACTTATAAACTATGTAAATGTAGATACAAAAATTAACATATATGGCTTTATGTAACATTCTATTTTGAGGGCTCTTCCACACTATTATTGTGATATCAGGAATGTGATAAGTTTTAACAATACTGAATTTTGTACACAATAATAGGGCTGAAATCTTCTGTATGGAAAAAAGCCCTTTTAATAAAATAAAGATTAAAAAAAAAAAACAATCTTGTAATTTGCACATAGGTACAGATAACAAGTTCAAACGAGCTTGTAAAATTGATACTTGAGAATATAAAAAGTCCAAATGTCATATCTACTATTCACTCCTTAATACGCGTTGTGTCCAGCACAAGTTTCAAAACATTTATTGCCAATCAAATTTTCATGATATACTAAATATAAAACTTATCTTACTTGGATTGGTCAAGATCTCTGTGCATTGTAAGCAACCGCACAAAACCACAGTTGCTTCATTAAACAAAATCATTCATTTTTCTTAACATATCTTACTGTGTTATCCTACGTATAAAATATCATTAAAAATAACATACATTATTGCCATTGTAAAATTCGTTATTTTATAAAAATATTTATCAATATCTTAGCAATGAGGAAACTTAAATAATTAACGTTATAAAAATATATTTATAAGTACCTAGTAGTGATCTATTTGTTATAAGATTCATTGTTAAATAAAGTAGTTGAAGACAATTTAAAAGCATTATATGGCCTATCCTTAATACTGCAAAATGGACATCTTCGGAAATCCTAGTTCATAGTTTCGGGGAAGGTCCATTTTTTTAATTGTCATAAAGAGATGTTTATTTGTGAATTAACTGTACATATTTTTAAAAATACTGAGTAGCATTTGTTTTAGAAGTTGATGATTACAATCTTCTTTCACGATAATGTTAAGCCATGTTTTGTCCTTTACACATTCTCCAGTAATAGCCTCGTTGGTTGAAGAGTTCTGAGTGGGTGCCTCGTTCCACAATTTTACCTGGAAAAAAGACAATAAAAATATCAGGATGTCAACATAATTAAGAAGATATTCCTGGAGTATATCCGAACTGATGCAAAGACATAGTGTATAAAACATTCAAAAAAGACTGTTCCCTTTTAATCATAGGGCCTGCAACACTAACAGTAAACCTTGCGGGGTTGCAGATGTCTATGGGTTTTTTTTGTGAGGGGAGAATCATCAAATGACTTCTCCCGCCCAGGGCCGGGCGGGAGGGAGTGTCAGACTCTTACTGACTAAAAACCCCCCTGTTTCTTCTCCTGCTCTGTGCCGTGGTCGCGGTGCCTCACTGCGCTTACCCCGCAACCCCGGCTGAACATCAGCCCTTTAGGGCCCCGTCTGTGGTGGTCGAATGGCTCTTTGAGGCGCGCGCGGAACGCTACGCGCCGTACGCTCGGGCCTGGTTCTGGTCGGGCGACGAGCTGCCCTTACTCGCCGACCGCAGGCCCGTACTTACGGTGGCCGGAGATCGTCCCTCGATCCCCGACGCCCGTAGTGTCGCCAGTTGCGGCTGCTGGGGCGTAAGGAGGAGAATTGCTCCCTCACGCGGGCCGCCTCTCTCTTTGCGAGATATGTCTATGGGTGTTGATCACGTACCATCAGGTGATTCGCGTCTACCCGGAACTCATATAGAAAAAAACTTACCTTTATCAAGCACACAGATGAGGTCTGCGTCTTTGATAGTGGACAGCCGATGTGCAATGGTGATACACGTACGACCCTTGGCTGCCTTCTCTAAAGCTTCCGAAACCGCCTGAAATAAATCATGTTGCATATCAATAGTTTTATATAGAAGTCTATTAATGTACCTATAATATTTTAGACCAAAAACGACATAAGTTCAGAAGAATTGTGTGTGAGAGCGGCACGAATGGATCGGCTCGACCGAAGAGATACCACGGCCTCACAAAAAATGGCGCGAAACAACCATAGCGTTGTGTGAAGTTATCGGAGGCCCAATCCTTCTCCATTCCCCTGTCCCTGCCCAATTCCTAAATTTCCAGAATCCTAACTCCAAAAAGGTCGGAACTCTGGTGTTACGGGTGTCCATGGGTGGCGCCAATTTGCTTATCATCAGGTAAAATGGACGATCGTTTCCCGACCAACCACATAAAAAAAATGTTTCTGACCCGTTCACTGTTCGCGTCTAGTGCAGAGGTGGCTTCATCGAGTAACAAGAGTCGTGGCGACCGAATGAGCGCGCGCGCAATGCACACTCGCTGCTTCTGACCGCCAGACAGCTGCGCTCCGCCAGATCCAAGGTTTGTGTCGTAGCCCTGCGGGCAAGTACATTATACGATAAGACATTATAATGGTATAAATTACATGTATAAATTAATGTCTAAACTTAGCTAGAGAAATGATGGTAACTTCTCTAATTGCCATGATAGCAGGAACAGTAGTAGGTAGATAAAATCAACTTACTTTGGGCAACGAGACGATGAAACTGTGAATATTAGCTGCCTTTGCAGCAGCCACGATTTCGTGCATGGTGACCTTCCTATTATTGTCTCCATAGGCAATGTTCTCAGCGAGTGTGCGGTCGAAGAGTATAGGTTCTTGCTGCACCACGCCCAGCTGACGACGCAGCCGTGGCAATGTGAGAGACGATCTTATGTCACGACTATCCAGCTCCTGTGTAAAAAAATTATAAACAAGGATCTGAATATTAGCCAAAATAACAGCACTGCACCAATTAAAGGCAGCCGACAGCGTTATTGACGTAATCGGTATACATAGGTATATCGCATAGTCATCAAATAAAATTAAGATTCTGCAGCTTGAATTTAAAACATATTATAGATTTTCTTCTTTCTTTATCACATACGTATAAATAGAATGCAAAATTTATATAATATAGGCACAGGCGTATCTTATTGTTTCTGAAAGTGGCATAATTTATCTAAATGCGACTTAACCTATAATAAATATTTTGTAGATAACATAATTCATAAGTCTAGTTTATGTAGGAAGCGAAAGACAAAAGGAAAATGAACTTACAATGTTACCAGAATCAGGGTCATAAAACCTCTGCATCAGTTGCAAGATAGTGGACTTGCCACAGCCGGAGGATCCAACTAAAGCCACTGTTTTGCCAGCATCAACCTTTAGGTCAATGCCTTTCAGAATCCTCAAGTGAGGACGAGTTGGATAACTAAATTCTACATCACGAATACTGAAGTTTCCAGTAGCAGTCTGAAAAGAATAAAGACGCATTATAGATTGTTGGTATATTCTTATGTCGAAAGGAATATACAAATATTTACAGATCAAATATTTCGATATATTGCTGTATTATCCCATGATATGCCAAAGCGTAGATCTAAGCGAAACACAATGTGTTTTATATTGTGCCTCATAATTATACCCGAAGACAAGTGGTTAATGCCAGAAAACCACATAATCTATTACCGTGTCTTTCATAACTGTGGAATTAAATGGTTACCTATTATGTGGGTCAGTTTCTATTCTACATTAAAGAATCTGTCTTACCCAATCTTTCTTGTCCCTTATTCCATCTTCGGTTTTGACCCTCGGTGTTCTCTTGATGAGAGCAAGGATTCTAGCACCGCATGTCTTAGCTGAGTTGAAGCTTGGCACGTACACTAGAGACTGACCCAACATGTACGCTCCATACATGATGGCTTCGTTGACCCTTTAACATTACATTGAAGATAGACACATGATCTAAAACATAATGATTAAATAAAAGTATTTTTCTTCAAAGTAGATACATATATTTCAATTCATAATCAATCTAAAAAAGAAACAGCAAAGGCTTCATCTTGGAGGAGATCATGGAGAGGTTTGAGCATCAACCAACGTTTGTTAACGGCGGATTGATGATACCAAATTTAAAATTTAAAATACAGTGAAACTTGGTTAAGTGGGACCTGGATAAGTGAGAAACCTCCATAACTGGAACCCATACTGAGGTCCCAACAATTTGGCACTAAATTACCTCTGTTAGTGGGACGAGGCAAACCTGTATATCTGGGATTTGTTCTTTTGATTTATCATCATAGTTACCTCTATAACTGAGACAGCGAGTAAATTTTATATGCATAAACCTCTGTAACTGAAATAACATTGTTTGTTTACTCATTCTTATTCTATCCACAAATTCAACACGTAATTCCAAGTACGTAAGTACAAATTTAGAGCTTCAATTACCTTCAGTTTTAGTTTCGCTTTACTATGATACAGATGTTTATTTGAAAAATGCCAAAAGGAAAGCTACAATCGTTGTCATTACGTGAAAAACTGAAGTTAATATCCGTTTATGAAAGTGGGAAGACATGCGGAAAAGTTTGTGATTATGATTACCTTTAAGTACTATTTTTTTTTATTCAAACTTATTTACATACATAACACGTTATTTTATTTAATGATCGCATTATATATTGTATCACTGAATAACTGACTGTATACCTGTATAACTGAAATAACCTGTATTCTCACCTCTATTAATGGAACCTAATGGCATATCTGAGAACCTGGAATGGTATATCTGAGACACTGGGTAAGTGGAATACCTCTATAAGTGAAACGACATTGCAGGTCCCTTGATGTCTCACTTAACCAGGTTTCACTGTATTAGTCCATATTTCCTCACAATGGTTTCCTTTGCCGTACTTATGTCTATACAACATAGACTTTTTTTCAGTCTACATAACTATATAACGGCACAATCTATTAATATACATATATCTGTCCGACAGCCAGGAATGCTGATGTTAAGTTTTCTTCTGTGTTTGACTAGACGACTAATAATAGTAGTTTAGTATACCACAACATAGTCCACAAAATCTAATAATTGATCAGCCAATTCTACACACAGGGCAACTCAATTCGATAAGACAAATTATTGCTACCGATAAGACAGAGAGTTATAGAAAACCAACATCAAAGAATGGTGGCTTTGTATTCTGAGATCGTGATTAAGAACGTGTATGCTCTGTGAGTGTGAGATTAGATACCGGGAGCTCAAATTACATCCAGCACCATTGCCAATTCCCTTAATTTTCAAATCACTATTGTGACCTTGTGGACAAGGCCAACAATGCACTTGCAATTCTATGTTAGGTAGTCAACGGCTCGTTAACCGACCTATGCTATTAAAAATGTAGCATAGAAGTTACTTACAGCATGACAATCTTATACTCGATTTCTCCATAGGCAACCAAAACAGCACCGTAGACTGTAGCACTGCAGAACGCCATGAAGGGTACATAAACTCCTAGGCCTAAGACCAGACCCCTCCAGCGAGTCTTCTTCGAGACAGCCAAGCAGGCTTCATTCAAAGCTTCTTCAAACTTCTTAAGGAATACCAGCTCAACGCCTGAACAAAATGTACGATTTAAGAATTTTTATCTTGCGTAGTAGATTATGTTTGTTTGCTATTATTGATCTTGAAATTAAATAGGCGTTTAACATAACATATGTCAAAGAACACATAACGAGTGTTGGCTCAACTTTTGCTCTTGCAAGGGCTCTCTATTCCTAGCTTATTTTTTTTAGTAAAAGCTCTTCCATTCCTTCTATGGTGTCATAAAAGTATAGGTCTTCGAAATTTAGAAGTTCCTTAAACAATACTGTACTAATCGCAAACTACCATTGAATAGTTTTACGAATATGGAGGACCATATTTTAAGGGTTTGGATCAGATGGAGCGCGGAAACGCTCTTAAGAAGATTTCATGTTATAGCATAATTGAATTAAAAAAATTGCGATATTGTGCTATATGAACTGATGATTGACTATATGGGTGTTATTATTCTAAGATTATATGTACCTACGGTGCATATAGTCTTAGATTTGTGCAGAACATTGGTTTTAAACATTTTCCTTACCCAAGCTTTGAACAGTTTTGATACTGACTACTGCTTCTGTTGCAATAGCTGTCGCTGCCTCCATAGCGGTTCTTTCATTGATCTGAGATTGTTGGGAAACAATACCTTCCAGCCATATGCTGCCCACCATCTGTAGTCATTACAATTTTCTTATAAGTAAACAATAGATGTGACTCCTTTAGATAATATTAATAAGAATTGCCTATTATATGTGAATGGTATGATCTTATTTAAAACAGTTAATAAATTTTACTCACCAAAGGTAGAAACACGGTCCCGACCAGGGTAAGCTTCCAGTTATAGCAGATCGCCATCAAGAAGCCAACGAGTACAGAGCTTATTCCCTGAAGAATAAGGCCTATTCTTAGCCCAGTAGCGCCCTGCACCTCTGCCGTGTCTCCACTGAGTCGTGCACACATTGCACCTACTGTATTGCTTTCCTTGTCGAAGAAACCTATTTCCTAGAAAAGAACAAATTACGTTTTTTGAGATTTGTCAGCGTATTATTGAATGCGCAAATTGCGTTAAACTTATTGGAAATACACTAGCCTCCTATTGCCAGCGTGCTAGCCTGACTAGATGCACAAATGTGATGAAAAAATTAAAACTAAACAAATCAAGGACAATTTGTATATCATACAATGTTAAATGAGGCTCTAAGATTAACTTCGGCCTACGATGAAAGTCTACGTAAGAAATATGTATTCTTAGGTGAGTGAGTTTTTTAGTGAGTCTAAAATCAAAGTGCAAATTAATAAAATTTTTGATCATACATACCTGTTTAAGTAAAGATGAAAAGTATTGCTGTCGTAACCTTGTAGTCATTTTCAATCCTGCGGTGGTGAATGTGGTGCTCTGGAGACACATGGATACACCAGCCACTGCAGCCACCACGACGAACATCCCCGAGTAAAGATCAGCCAAGTAAATGATTTCCTTTCTGTCGTCAAGGATGAAGATCTGAAACATATTTCCATATGATTTTCTGTCCAAGAAGTAATTGGATTTTTATAATAAAAGTGATTAATTGCCTTTAAGATCAATCAAGTCTTGGCTATTTACAACTCGACTACTTGTAAAAGACAAAATACGGTTATAAATATACTTACACCGCTTGAAAATCCGAAGAGCAACGCAAATACAGGGAAGCAGGCACCTTGAACGAACGCTGCTATGGATCCTATAGTGATCAGTGGCCATTCCGGTGCGTTCAACTTCAAGATCTGCCAGTCGCTTACTGGTTTAATTTCCTAAGAACAGAAAAGATTTTACTCAATTAATAATCAGTAAAACGTAGGGGAAGAATCGAATCCTGAACGACTTACTTCCTCCTCATCTTTTTCTTCATCCGACTCATAATCAGCGTTGTACACGAAATTTTGTAAGCCAGTTGATACTACCGAGCAAATTGAGCCTCGGGGAGTCATCCAATCGTGAGAATCTGAAAAATATAAAATGTGGCTTATAAGTTATTTACAACTATTAATAATAATATTGAACTATTTGGAAATCAATTAATTTAAAATTCGCAATTAGTATTACTCTTAAAAGAAAGTTAGGGCTAACTCTAATGGTAAAGAAAAACCCTTACGCATGTATTTAAAACGCGTGAGGCAGCAGACCTCATGCCCCAGCCGCCGCAGTAGGCGACACTCTTTTTTTTTCTTTTTTTTTTTTGTCAGGGCAAAATTCTCCAATGACTTCTCCCGCCCAGGGTAAGGCGAGAGAGAGTGTCAGACTCTTACTGACTAAAAACCCCTCCGTTCCTTCTACTGCTCTGGGCCGAGGTCGCGGTGCCTCATTGCCCTTACCCCGCAGCCCCGGCAGTAGGCGACACTCTGGGCGTTGGAGTCGAGAGACGATCTCCGGCTACCCTTAAGCGCGGGTCTGCAGGCGGCGAGTAAGGGTAGCTCGCCGCCTGAATAGATCCAGACCCAAGTGTACGGCGTGTAGCGTTCTGCGCGCGCCTCAAAGAGCAAATATACACCACATACTCGACTCTATAGGGCTGATGTTCAGCCGGGGTTGCGAGGTAAGCGATATGAGGTAACGCGTCCTCGGCCCAGAGCACAAAGAACGGGAGGGTTTAAAGTCAATAAGAGTCTGACACTCCATCCTGCCTGACCCCGGGAGCGAGAAGACATTTGATGATTTTCCCTTCACAAAAATAAAACGCAAGTACTTTGAGAATAGTTTTTGCAAACGAACCTTTCTTAATAGAATGATGTCTGTGAACACGTCTGTTGGACTTCCTCTTGACATCCGCACGAGGTGCTAGTGCTGGTTCTACGTTTTCTTCCCCATCTCCTTCTTCAGCCACGGTTTCTATTTCTTCAGGTTCCTTAGTTTCGTTGCCTGTGGTCACTAATTTGTAGTAGAAACCTAAAATAAAGAGATGTCGTAAGTAATCTGCAGTGAGGCTTGGTGATCATTTGTTGTTGAATAGTAGAAGTAAACAAATAACAATTAAATAGTTTTTGGGGTTTATTTGATTTTTGAGTTTGTATTATTAACATACATGCCAAATCGTACTTTAATAAGGTCATTAACTTTAAATGTCGTGTCTAAATAAGTAACGAGACAAATAGTTTTATATAATACACATATAAATGATACAAATCAATAATTCATCCATCTTTCCCGTATGTTCTATAAGCATGCCCTACACTTCTATAATTACTTTTGACCGTGAAGTCTGCTAGTCGGATTTTATGTCAATAGTTTTACCTTTGGTCTTCATAAGTTCTTCATGTGTGCCTTCTTCTACAATTGCACCTTGGTCCATGCATATGATGCGGTTAGCGTTGGTTATTGTTGATAATCTAAAACAAGCATTCACGATTTGTATTGCGTAGGCTTACCACACGTGCGATCATCGTGGAAATGTATTTCTGTACTGTTGTGCTGAACTACAGACTTGGAAACTTGCCATTTCTTAAATTTCTTAAAGTACATATTAAAAAATACTACCCATGAAACTGATGTGACATTTCAATTGAGTGTAGTACATATGTTGTATAAAAGAAGATATTATTTTATAGTAGAGAATGTTGCAAAAAGTATTCCTTTTTCTAACCTATGTGAAACCATAATAGTAGTTCTGCCGACACTCGCACGATCAAGGGCAGCTTGCACCTGTCGCTCGGAGTGTGGGTCGAGTGCAGAGGTAGCCTCATCCAGGAGTAGAACAGCTGGCTCACGCAGCAGCGACCGAGCTATAGCGATGCGCTGCTTCTGACCGCCCGATAGAGAAGCACCGCGCTCTCCTATCACTGTATCATAACCCTGGAAACAAACCACCACACAAATAAATAAATGATAAGCGACAAGCAACCCCCTTTACAACACAACAATATACAAAAAATTAAACCATCATGTTTACGTTTTCTTATTAATACTCACATTGGGAAGGTTGGTGATAAAGTCGTGGGCGTAAGCCATTTCAGCTACAGTCTGAACTTCTTCCCTCGTAGCTTCAGGGAAGCCTATGGCAATATTATCAAATATTGTTCCTCGGAACAGTACCGGTTCCTGACCTACTACACCTGAAAAAATATAATATTAAATAAATTTAATTTCAAGAAGATACGAGCGTATTTAAAATTAAACCACCAACTTTAATCATTAAAAAGAAATTATCTGTCATTTTGTCCACAGGTAAAATCATTTGTTGGTTTATAAGCGTTTCATACTAACCTAGGCATGATCGAAGCCATCCCAAATTCAAGTTTTTGACATCCTTTCCATCAAGTTTCACGGAACCAGAAAGTGGATCGTAAAGTCTTTGCAATAGCTGCAGTATAGTGGATTTACCACAACCGGACGATCCAACTAGAGCCACACATTCACCAGCTTTGATCTTAATGGAAAATCCGTTTAGGACCTGAGAAATTAGCATGGTATTAGTAGGAGTAGACTATTAGTACCCTGGTATTGATATAGTTTCAAGTAATTCGTATTATAGAGAGGCAAAACAATTTACTTATTGTATCAAAACTAATCCCAATACCTATATTATCTTTGATTAATGACGAAAAGTAAATTAAATTACCACCTTTATTAATATTGTTAGGATGAAATAATTGTCTGCCTTTTTGTTTGAATTGAAAGGCTTATTTATTTCCATCCGAAATTACTTGATCGATTTGATAAATTCTTTGAATTTTGGGAAGCTATATATCTACACCATTACTGGTAAACGTAGGCTATTAACTTCACGACTGATACCGCGGCGCACAGCTAGTATAGTTCATAAGATATAGACTTAATAAACTTGTACCTTCACTTCTGGTCGTGATGGGTAGCTAAAGTGTACGTCTTCCAAAGATATTTCTCCTATAACTCTTCTTGGAGTTAAACCTCCTTTTTGAAGACTGTCGATCAATGGCACCCGGTCAATCAATTGAAATATGCTGGAAGCTGCACCTCGTGCGGCAGCGAATACTTCTGCGTGCGGCACACAGAATGTGACCGACTGTGTAGCCATGTATACGCTGAACAATATCTGGAATCATAATAAATCCTAAATCCTAATTCAAATAAATAAAAGCCTTTTCTGTAAAGAAAAGCATTTTATTTATGCCGATTTCCAATAAAATTAAGTATACTTACACTGTACACAACTCCAACTAAATACTTCCGTTCACCTTCTGGACTGTCCCAGTCCATAAATACTAGTCTGGTTCCGTAAGTGAAGCCGATAGCATTCAGGGAGTAAGTGAGCACCCAATTAAAGCCATTACCAAGCCCAGTGTAAAGGCCACGCTTCCGACCCTGCTTCTCAGCCGGCTGAAGAAGTTTGGTATACCTGGAAGTTTGTGAAATTTTTTTATTGAGGCAAGGACTGCACATGATAATTAAATATATTTAATCAAGAGTAAGTAATATATTCAAGCAATCATATTATTAGATTTTTCATGCTTGTCCTATAAATAGGAGGGAAAATTATATCTATCTTTTTTTGTCTGCATACCCCAAATTGCAATAAGTTTCATCATTCAACTAGCTATTTCAAGAAATTACAAATTCAAGAAAAGTTAAATATTTTTTGCGACGAAAATCTGATGCAACTTTATAGCTTTTGTACATTGTCGTGTGTTATGTCATTAGACGCGTCATAACCTCTGTGTACGCGCACTACGTCGACGTTCGCTTGGCACGCGAATTTTCTGCAACAAATCATAAACGAATGCGCGCACGAGGTTCTTGACTTGCAAACAGTGTTTATTTTATTTGCGGATTAAACTAGCAATTAAGATATGGCTGTTACTAAAATTAAAATTGTCTTTATAACTTGTTTATTACCTGTCGACTTCTTTGTTCTCCCCGTTGAATGCAACTATTGTTTTCACTGACTTCAGTACTTCCTCTGCCTGCTTGCCCGCTTGACTGTACGACTCCATTTCCAATATCGATGATTTTGTTTGATACTAAAGAAAAGAATTGCATATTAATGTTGACTTCATTAAGTACTAGCTACTCTCGCGCCGTTTCTCCCGCTACTCGGCTCCAATTATCGTAGCGTGATTTTTTGTAGCCTATAGCACTCAGGAATATTGTAGCTATCTATCAGTGAAAGAATTTTGGAAATCCGACCTGCGGATCCAAAGATTACCCCCCTACATACAAACTTACAAATACTAATAAAACGAGTTCTGTAACTAAACATTACAGGTATTATTTATGCCAATCCATAGGAAAATATACTCACATTGGTTAATATAATAGAAACAGCAATCGAGAACGGCATGATAGATACACAGGCGAGTGTGAGCTCCCATCCTAGTGGGAAGGCAGTGCACAAGCAGATGATCGCTGTGCCCACAAGGTTTGACACCACTGCCAACTTGTCGCCCATACCTTCCTTCAAAGACATTAGGTTCCTGGAAGCAAAGATTTTAAACAGTGAAGAGGAATTGGTATGCAAATTAGCTTGCCTATTACTATTGGACTAATGGCTAATAACTAATTCTTTACATTTAAGTCCTTCTGCAGTTTTAACCCTTAAAGTATGTTGTACTGTCTTATCCACCACAGAATGTTGCTGTTTACAGAATATTAAAATTTTGAGAAACTTTTTCAAGTGCAGTATTAAACATGATTCTTACTTTCTTTATTACAAAACTTCCACAATTGGATTTTCTCCTCAATCGTGGATAGAAATATACAAATTAACATACACATTTATCCAGACCAAGAAAAGCTATTTGTGGAACAAAGATGTTTTATTAATGCAAACTTCATCTAAAAGGAAAGCCTATATTCGGCAATGGCACATTCCGAATGATGTACTTACTCAGACATCTTTGAAGCCAAATTGAATTCAGAATCCGTGTCGAACCATGACATGTCTTGGCGCAGCACAGCATTCAAGAACTTCATCCGTATCCGCGTTATCTGGTAAATTATTTTCAATTGTTGTTTAGAACACTTACAACTTACATTACCAAGGCAGAACTTTAATGTGCATGTATGGGATAACGAAAGAAACTAAGATCGTGGTATAGGTATGAGACAAGAGATGATGGATTTCATATTCTCCTAATAGTCCTGCCTGATACCTGCCGAACCCCTACATAATTATGATCAAACTATTTAAATAATCCCAGTTAACCTATATTTTAGTACTATAAGCCAGGTTAGTCTCAAGGCATATTTTCAAAATATTCATTGACCTTAACCACATCCTATATTTAGTCTGTTGCTGTGTTTCCTATTCCACTGTAAAGACATTACTATACTAAATATCGTCGTCAACACATACATAGAACCAACAATTAAGTTATAAAAATCTTTTATATTAGGACCAAAATCAGTGCTTTTATTGTTATTTTAATCATTATGCCCTGAACTGGGTACTCAAGGCCACATTTATAAGTAAGTATTATTTCATTTTCGTTTACGTTGTGAAGCTCAGCGAGTCAATCAGCAGTAAGGTCATCAATTTAAAGCAATTGATTTCGTTTGTGCTCGTGTAAAATTTGTTCCCATTATTTATTATATCATATAAAAATGTGGGGCAACGTTTGATGTGATGATAATTACGATTCAAACTTCAATGTCATAGGTATGCTCCACACGAAATGATAAGACAGGATCGAAATCATTTCAAGCAAGCTGATTCCTCATATGGACACTGCCAGGAATTAATCGCAGGAAAACCTTCCGATCTATAACAATCGGTACGTGTTTTGAAGTTGTAAGTTTAAAACTAAGGACGTACTAACTTCAATGCACCTGCAGATTTTTTCATTATCATGAGAATCTAAGATTAGCAACCATCTTTTGTTATGTATCTCGTTCTACAATTGAAGAAACAATGATAACGATCCCCATGCTGTGCGATTATGTCATCTATTAATTGAGAAAAACAAATGTAACGTTATGACTGTAATAATTTATAAATCCTTACACGCTTCAAGTTCAAAAGTAACAAGATAAGTTTCATATATAGGTAGATAGTTAGGGTAATTGGAGTTCCTCATTCGGAACGCCGATGCCCCGTGAATTTGAATAGTATGTTTGTGTATTCGATCTAACAAATTGGCTTTCACTCAACGATCAATGTGATATCAATTTACTGAAGGACAAATAGATCCGAAAAATTAAAACGCATTGTTAAAATAGGCTTCCAATTTAATGTTTGCTGGCTCTTTTTGCTTGATCATTCTAATTCTAAAGCCGTTTATTTTGTGAAGGATACTGCCTCATGTATTAGTTTCCACAAGCTGTTCAACACTATCTCAAATACCGTTTTTTTCTTGAGGCATCGTGTACATTTTAACAATAGAAAATGAGAGAAGAGTGTGGTTTTAATATTAATGAATTTGTTGCTTAATTATTATATAAAGATACTAAAACGAAATGTGTTCTCAGTCTTGACTATAGTGTTTTGTAAGTATAAATCCTTTAACTGAATCAAACTTCAGATAAATGTAATTGCGTGGTAAACAAAAATAAAGCCAATAATAAATAGAGTACACATATCTATTGTTCGTAGTCCAACTCTTGATTGAACTGATTGAGTTAACGCTCAGTCATAGAATAAATCATGCTGAAGTTTTCAGTACATATGCACTGATGCTGTAAGTAATGATGAGAATGTGAGAAATATTTATTGCCATTATTTGCTAACTGATTGATAATTTCAATGGTGGATTTTTCTTAGTAGAATGGTGTTGATCTCATTACTTTTAAGGAAATATTTTACACATTGAACGCCGCGGAGGACATGTGAGCCAAACCAACGAAAGATATACAAAATAATATCAATATTGGCTCCATGACACCAAGTAAGGTAACAATTCTATAGACGCTGTAAATAGGTCACCTTATAATTTGTTATTGACATCGCAACGAACAACTATGATATTTTCAATTGTCTCATGGCTGTCTGCAATATAGATAAACATTAGCAACACTACTTAGATATTTTTATGTAGTACATAGGCACTAAATTGATGTTTTTTCGTTTTAGTAAAAGCCGATCAAATGTAGCGTTTTACAAGGTTTTTAATTGTAAGCCACTCGATTTACGGCGGCAACTGGCTGTGTTTAAGAAATGATATTGCAGTACATTTTTTGTAGTTTAGCTGATTATTTTTGATGGGGATTCGATTTCTGTGCGGGTCGCAATCCTAACAAAACCAAACCTACCATTATTTGAGCTACTCGGTTATTATGACGACCTCATCTCCCTTCAGCTAATTCAATGAGAATTTCAATTAACGAATAAAATACCTTGTAATTCTATAACCAAACAAGTTGGTTGCGACATTGTCATTTTGTGAGTATTATAAAATTCACCAACAGCAACGCTTGTCTAGGTACTTATTTTGTTTACTATAATAATGACATGAAACGGTAGCAATGATAGGTTAAATTGTATAGGTCAGGAGTTGCGTAAACAGAACAATATTATAGCACCATTTATGAGCGATCCGCAAGATGACGTCACTGTTGAAGCTTTGGACTTGGCCCAACAGTTTCTTATAGCACATAAGAAAATATATGCATCATTATAATTTAAAACTAATTAATCAGACCAAAAGTATTGATACAAAAAATGTGTTGCACATAAAGTTGTCAACGTTATAAAACCAAACAACATTTTATCGTTTTACCAAACTAGCCAAAATTTTCAGTGCTATGAGATAGACACGCAAAAGAAAATACATGACATATCAAACATTTGAAAATGGAACTATGGAACACAGTTTCTAATAAAATAACTGACAGAAAAAAGTGGATTAGAAATGTAACGTATCCAATCTCATTTTACGATCTAAGTATAGGTGCATAGGACGTGTGAAATAGTTTATATCGACGAAACTAAAATAGAAATACCTGGCGGAGTGCGCTCCAACTGATCAGGCCAACGGACAGCATGCAGAAGATCAATGATACTCCAATACTGAGGAACAGGCCGATCGCCATCGCCTTGGCGTCTTCTATCAGGGCCACCATATTCTCTTCATATGAAGCGTTGAACCTGGACAAACGGTTCTTTTCATTTAAAATTGTCTTTTTGGCCTTAACGACGGGTTATCCGACGTCATGGGTGCTTTTAAACAAAAAAAACTATACAGATAGTTTTTTCGGGTTCTGGTGTGATGTGTGCCTTTGTAAAAGCACCACTTATAGAATTATTTCACGCGGGGATTGATGTTGGGTGTGCTAACCATAGTTGTTGGTACTAAGTCTTTGTGATAGATATCTGGCTTAAAAATTTCTACAATAAATGACGATCATTAAAATTGCTTCCTGTCTAAATTTCGGTAAAATCGGTAAGTGTATACTTAGTTGGTACTATCTTGTCCCAATAATATTGTGTGACAGAACCCTATAGATTGTTAACCGTCCCGCTTTTCTATAAGAACGGTCGGAGATAACAAAAAGTCATAAGTCCTAATTTTGCTCCCTTAGGTTTTTTCGTATTGGGCAGGCATTTGGCTGCTTTGCTGCAACCTGCGATGGAGTACGCCTACCCACGAGCAAACTATTCGGGTAATAATAATTATAACCAATTACCAGATGATAATCCTTAAGAATATACTTAGTCGGGTCATAAGTTCTGTCACAAACTTTTGATGTAATAACTTATACGCCTTTTGACAATTATTTAAAAATTATATATGAAATGAAAGGTCATTAAATGTACAATATAATTTTATTTACATTATTCGAAATGCCCTCCCCCATTTTGAACACATGCCCTTAATCTACGCGGCCAGTCATCGATCGCTGCACGCACCACATTCATATCTATGTCTGCCGCTGCTTTAACCAGAGATGCTCGGAGAGACTCCAAATTCGGGTGAGGTTTAGCACAGACTTTTTTCCTCCAAATATTGCCATATCTTGTAGTCCAGTGGGTTTAAATCTGGACTAGAAGAGGGCCAGTCTTCATGCCGGATGAAGTCAATTCCACGAGCGATCAACCAGTCTTGCGTACTTCGTGCCTTATGAGCCGGTGCAGAGTCCTGTTGGAATATCCAATGCCTGTTCCTGAACATTGTCTGAGAAAGAGGTTCCACTATGTTTGTTAGGACAGTATTTTGATAAACTTCGGCACTAGTTCTCACACCTTTTTCACAGAAAAACACCTCAGTTACGCCTGAATATGAGACTCCAAGCCAAACCATGAATGAGGAAGGGTAATGCCCACGCTGGACCCTCGCAATACGCGCGCTTGCTTCTTCACTGCTGTGGGCATACACCTTATCATTTTGTTTGTTAAAACTTTCTTCAATAGTAAAAATTTTTTCATCCGAAAAAAGAATTTCGCGGTATTTTTTTCCCGCGTACCGTCGTAGCAAAGCGCGGGATCTGTCTAGCCTAATTTTTTTTAAACGCTCGTTCAAAAAATGTCCTGTCTTTTTACGATAAGCTCGTAGTCCCAGGTCTTCATTTAGTACTCTTTTAACAGTGGTTCTGCTTAGCCCCATCTGCAGAGCTAGGATTTTTTGTTTACGTACGGGATTTCGTTCGATTCGCGCCTTCACTGCTTTGATGACCTTATGTGTCCGAACTGTGCGAGGTCGGCCGCTTCTCTTACGATCTTCGAAGCTTGACTCTTCGGTGTATCGTTTGATAGTACGATAAACAAACCGTAACGTTATTTTCAAATTTTGAAGAATATTGAAAATGTCTTTTGGCGCGTAACCACAGCGGTGCAACGCGATAACCGCGATTCTGTCTTCTTTATTCGACCACTCCATATTTAAAAATGAATAAAAAATAATTTCTTTTTTATTTTCTACAAGCGCGAAAGTTCTATTTTTAAAATAAGTCGAAGAATTTCTGGCCAGTAATCGAAAATTAAAAATATAAGGTTTTGACAGAACTTATGACCCGACTAAGTATATTTTAATCCATTCTGCATACATTCCATATGTATTGGTAATAGTGTGCTGAGCATGAAACCAATAGAAAATTCCCAAAATTCTTACGAAATAAGAAGAGTTTTATATGCAGTAGAGCCGTAAAATAGTAGAACTTTGTATGTCTATGAAAATATTTACGGTTATTTTGAGTTTACAGGTTTTTGATATGAGATAAACTCTTTTCTTTTGGTTTAAGGTATTTTCCTGCTTGTTTTGACAAAACTTTATTTACTCAATCATTAATTTCCTGTAACTATTCATCGACTCATTTATTCCACATATTGACTTTATAGATTCATTTTGTCTTAATATAGAAGTTTTACCTTGTAGAATTTTTGATGATCATATTTACAACAATTGTTCATTTCCTCCTACTGTACTAGCAGTTTTAATATTCTGGCTATGGACAGATTTCAGGCCTGTATCATGTCTGAATAGCCAAGATGTTACAAATGAATTTGAATATAGAACGTCGCTTATTTTTCTAGTTGGTCAGAATCCAGAAACTAATAAAAGTCTGAGAATATTCTTATTCCGGTAACTTAATCTAAAGATGAGTTATTAAAACCACTCGTATAACTTACAGCCTCCTCCCTCCTCCGAAAGCTACTGTTAATGGTAAGTAACTGGTAAGCCTCTCTGTGTAAGTGGTCCTCTCTACGAAGGCGGTGCTGAGCTCTCCGATCTGCACCAGGTTGTAGCAGACACCACCACCGCTGGCCAGCCCGAAGATGATGCCCATAATTGTCGCCATTAATTCCGTGCATGTTGCGTAGCGGAACTGAGGAGTAACAAATGTTTAGATTATGCATAACATCACCGAATTAACCAGTTTACCTACATATTTCCATATCGAATTTCCTCTCATAATACAATATGCATAGCAGTTTCATTGTATATGTATAATGCAGAATTACTTTCGCATTCACGTTATAAGTAATAGTAAAATTAGTTCGGATATTATATTTGTAAATCTGGTAGGTATTGAAAATGTTACAATTATTGCGCAATAGTTCGGTAAGGGAGCTTGCCCAGACATTGGATTGACATGGCAGATGTATGTATTGAGATAAGACATGGTATGTCATATGCCATGTATATATTTTACCCGGAATAAGCTCAAAAACATATCGGTTTTTAGTTAAATGTGTACTTACTATTTGATAATACGACAAAGTTTGTTCGGGCTCCTTTTTTCTGAAACAAACAAAATTTTATTGATCACTGCAGATAACTCGTTGTTCGGATCTGAATTAAAACTCATGGTTCGGACTATGGCAGCAAGAATCCTAAGAATGTATAGAGCTCTTGTGTATTAAAGGGATATCATACTACAGCGTCCAAAACCTTTCCGTATAAAGAACAAATTTATGCTTTTTAGGGAAACGAGGGAACTTTATTTACTTAAGTATTATCGAATGTACACTAGTCTCCATCACGAGAAACTATTATAAATGTATTCATTTTACTAAACTATTCAAAGTGATCGCCATAAAATTTATCGAAATGCATCTACAGGTTAATGGGTGAACATTAAGTCCTCGCCGTAGTGAACAAAAAGCGGTTGTTATTAATTACATCAGTGATTACGTTTAAATGGTTCAGTAATTGATACTGGAGCACAAAATGCCGTTGTGGTTTCGTAAGATATTTAGAATATTTGTCAAAAATCGCAAATGAAAAAACATCAGTATTATTTTATACTACGGACCTAATCCAGCTTCGCACGGAAACAATGCTGATATTAAATTTATCCACTATTAAATAGATGTTTCTATACACTTATCTGCCTTTTCTGTCTTTCTACTAAAAACCGCATCAAAGTCCGATGTGTAGTTTCAAAGATTTAAGCATACATTGGGACATAGGGGCAGAGAAAGCGACTTTGTTTTTTACTATGTAGTGATTAGTCAAGACAAGTCTTCTGCCAAATACAGGCTCGCTCGACAACTTCCAGAACACCCAATTGAAAATAATTTGTCTCCAGCAGCCTGCGTTCTTCATTAAGTGGAATCCCCGTTCAAAACTATCTTACTTCTTTATCATAAGGTATCTAGATGCATTTTACACCTTTGAAAAGGATTCCTCGGTTCGGAGTGGTTTATAAACATTAATCATTTCATTGAAGAACTTGTGGTATGAATCATCGCGATCCACATTTTTTCATTCAAGGTATATCAAGGCATATCCGCAGTATACCATGTATTTTGAATTTGGAAGAGGAAACTTGATCGATATTCGTAAATAAGGTATTTCGCTGTTTTCATCCTTTTTTTAAATGTTCGTATGATCGTATTTTGGACCCAAAATGAATCAAACATTATGTAGATTTAAATATTTTTCAGTAGATTTAAATTTTAATATAATCTATTCATGAAAACATGTCCGTTCTTCGTAGCCTGTAGGTATGCATTCGAACTAATCTGTATTAGATGAATTAAATAATTCTGTTGTTGGGTTTTTCACATTTAAAAATATATCACAATCACAAAATAGTAGTTGAAACATAAAAGAAGGCTGTTTTGACTCTTTTTAAAAAACTAGACAACTTATGATTATGGAAAACGTGTCTATCGTATAATGTAATAATTATAAACATCAAACCATGCTAAACGATAACGTTCGCTGCGGTAAATAAATTCTAATCATAATGTAAACATTCGTTAAGGATTGAAAATAATGACTTATTGTACAAATCGCATTGCTGTTGTATATAATAATTGTGTAGACTTACTGTTCCTTTTTCTTCTTAGTTCCCATGTTGGTAAAGTTGTGTCTGTGTGTCAGCTGGGAGCGGGTATCAGATCGGGACGCGTCCGCCGATCACGAAAGCCCGCTTTGAATTGAGCCGAGCTCCTGAATCTTTCAGTATTTACGTCGCGAGCGGGTTGGGAATCAACTTATTTACTTCCATTAGGCGAACTTGTTGAAGACACGATGCCAATACGCACACTAGTCGCGTCCATAAACAGATTAAAAAGACCACGTTGTCTATGTTATAATAATTTTGATGTAAGCTCATCAACAGTACTCTCGTCAGATAGTGACTTGCAAATATTTGGTTTTAAGATGATAGTTTATAGGTTTTTCTTGGGGAAATAGACACAAATTAATGTTACAGCATAACTCACCAAATTGAATAAATATATAAATAATGAACATTGACATAAAACTATTTTATTCTAATAAATTAACATAAAAATCAGCACATTAATTTGTTTCCACTAGCAATTTTATTTTTTCATCTATGACTATTTCGAACAGGCTATACAAGCTAGAAGGTATCGGATACGTTTAAGGCAAACCGCTCCAACTCCACACTCCCCATTTAAACAGTACAGTCAGCAGAGAAACTACTTACAAGAATATGTTTACGTTCTTTAAATTTCAGGTTGATTTTAGGTTGTTATTAATTAATATTTTAAAATTTACCTGAATGCAGATCTCCTTAGGGCTGATTTTTCAATAGTCAGATAAATGTTATCTGAGGAATAGCAACAATTTTTTGTTGCTGTCACTGTCTTATACAAACATTTTGACGCGACAGCATCATAATTGTTCCCCAGATAACTTTTATCTAACCATTGAAAAATCAGCCCTAAATCAACTTTAATTTGGTAAACCGTATTTTTGTAATAACAATAATATGTTTATATATTTCTAAATAAAAAAATCCATTTTTGTTGACAGTTTTACCGACTTTTTATTAACTGTCTCTAAGTTTTCAAATATGATCGTTTTCCTGCACATGGGGACGTCACGGTGTATGCCAGCGCCATATTTGTTCCAAAATATGCTTTGCTTTGTGCGCCTACCATTACTTTCTCTGCATCACCCAAATATTTACTTTTATATATAGTAAAAAGGTAAGAATAATTGATCGTCTGTACTTGCCTTTGAATATTTTATGTACTAAATAGATAACATTACTATGTATTTGATATGCAAGTGGTGTACCTTATTTTTTAACTATTAGAAATGTCTAGAATACTTAGGAATGTGTGTTTTAAATTTGTCAGACTTTTTATTTAACTATTTAGAAGACACCCGTTTAAACCAAAATTTTTGGCTGTTTTTGAATAAAATAAAAATAAAAATATGATAATATTCATCATAAAATATTTTAATTTTTTGTCAAATATAATATGTTAGTTTGTTTTATAAATGTCGGTGTCAATAATAATAGGAAAGTCTATATTATTTATGTTGTATTAATTGTACGTTGCAATGTTTAACTTATTTCACTTGCTACTTTCGTCTTGTGGGAAGTATTCAGAGTAAGGTGATTTAAAACCACATCATTAAAAAAGTGATTTCTTCTTTTCTGCTTTTAAAGGCGACTTCTTCTTTTATTTTTAATAAAATTAAAATTGGAACTCTTATTAACCGATTTCAAAAAAGGGAGAGGTTCTCAATTCGATGCGTATTTTTTATGTATTACTCGAAGACGCGTAGACCGATTTGCAAAATTCTGTTTTTTTTCCTTTCTTTTCCCTAAACCCTTCACTCAGTAATAGAATGTGCATTCCGGATTATAGATTGTCGTGAGTACTTGTGGGTCAGAAAAGAAACTAAATTTCTTTTAAGATCATCTCTCAAAATTACATCGTCATAGTTGTTGCAATTGATAAAACTAGACACTGAAAAACTTAAGATGAACTGGCACTGTAAACACATTGTTGTAAGTATTGTGAAATATTTGTCTTTGTTAACATGTTCTTAATTTGCAGCTAAGCATATAATATTACTAGTGTTAACGTTAACACTAGTAATATTATACATACATGGTAATCCAATTTCCGAGGTGCTTGATGGCTGGGCTCGCCCAAATAATATTTTTTTACGTCGTAAGACGGGTTACTAGGGATTTAAGGATAGGAGACTTGGGGATTAAGGTGGAGATGGTCAGGCCTCCGATGACCTTACTTAGTCACATGGCGAAAGAAAACGTAAATGTAAGTATTATTTAACACTGGTCTTCTGAGAGGCCGTAGCATCACTTCGATCGAGTCGGCCCATTCGTGCCGAAGCATAGCTCTCCGACTCTTTAGTGCACTTGTGGAGCATCTTTAAATCCTTAAGCTTAAGTTATTGTCAATAAGAAACAATTTTCGTTTTCTTCTTCTCTGTCAAATATGTTCTAGATCTAAGACAGTTGTTCATGAATGTCCCTGAGTTGCACTCAGTACTCTAGATTCTGGCTTAGGTTCGGCATTGTTGGGGGCGCAACCACAACTTGTAAAAATCCTATTATTAGCCTATAATAATCTTAAATTAAATTACTTTCCCATATTTATTAAGTTTTTTTTTACTTTTTTCTACTTCATTTGAATTTTTTAGAATTTGCTTTAATAAAAATAATCAAGAAAAGACTTGATCGCGAAAGAATTGTTATCATTTATTTTTATTCACATTTTATGAGTATAATTTAAGTAATCCGTTGTCATTGTAGAGTAATTAATATAACGTTAAGTAAATACGTCAACGTCACCGAGTTGCTGACTCGCGTGGTTTCCATTCTGATTCAACATTGCATGATTAAGGATGTAAAGATAAGGTCTTTTTAGAGTGCAATCAACGAAATAACCAAAACTGAAATAGATCTAGCTATATACACAGTCCGCTTGTAGGATGATTGTGATTTAACCTTGATCGAGGTAATCCAACGACCTGCCTACTGAATTTATTTTACATCTAATGTTATTTAAATTGTCTACTTGGTCTCCAGCAAGGCTCAAGCCAGGCGTTATTTTTAAATATTAAAACTAAGTATTTTTTACATTTTACTTTACCGTTATTCTTATGTTTTTATTCGGTTTTATCTTATGTATAGCTGCCCGCCCTTGCTTCGCACAGGTATCCAACCCGCGGCTATGCGATGACCAACACATTTTGCGTTTCATTTTTATATATAAAGATTAGGCACATTTAAAACAGTTACTGACAGCTATCACTTACTACTTACTTATTGATAACGGTAAAGGTTAAGGTGCAGGTCCAGGTAGCTTCGAAAGCGGTCAAATTGAAAAGAATTAGAGTGGAACTTACTGAAAACGAATAACCCACCGAAAAGGACAAAATTTGTGAGAAAATTAATAACGGAATGTAACGTTAATTGGGATATATCAAAAACTATGATAGATATACGAAATTCAGGATCAGGATCATAAATTCAATATGATCTCATATTTTATGCTCTTTACATTCGACAGTATTTTATTATGCTTAACGAAAAAACGTTCCCCATTAACGTAAGATTGTTAAAGCAAGTGCCACCAAAATTCAAAAGCAGTGCACAATGTTCCTTATACTAAGTATAAACTACTCATATTGGTCTGTTACCCTGACCGCTTCGAGAAAAAAGAATTGAATGAACGTTTGTTTTCGTAAAAATATAATCTTACAATAATAAAAAAATCATAACAAACAGCTTATTTTTAAAATAAAAGTGGTTTTATTATAGACAATGAATAGGTATACTAAAAAAATACAGAGACGATTAACATAATAAAAAATATTTCTTATGTAATAATACCTCATGTAGGTAGAGAGACTAACAGACTGGACCATCATCATCATTATCGTCAAATATAAGTTTCCAAAAATGAAGCTAGGCGTCATAAGCTCTTGATATTATTTTTCTATTGGATAGGTTAGCAAGCGGACTCTTCGCCTGATGGTAAGCAATTGTTACCGCCTATAGACACCAAAGGAGGTACAAGATCATTGGAGAGAACAGGGATTGGGGTTATAGGGATAAAAAGGGGGAAAGAAGGATTGGACCTCCCGGTAACCTGGCTAACACGACAATTAACAACGTTGCTTCACATCAGCATTCTTCACTCATGGCTTAGGATACACTCCGGAATAAGACATAGGCTACTTTTTATCAACATACGATGGTATTATGTTATTGCTGGTCAAGTGAAATTGTACGAAACGAAAACGGCAGCTTAACCCACGTTATGTATCTAGTTTGGTTTTTAAGAAGAAGAACTACAACTCCTATTATTACCAAGCTCGAATGGGTCGGCCCGACCGTAGTGATACCATGGCCTCACAGAAAACCGATGTGAAACAACCACAGCGTTGTGTTTCGCTGTGTGAGTGAGGTTACCTGAGGCCCAATCACCCCCCTTCCCTATCCCTTCCCAATCCTTAAATAACTGAAACCCTTACCCCTAAAAGGCCGGCAACGCACTCGTAACTCCTTTGGTGTTGCGGGTGTCCATGGGCTTACCATCAGGTAATTAGTCTGCTCATCTATTCCTTTCGCTCCGTTGCCGATCTTTTCCATAAAAAAGAAGACATTTAGTGTCCACATTATCCCGTGCGAAGGCATGAAAATAAAAACAGTGTACTAATGTGTAGGTACAATTTTTGGTGGTCATATATTATGTGCACGAGCCTAAAATTCAAAGTCGAATCATTTAATCCAATTAGGCCAAAAAAAGGTAGTTTTTAACATAATATTCAGTCTGTCCATCAGTTCTGTAGTGAAGCTTGTTGCTTGTTCCATGAAGACGTTTCGAGGTTTTCAACAAAAGTTTTGCTCCAACCGCTAAAATAGTTGGTCAATAGTCAATAGTCTCTCAGTCAGCGACCTTATTTTGGTTAGCGGGTGACCTGAAAAAGGGAATTTATTTGAGAACGCGTGCAAAAGTTGGAATCTCACGTCCATTTTAAAAACTTTTTGTACTAAAAGCTAAAATGTGGGACCTTACATTGACGTCTCGTAAATCTGTCTATTTATATATATAAAAGTGAATCGCAAAATGGCTTGTTGAGTTAGGGTAAGAGCATAACTCTACACGCCTGGACCAATTTTGCCCATTCTTTTTTGTAGTAGATATCTATTATTGTCAGGAGAAGGTTTTTATTAA